GATACAGTGCCTTTCCCCTTCTCGAGCCCGGTTCAAAGTGCTTCACAGGATTTACCACAACGTGCAGTGACTGTGTGTTTTGTGGGCGAGACGCGGCGTGGCGAAGGTTCGAGAGATCGCACTCACCATGTCCAGGGTTGTTCTCTCTAAAACGTCCACCATTTTCTCGATCTTGGTGTCTCCGGTGAAGATAAAATCATCGTCGACCCAGAGAAGATACTTGGTCTTCGTCTGGGAAACGGCCAGGTTCCTGCCAGCAAACCAACCCTACAGACACAACAACAACAACAACACAGCACAGTCAACAACAACAACAACTACAGACACAACAACAACAACAACACAGCACAGTCAACAACAACAACAACAACTACAGACACAACAACAACAACACAGCACAGTCAACAACAACAACAACTACAGACACAACAACAACAACAACAATACAGCACAGTCAACAACAACAACAACTACAGACACAACAACAACACAGTACAATCAACAACTACAGACACAACAACAACAAAGTACAGTCAACAACTACAGACACAACAACACAGTACAGTCAACAACTACAGACACAACAACAACACAGTACAGTCAACAACTACAGACACAACAACAACACAGTACAGTCAACAACAACTACAGACACAACAACAACAACCACACAGTACAGTCAACAACAATAACTTGCATTTACACAGCGCCTGTCACTCACGCGGGTAAAGTCCCAGAGCCATTGACACTGGTGCTCATCAGCCAGTGGATGGTCCCCAGTTAGCCCTTAGGGTTGGATCTCGAAGCCCAAGTCCTGATTGGAGTCCAGAACCTCGTTAGGTCCATTAATTGAGACACAAAACAAAACCCAACACACTCCTTCCTTTACACATAGGTTGAGCGCCAAGCAGTGACAGGGAACATAGGAACAGGAGGCCATTCAGCCCCTCGAGCCTGTTCCATGTTTCTATTTAAGATTTGTACCTCAACTCCAATTACCCACCATTGCCCCCATAATCCCTTGATCCCCTGACCTGATAAACCTCTCTCCAAAGTTCTCCTCCTGCCTCACACCTGCAAATATCTAAACGAGGGACTTACCTTTCTAAACGGCATGATGTAATGCTCGATGAAAGCTCCCTGGATCTTCTCTGGTTTATCGCTGTCGTCAGCCACGATGATGGTGACGTCGGGGTAATATTTCCTGACGCTGTCGATCATCTCCCTCAGCTTCCCATACCTCAGGAACGTCTTGGTGGCTATGGTGACCAGCGCACTGATGTTATAGCCTGAGGCACAGGGGGAAGAGTTAGCGACACACAATAATAATCCTTGCACTTGTTACGGCGCCTTTTCATGTCATCGAGAGGTCTCAAAGCGCTTCAGGGGACACATTGTAAAGTGGAGTGACTGTGTGTTTTGTGGGTGTGAGCGGGTTGGAGAGGTAGGGAGGTGCCAGGGAGCAGAGAGATTCGAAAGTGAGAGCGAGGATTTTGAATTTGATCCGTTCTGCAAACAGGGAGCCAGTGGAGGGGTGAGATATAAAGAGAGAGAGAGAGTTCACACCACACCACACAAACCCCCGATAGTCTGGTTTGGAGCCCCCGCTGTTGGGCACCCACCTGACTGGCTCTTGACGTCGTAAAGTTTGGGGATGAGTGGGTGACGGATTTTCACAGTAAACTGTGCCCTGTGTCCGTCAGTCTCGAATTGCACTGAAAGCACAAAACCAGCAATTAATCCATCCATCTCGCAGCGTAGTAGTTAAAGCCCTCGCCTCGCAAGCGAGAGGACCTGGTCAGGGCGAAATGTTGGCAAGTTTCCTTACTCCGCACACACGCCTCTGTTTACCAGTAGGAACCCGGTCATTAGTCGATTGACCATCGCTTTCTGGCGGTAATAATCCCTTCAAAAAAAAATATATAAGAATAAGGTGATGACTCCATCCATGGCTGTTTGTGGGACACCGCTGTGCGCAACTGGCTGCTGTGTTTCACCCACAAAATACACACTGTGAGGTGCTTCAAGATGTCTCAAGGATGTGATAAGGCACGATATCAAATGCAAGGTTTATTATTATTATTATTACATCCATCTCCGGATTCCCTCGTTCCCCACAACAAGTTCTTTGTACTCAGCGAAAGGCAAACTACGCGGTTACACTCCAGCAGGAGGAGTTCACTCTGTGCTCCTCCCAAGCCGTGGCTCTCACCAACCTGAACTAATTAGGTGAACAGGGTGCGTCCCTCCGGGGGAGAGACACAGACAGACAGACAGACAGACAGACAGACAGACAGACAGACAGACAGACAGACAGACAGACAGACAGACAGACAGACAGACAGACAGACAGACAGACAGACAGACAGACAGACAGACAGACAGACAGAGCACATTCCATTCCAACAATCTCTCTGGGGTTTCCAGGTGTGGGGGGGATGTGGGGATTTCTCAGTCGGGTTTGGAGACTCTTAAGCAACGGTGACGGGTTTCCGTGTGTGTCAGACACCCGGCCGGTCACGGTGACGGGTTTCCGTGTGTGTCAGACACCCGACCGGTCACGGTGACGGGTTTCCGTGCGTGTGTGTGTGTCAGACACCCGGCCGGTCACGGTGATGAATTTCCGTGTGTGTCAGACACCCGGCCGGTCACGGTGACGGGTTTCCGTGCGTGTGTGTGTGTCAGACACCCGGCCGGTCACGGTGACGGGTTTCCGTGTGTGTCAGACACCCGGCTGGTCACGGTGATGGGTTTCCGTGCGTTTCAGACACCCGGCTGGCAATCAAAAAATACTCTGACTTCCTCCACTCTAAAATTCATTTTGCAAGTGGAAATTGTCTGACACCCGAGGCCGAGGGACCGTGTCGTGCAACCAAACCAGTTGCTCTGAAGCTGCCGACTTCCTGTTTCGTGTGAAACTGCTAAAGCCACAAACACAAAGAGTTTAATTGTGGAAACAAGTTCAGCGATCATCGTAATAATCTTTATATTTGACACAGCCAGTTGGGGTGCGGGGGGGGATTGTCAGCCAAGACACACACACAGAGAGAAAGAGAGACAAAAACTCTGGTCTCTTTTCCAATATCGACACGGGATCTTTAGCGTTCGCCTGAACAGAGCGCAGTGAGGTCTCCCCAGAGCTGCAGAGTACAGGACCATCCGAGTCCCGAGTCCTAACATGGGGCTGAAACCCACAATTCTCTGATTCACAGGTGGCAATAACAGTGTCTGAGTCAGGCCCCAAACAAACATCACTGAAGATGTGAACAAATCCCAACAAGTTGGTGTTTGGATTCCACAAAAATCCCCAAATGACGATTCAACATAAACTATGTTTAATCATTGTGGAGCTCAGTGGTTACAGCCCTCGCCTCACAAGCAAGAGGACTTGGATTTGATTCCTGGGCAGGTCGGGGCAAAACATTAGGCAAGTTTTCTTACTACACACACACACACACACACACACACAGATGCCTCTGTTTATCTGCAGTAAGTAGGAACTCAGCTATTAGTAGGTTGGCAGATCGCTTTCCAGGGCTAATAATCCCTTTAAAAAAACACGTGGACCCTCAATCTACTGTTTGTGGGGACGTCGCTGTGTGCAATCGGTTGCCGTGTTTCACCCACAAAATATACAGTCACTACACTTCACAGCATATTCTGTGAAGGGCTTTGAGACGTCTCGAAGACGTGATGAGGCGCTGTATCAAATAGTAGGATTATTATAATTATAACCCACAACCGGTGATGAAGGAGCTCCAGCCCAAACCGTCCTTTGGGACCTTGAATAATTCCTCCCAAGCCTCTGGGTGAAGAGCCTGGATTGTTGTAACTCGTCCTGACAATTACCTAATTGCAGATCACTCACATTTTACACAGAGAGAAACACTCTTTACCCTCCCGTTAACGATCTCCCAGCCACAGAATCAGCGCTATCTCATCAAGCTTTCAGCTCGTTTAAGGGGAGTTCTGAGAGACATCCCCACCAGCCAGTCCCCAAACACACACCTTACACCAGCAGACAACAACAATAATCCTGGCATTTGACCCAGCGCCTTATCAACGTCTTCCAGACGTCTCAAAGCGCTTCACGGGATACACTGTACGTCTTCCCGACGTGAACGTTGCCGTGTAAGTGTAATGTACTGCCGTTATTGTTGCTGTTGTTTGGGATGTGATCACTGTTATCATTACCCACCGGTGTCGGCCGTGTTGGGGTGGAAGACCGTGTTGGTGTAGGTGAGGAATTGCAGTTGACGGTTCAGGTTGTCCAGTTGGGAGCTGGACAGAGACAGGTGTGTCCCACCTTCGCCTTCGACCTTTACCCCCGCAACCTCCGCCGCCACATCAAAGCTCCCCAATTCTGCCTTCACGTCCACCTGTGGAACAGAGGACATCAGTTGGAGCTCAATGTGAGCGAACGGAGAAAGAGAAAGAGGAGCTTCTGACTCTTTTCGACAATGTCCGACAGGATCTTTGACATCCGTTCAACAGACGGAACTCGGTTTAACATTTCATCCGAAGAGTGGAGTCTCGGACAAAGTAGCTCCCACGACATACTTCACACGACATACAGTGAATTGACTGACTATTTTGTGGATGAAACGCAGCAGCCAATTGCACACAATTGCAGACTGAACCTTTTTATTTATATATATATATATATACACACACACGCATATATATATATATAGACACACACACATTCATCCCCAAAACATCTTCAAACATCTCACCTTGTAAAGTTCCTGTGGTGGGGCTTTCAGTCTTAAACCTGAGTAAAACAAGAGAAAAAAGAAATTGAAAGCTTGTAAATCCCTGACATTAATAATATTAATAATAATCCTTCCGATTTGATACAGCGCCTCATCACATCTTTGGGATGTCTCAAAGCGCTTCACAGGATACACTGTAGATTTTCTGGGCGAAACGTGGCGCAGAGTAATGTCCCACCCCGTTCCCTCATTCTCTCCCTACTTACTTAATTCTGGACAGTATGAAGCATAGGTTGGCAAGAGCCAAGGCTTTGGGCTGATGTACAGGTGACAAACTCTGACCTGGCAGTAAGATGGTTTTCATGGGTCGCACCTCGACCCCTTGAGTGGGGAACTCCAGCGGAGAGTTGGCTTTGGCTACTATCAGCTCGTCCACAGGAGATTTAGTCCTGAGTCAAACACGGGACCAAAAAAATACCGTTAATCTTTTCCTCCACTGGAAATGAAGAACTCACTGAAGCCACATGTAAACAGGGAAAGAGCGAGGGAGGGAGGGAGGGAGGGAGGGAGGGAGGGAAGGAGGGAGGGAGGGAATTAAATAAGGGTTTGAATAAAATCAATCGGCAGCATTGGCCCTCCCTCCACATCTGTCAAGAGGTTTTACCTCTGGAGGAAGAGCTTGTACTCCCGCTCTCTCCTCTGCTCCACATCTTCCCGCTCCGATGCGCTGAAGGCTTCGCGGAGCTGAGGGGGCGAGTTCTTAACAAAGAGACTCTTCAGCGAGGCGTCTGGCTCACACCGGCAGTCAGCACCCGACAGCAACCTGCCAGAGAAGCCACATCAGCACCTTATAGTCACAACATCATTCAGCCCAACGTGTCCGCAGTGACCCAGGACCCCGCTGGCCTGGATCATCCATCGACAGGACCTGGAAGAGCCACCCGTCACTGGGGGCAGGGAATCCTCCCCCTCAGCTCCTGTTCACCCTGCAGCCAAAGCACCCACACACCAACCACCCACCCACCCAACCAACCAACCAACAGGGAGGGTGGTCCTAGCTGGACAAGCAGCGGGAAAGCTTGGCCAGAAAGCGCTCTCCCTTACTCTCTGTCTCTCAATGGCCGAGCTATGTGTGGATTTAGCTGGTTAGACTCCAGCAGTTACCCCCAACCCACACTCTGGGCTCCCCCCCACCCACACTGGCGAACCTGCACCTAATACTCTCTGGTAATTTGGTAAGCAGGGGGCGTCTCTCCAGGGAAAGAGAGAGAGAAAGTGAGAGAGAGAGAGAGAGAGAGAGAGAGAGAATTCCATTCCAACAATCTCTCTCTGGGGTTCCCAGGTGTGGGTGGGATGTGGGGAATTCTCAGTAGGGTTTGGAGACTCTTAGGCAACGGTGATGGGTTTCCGTCAGACACCCACCCACCCACCCACCCACCCGGCCGACCAACAAAATAATAAAATAATAAAGTTGTATTGCATCGAGTTGTAAAACAAGAGGAAGCAGCAATGATGGACTGACCGAACCACTGACTCTTTCCTGCTGTAAGCGATGTGCTTGTATTTGTCTTGACTGTCCGACAGATCCTCCTCCAGGTGAGTGCTGTGACTACCGCTGCTTTGGTACCTGATGTCCACAGTTTTCCCGGGAAGCAGGTAACTCAGGATAAACAGACACAGAACCACAACCACAACGGTGCAAGTCAGTGTCTTCACCAAACGCATTCTGCAAAGGAAGAAAGGAAAACCATGTGTTTCCTTTTCACAAAAATAGAATAATAACCGCGGTGAGAACGAGGAGGATTTGCATGAAATCCGGAATTAGAATTTCACAGCCCTGAAGTCTCGATTGATAATAATAATAATATAATAAACCTTACATTTGACACAGCGCCTTATCACGTCTTCGAGAGGTCTCAAAGCCCTTCACAGAATATACTGTAAAGTGAATTGACTATTTCTTGGGCAACACCCAGCACAGGCAGAATGGAGAAAGAGAGTGAGAGAGAGCGAGCGAGAGAGCAGCAAATGGGGTTACAGTAAAGAGGTCTGGTGGGCGAGCCTCAGCACAGACACGATGGAGAGAGAGAGCGAGCGAGAGAGCAGGAAATGGGGTTACAGTAAAGAGCTCCAATGGGGGAGCCCCAGCACAGACACGATGGGGAAATGTATTTTACCCAGTGAATAATCCACATTTTAGACTCTTTTCCTCTTTTAATCATCATCTGGTCACGCGAGCTGATCTAAACGAGATCATTTCCACCCACACGGTCCTTAAATGTAAGATCACGTAGAATAGTTTCATAGAATCTTACGGCACAGAAGGAGGCCATTCGGCCCATCGGGCCTTTGAAAGAGCCACCAACTAGTCCCACTCTCTCCCCCTCCGTTACCCCCAAAGCCCTGCACGTTGTTCCTTTTCACATCCCTATCCCATTCCCTTTTGAAACTTACTATTGAATCTGCTTCCGCCACCCGCCTCTCAGGCAGCGAGTTCCAGCCCGTAACGAGCCTCTGGTTTAAAAAAAAGTTTCTCCTCCACCTGTTCTCCCCTCTGGTTCTTTTGCCAATGATCTTAAATCTATTTATATTAAACTGATAGAATGGAGGGAGGGAGGGAGGCGAGTTGAACTTCAAGCTGTTAAGTCCTCCAGTGAAGCTTAGAGAAGGTTTTTCTATCGAAACAAAGAAAAAAAAGTTCTAACGCGTGGTTTGTGTTAGTTCTGTGCAGCGTTGTTGATATCAGATCATATCTGAATTCTGAATAACATGTAACCAAACCAGTTATTGTGTAACCCGAAGTAAGTCGTTAACATTATCAGTGGGGATGGTTGTGTGGAGCCAGATACGGTTATCTCACACTGGGGACAGGAAATCCTTACCCCCGATGCATACTCTGGGCTCCCCCCCCTCCCTTCCCCCCCGCCCCCCCCACCCCCAAGCCTTGTGGACAGTGAACAGTTCTCTTTTCTCTGTAGTTGTTTCAATCATCACCTCATGTCTACCGACCATACAGCGGGTTTTACATGGAGTCAGTGCGGAGCTGTCTGGGGAGTGAGCCAGGCATTTGTTTCACTTCTGCCTCCGCCCGACCCTGTGCCTCGCTCCCCCTTCCCCCTCCCACACCCCCCACCCCAGTTGGTTACTGACTCATAGCGCAGCTGTCACATGCCTTGGATTCCACAGCTCCCAGTGAGTTCAGACAGAATGGGTTTGCTCTCACCCTGAGGCCACTGACATTGTGGTGTCCCCTGTAGCTCAGTGGTCAGAGCCCTCGCCTCCTTCCTCCCCACACGCACCGCCACCCCCCCCCCACACACACACACACACGCACACACCTCCACACACACGCCGGAGCTTCCCAGCAGTCAGTAGGAACCCGCTTGTTATTCGATTGGAAGATGACTTTCCGGAGGTAATAATCTCTTTAAATTAAATAAATGCATAATAATAATTTAGTCGCTCAATCCACAGCTGTTTGTGGGGACGCTGCTGTGCGCAATCGGCTGCCGCGTTTCGCCCACAAAATGCACAGTCATTGCACTTTACAGTATATCCTGTGAAGCGCTTTGAGACGCTGTATCTCGTACACAGTGCCCCTACGCAGGGCAGAGGACCAGAGAGCTGGACAATGGTGGAGCACAACATTGAGCAGGTGGAGGGGAGTGGGGGGGTGGGCGGAGGGTGAGGCTTGTGATGGAAGAGGAAGATCTTCAGTTGGGACCTGAAGATGGGGAAGGAGGGGGCGAAGCGGTGGGGGATAGAAAGCACCAACGGTGGAAGGGAGGGCACGAGGGACAAGTCTAGCGGAAGCCGCAGGTGGTGAGTTGTGTAACTTACAGGTAATTTCTTTAAATAATATGTAACTTATATGCTTTATAAGTTATATATTATTTATAACTTAGGTAGAACAGCTACAATAAAAGCTTTATCCCCCTCATGAAATTAAGAATCGTATGTTATTGGCCTTCAGATCAACCTTATCGCTCCTCATATCGTTATCGCTGATAAATCACACTATTTTGAAGCACAAAATCCGAATGATGTATTGTGTGGACGAAACGCAGCAGCCGATTGCACACAGCAGCGTCCCCACAAACAGTCACGGATTGAGCGACCAAATTATTATTATGCATTTATTTAATTCAGTGGTTTCCCCCAATCGACTAACTGCCAGGTCCCTACTTACTGCCTGATAAACAGGGGAGTGTGGAGTAAGGAATCTGGCCTGAGGTTTCACGGCCCGGGAATCCAAACCGGTTCCTCTCGCTCGCGAGGAGTACTCTCTAACTACTAAACTGAGGTTGAACCTACAAGGCACTGTTTATAAATAACTAAGGTATGAGAATAATTCTTAACCCGGTGCCTGGTGGCTCTCAACTCAAGGGGAACATTGCAGCCCTTTTCAGCACAGAATTTATGTTAGAAAGATCCAACATGAACACAAATCATTGTTGCAGCAAATTGAACAGCCACAAACCACAACAACAACAACAACAATACATGACTCGTGGAGTCCTGTGGCTCAGTGGTTAGAGCACTCGCTTTGCAAGCGAGAGAGTTCAATTCCAGGCAGAGGGCGAAACCTTGGGCAAGTTTCCTTACTCCACACAGAGCCTAATAATAATCCTCCAAAACCAAAACAATAATAAATTGGTCATTTTCAATCTACGACTGTTTGTGGGACATTGCTGTGCGCAATTGGCTGCCGCGTTCGCCCACAAATATACAGTCAATTCACTTTACAGTGTGTTCTGTGAAGCGCTTTGGGACGTCCTCCCGACGTGAACAGCGCTGTATCAAATACAAGGATTATTATTATTATTATTATTATTATGACATTTACACAGTGTCTCGCACATCAGGAGGAATGTCCCAGCGCCTTGTACCGGACCCCGTTTAGTGTGTCCCACGTCAAGAGCACCATTTGTGGGGACGTCGCTGGTGCGCAATTGGCTGCTGTGTTTCGCCCACAAAATATACAGTTAATTCACTTGGCAGTGTATCCTGTGAAGCGCTTTGGGACGTCTCGAAGTCGCGATGAGGCAACGGACCGAAAGCAAAGGATTATTATCATCATTATCCTTATTAAATGTCGAAACAGAAACAGAAGCAATCGTACCTCTGAGAGAGAGAGAGTGAGAGAGAGAGAGGGGGGGAGTGAGAGAGAGAGAGAAAGAGAGAGTGTGAGAGAGAGAGAGAAAGTGAATTCCATTGCGTCGTTTATCCACGACAGTTGTAAACCATTCCCAGACGTAGATAAACCGTAGATCAACACAATATTTACTTTACTCGCCCTTCTGTGTCTCACCTTCAGGACAGGACGGGACGGGACGGGACAGGAGAGGCCAAGAGAGGGAAGGGTTCCACAGGAGGGTTTTCCTGGACCTCACTGTGAGCAGATTCCAAGGCACTGGAGCAATGTGGTAGAGATTTGGTAACTTCCTGCTTTAAGGTTACATCGACAACCCCAGAATCCAAAGATGTCCACAGGTCCCACCACCACTCCCCGCGGCCGCACAGCCGCCAAACAGCAGCGGATGGGATGCACTTCGCCTCCAAAGCGCACAGTTCGGGCTCTCACTTGACGGTAAAATCCTGGTTCACCCCTTAAAGATTCCACAGCACTAACTCAGAGAGAGAGAGAGAGACAGAGAGAGACAGAGAGAGAGAGAGAGATGATCCTCTTTCTTACTCTCTCTCTCTCTCTCTCTTTCTCTCGCAGTGTCCTTATCCCCATCCGAATAAAACCGGTCAGTGGCTCCGCAGTCGGTTGTGAGGAGTTGTTCCCCCAAACGCAGTTGATTGACCCGTTTTCACCCACAAAACACACACTGCACCGCAGCTCTGTGACTGCGACTGTGTCGCCTCTCAACATGAAAGACGTTGCGTCGGGTGTCAGGTTTGCTATTAACTGGTGTGGCCGCTCAGGGAACCTGGAACAAGGTCCGGGGCTGAGCTCTGGGGCTGAAGGTCGGTCTCCAGACGGCGACCGAAATGTCTCCAGCGCTCAAAGGGTTAAACCCCCACATTGACCACATTGCCCGAACCTGTCGTTTAAGAACATAAACTAATAAAAAAATTTGGATGACTTCAAAGCACCGACTGTTGGCGAGCGACTCGCTGCCGGGTTTCGCCCAGAAAACGCACAGTCACTACACTTCACCGCGTATCCTTTGAGACGTGGCGAAGAAGCGATGGAGGTCAACCGCCAAAGGATTATTGTTATCATCATTATTATTATCGTCATCGTTGTCGGACTCCCTTGAGTTCAGAAGGTTGATTGCTCTGTTTCAAATCAGAAAGGGATTCGATAGGGGCAGCTCCAGAGGAACTATTTCCCCGGAGGGAGTGGAACACAGAACAATGGACATTATCTGTTAAGAATTGGAGCCGGGCCACGCGGCAGAGAAATCAGGAGCACCTCCATCCGCACGGAGGGAAATGGGAAAACGGAACTCGTCCCCCAAAAGGGCTGTGGATTCTGTCCGGATCCATCCACACGGTGCAGTCTGGGGTGGAGAGAGGGTTGTCAGGTCAGGGGATTGAGGGTTACGGGGCGAAGGCGGGTAATTCGGAGTTGAGGTGCAGATCAGCCGCGGTCTAATAGAACGGCTGAATGGCCTCCTCCTGTTTCTAGTTATGTTCAAAAAATCAGAACCAGCATATGACTCAACAGTCAGAAACTTAGGAAGTTTTGCCAATTATGTTTGTTGGCCTCCAATCCCCTATACACTCACATTCCCCCCCCCCAACCCACACACCCAGAGTACTCCTCCACACACACCCGCACAAACACACTCCGAGCACCACCCCCCACACACACACCCAGAGCACCCCCCCACACACACACCCAGAGCACCCCCCCCCACACACACCCAGAGCACCCCCCCCCCCACACACACAGAGCACCCCCCCACCCACACACCCAGAGCACCGCCCACACACACCCAGAGTACCCCCCACCCACACACAACCAGAGCACCCCACCCCCACACACAACCAGAGCACCGCCCACCCACACACACCCAGAGCACCCCCCCCACACACACCCAGAGCACAACCCCACCCACACACACCCAGAGCACCGCACACACACCCAGAGCACTCCCCCACCCACACACACCCAGAGCACCCCCCCACCCACACACAACCAGAGCACCCCACCCCCACACACAACCAGAGCACCCCACACACACACACACCCAGAGCACCCCACCCCCACACACACACCCAGAGCACCCCACCCCCACACACACACCCAGAGCACCCCACCCCCCCACACACACACCCAGAGCACCCCACCCCCCCACACACAACCAGAGCACCCCACCCCCACACACCCAGAGTACTCCTCCACACACACCCGCACAAACACACTCCGAGCACCACCCCCCACACACCCAGAGCATCCCCCCCCCCCACACACACCCAGAGCACACCACCCCCACACACACTCACACTACCCCGCCTCCCACCCCACACACACCCAGAGCACACCACCCCCACACACACTCACACCTACCCCCGCCTCCCATGCACACACCCAGAGCACCCCCCACCCCCACCACACATCACACTCACATCTACACCCCCCCACACACAGACACTCAGAGCACACTCCCACACACCCAGAGCACTCCCCACGCCACACACGCACCCAGAGCACCCCCCCTCGCCCCAACACACTCACACACACAGCCATCCTACACACTCAGATTCCCACCCCCCACCTTTCACACACATGTTCACCCTACACACCCTTCACACACCTGTCTTAGACCTCTGTTCCTCCTCATTCTGTGCGGAGAGCACATTAGTGTCTTGTGAGCGTGTGAGTGAGTGAGTGAGTGAGTGCATGTGTGTGAGTTAAGTCCTGTGAGACGTCCTTCCAACATGAAAGGCTCTGTCATTATAATGTTTTATAATATTTCCCGTAGTTCAGTGGTTAATACACTCACCTCAAAGGAAAGAGGACCTGGTTTCAATTTCTGGGCAGGGCGAAACCTTGGGCAGGTTTCATTACTCCACCCACAAGACACACACACATACCCCTCTGTTTACAGCAGTAAGTAGGAACCCAGTTGTCAGTTGACTGGTGGATCGCTTTTCCGGGGATAATAATCCCTTCAAAAATAAAGAAATAAACAAATAATAACTTTGTGGGACGCTGCTGTGCGCGATTGACTGCCACGTTTTGACCACAAGATATACCGTCACTTTCCTTCTTACAGTATAACCTGTGAACGGCTTTGAGACATCTCGAAGATGTGATGAAGAGCTGCATCAAATGCCAGGATTATTATCATTATTATTTTATGCTTTTATGCTGTCCATCCCTCAAATATCCCTTCAGTAATAATACCTGAAGCATGAATTGCATAATAGCAGGAATATCCCCTCGGCTGGTGCTGTGTTTGGTCCATTCCTGTTCTGTCGAATTACTTCTCCTTCACATTTTTCTAACTTGATAGCCTTCCTATTATATTTCTGGGTAACGATGAACAGATAAATAAAGAGAGAGAGAGAGAGTGAGAGAGAGAGAGAGAGAGAGAGTGAGAGAGAGCATCGTTTACAAATGGCTTTTTATGTGAAAGACCCTGAGGTGCACAAATCGCCTTCTCAGTGATAAGGAACTGCACCAAATCGGAGGATTATCATTATTATTATTATCATTAATGAATTCCTGAAATCGCCCCTTTAAAACTCGAAACCTGTGTCCTCTTGTTCTGCTGTCGCGCGGCATCGGAGAGCAATGATCTGGGTTTACTTTCTCTATCCCATTCACAATGTCACCCACCTCCCTAGGTCCTCGCTCACCTCCGAATCGTCTTCTCTCAAGACTGAACAGCCCTGGTTTCTCACAAAGTCCTGTCTGCCGTCCCCCACCCCCCCCACTCCATGGCCGTTGCTGTGCTCAGATTGGCTGCCGCCATGGCCTACAAAACCACAGTCGCTGCACTTGACAGTAAAATCCTGTGAAGCGCTTTGAGACGCTGTATCAAATATAAGGATCATTAAACACATCCTCCCACTCACCCCCCCACCCACCCACCCCCCCACCCACCCCCCCACCCACCCCGCCACACACACACACACATACACCACACCTGCTCCCCCCCAACACACCCACCAAACCTACCCACCTCCATCCACCCTTCCCCACAGCCCCACCCACTCCCACACCCCATCACAAACACACCACCCACCACCCTTGTGTGCACACACATCTCCACTCACACACTCACTCTCTCTCACACACTCACAGATACAATAATGCACGGGGCTATTAAAACGAAATGAGCGGCATTTAATCTGCATTAGTTGAACCCCCCACTCAGTAACGCTGCCTCCCTCCCCAACTAGAAGCTTTGTCAGATCCCACACCCCGTGCGGAGTTCCACAACATTTCTAATTCACAGCCACATTTCGCAAACCCCCCCCCCACACCCCCACTCTCCTTAGGATGTCTCGGCTTAAGTCTAAGTCGCCGAAGGATTAAACTAAGGATTGGTTTCTGGGTAACATGGATCCCATGTCAGTCAGAGAGAAGATACAAAGTGCTGTTTGAGGAAGAGCTCAGCTGTAGTGAAGGGGCCCCTCATGTGGTACTTTGACAAGGACTTTCTGGAAATCTAGTCCAGCAACGTCAAGTGGCTCATTACCAAACTGGGAGGTTCATTTACGTGAAGGTAATCTTCAGGATCAATTATTGTTATTATTATTGTTATTATTATTATTATTATTATTGGTTCTTTGGTTTTTCCAATTCAACTTCAATGAGTCGCCACTTAGTGGATTCTCTTCCCGTAGTGGTTACAGCCTTCGGCTCTCAAGCGAGAGGACCCGAGTTTGATTCCCGGGCGGGACAGACCGAAACCTTAGGCAAGTTTCCTTACTCCACACTCTGTGTACCTGGCAACCTGGTTGTTAGTCGACTGGCAGATCACTTTTCTGGGGGGTAATAATCCCTTCAAAATAAATAAAATAATTATTTGGTCAGTCACTCCAAGACTGTTTGTGGGACACTGATGTGCCCAATTGGCTGCTATGTTTTGCCAACAAAACATATAGTCAATTCACTGTACAGCACTGTGAGATGTCTCGAAGATGCGATAAGCTGCTATATCAAATGCACATATTATTATCGTTGTTGGGCTTAGTTCTCTTTTTGATATAGCATCCTATTAGGTAGTCAAAATGTCTCAAAGCATTTCACAGAGTTTTTACTGTGAAGTGTAGTGACTTTATATCCTGTTGCCTACTTTTGACTGAATTAAACTTCATTTGCCACTGATCAGCCCACCTGTTTGTTCTGTTGAGCTCCCCCTGTAAGATCCTGGCTGCCTTCAATTCCAGTTGAATGTCTGACACATATGGAAACCCAATACTTAAAGAGTATGCAAATCAGACATGAATTCCATCTACACTAGAGGGATATTTTAGGGATTTTTTAAAATTATTTTTAATGGGGTTGGGGGGAGCGGAGAGTTTATAGACACTTAGACTGACCCCAGAATTAGAGTAACGTTACTTTCAAACTTTCTAATGAATTACGGGGAGAGAATTGTGTATCAGATGCCCCAAGCCCTGCTCTCCCCTGTCCCCCACCCGGCAGCCAGAGAGAAAGCACGGTGGGTGGGGGTGGGTGGGGGGGTGGGGGAGCCAAGCATCACAATGTTAGTTAGCAGTCTCCGTGCTTCAGTTAAACCCAACTCTATAAGTCCTGCAAACTCAATGTCTGCTCGTCTCTGCTTCTGCAAGCGTTGAGGTGAAACACAACAGTCAACGGTTTGGAGTCTTGTTGTCTATAAAGGAAGGGCTGGTCTGGTCTGGGCTCTGGTCTGGTCTGGGCTCTGGTCTGGTCTGGGCTCTGGTCTGGGCTCTGGTCAGCCCTTCATCATGCATTGGAACCTGTTCTTCAGGTAAAACAGGCTGTGCTGGAGCCTGACATTGGCTGCTGAGGACTTGGGATAACGGAACTCGTTGTATGTCTTCTCCCTCTGGTCGGGTTGGGACCAGGGCAGCTTGATCTTCGGGGCGTGATCCACGGTCACGTGATGGCAAGAGGCCACGTGCAGCACCCCCAGCCCGTCGATGAAGAACTCTGGGGGAGGAGGAAACGCAGGTCACAGGGGACAATAACCCCAAGACTGTAGCGTTGGGGTTAGCGGACTCGCCTCGCAAGCGAGCGAGAGAACCTGGGTTCGATTAAGGGAGAAACCTTAGGCAAGTTTCTTACTCAACACATACTGACATAGACACACATACACACGCGCACATACACACACGCACACATACACAGACACACACTCAGACACACACTCAGACACAGACACACACACACACATGCGCATGTTTACCTACAGTAAGTAGGAACCCGCTCGTTAGTCAATCGGTGGATCACTTTCCGGAATCAATAAGCCCTCCAAAAAATAATAACGCTGCTGTGTGCAATTGTCTGCCGAGTTTCGCCCATGAAATACACGGTCACTACACTTTATAGAGTGTGCCTGTGAAGCGCTTTGAGACGTCTCGAAGACGGGATAAGGTACCGGGTCAAATACCAGAATTATTATTATAATAATAATGACCGTAATCGAACCCCCTCCCTCCACCGCCCCGGATAGAAGTACTGTGAATAATTCCAACCTCCCCCAATGAAACAATGCAATTGGAATGCTCCTCCCTCCTCGGGCACTGAAATTCCCCCCCGCGCCCCGCGCCACCCCTCCCCCCTTTCCCCCTTTCCCTCCCGATCCTCACCTGAATGAGCCACCCTGGTCAGGCGGGGGTCGAACCCCACTCTTTGCACCTGGTCGGTGCGAGCCAGGAAGAAGTTGACGACTCCATCGGTCACCACACAGTGTGGGAATCCCTCCAGCGTGTGGTAATAACCCGGCCACGTGTGCAGACAATCCCCCTCCTCGCCCCCCGGCTCCACGCTGATCTGGTGCCGGAATGTGGTGGTCATCCCCGTCTTCTCCCGCACGGCCCCCCCCACCTGCCGCACGAGGGGGCAACAGCAACACAGCGTCAGAATATCCCTAACGTGCTATATCTTAACTGGGAGACGCAGCCACAGATCAGTCCCGGTCTACAACAACAACAACAACATGCACGAACACAGCCCCCTTCATGAGAGGTAGGGTCCCAGAGCCCCTTGACAGAGTCTGACCCTGAGCTGGGGGGAGAGGGAGACCGTAAGTACGAACCATAAGGATTTCCCGCTGCTTGTCCAGCTTGGACCCCCCTCCCCGTTAGTTAGGGCTTTGGCTGCAGGGTTAACAGGAGCTGAGGCGGAGGATTCCCTGCCCCCAGTGACTGGTCGGACCCTGGGCTGATTGAGATGTTAACAAATTTCAAACAGAAATTGAAGTGATAATACGCTCAGAAATGAGAACGCCATTATTACCATTTGGTATCAGACACAGTCAGAAGGAGGAGAGAAAGGGGGAAAGAAAAAGAGAAGAGAACGAGAGAGAGAGAGAGAGAGAAGGGAATGAAAGAGGGAAAGGAAGCTCCTTACCAGATCCAAGGTGGTTCTCTCTAAAATATCGACCAGCTTGTCAATCCTGGTCTCCGTCGTGAAGATAAAATCATCATCAACCCACAGGAGGTATTTGGTTGTGACCTGGGAAATGGCCAAGTTACGTCCAGCAAACCAGCCCTGCACAAACCCGCAAAACACCCAGTCACTACACTTAACCTGTGAAGCACTTTGAGAGGTCTCAACCAGGTCATAAACAACAACAACAAGATTCCATTTATAGAGCGCCTTTCACGTCGGGAGGCGACGTGGAAGTCATAAGGTCATAATATGATTATTATTATTACCATTATTAGAAGAGTGCTCCAGGATGTCCTCCCGACCTGGAAGGTCCCGTAAAACCAGTTTGAGCGTCAAATTATTATATGATTGTTGACATTACCATAAAAAAAAACCCTTTCAGCCCCAGAGCCGAGTGTGAGAGCGACTGAGCCCAACCCTCCGGCTAACCTTGCCAAACGGCATGATGTAATGCTCGATGAAAGCTCCCTGGATCCTCTCTGGTTTATCGCTGTCGTCGGCCACGATGATGGTGACTTCGGGGTAATATTTCCTGACGCTGTCGATCATCTCCCTCAGCTTCCCATACCTCAGGAACGTCTTGGTGGCTATGGTGACCAGCGCACTGATGTTATAGCCTGAGGCACAGGGGGAAGAGTTGGGATCGAGTTCGAGATCCTCGTTCTCACCTTCAAATCCCTCCACATTCTGTGTGTGCGCGAGTGTGTGTGTGCGTTGGTGTGTGTGTGTGTGTTGGTGTGTGTGTAATGTGTGTGTTGCTGTTGGTGTGTGTGTGTGTTGGTGTGTGTGAGTATGTTGGTGTGTGTGTGTGTTGGTGTGTGTGTGTCTGTTGCTGTTGGTGTGTGTGTGTGTGTGTCTGTATGTGTGTGTATGTTATGATAATAATAATCCTTACGTTTGAAACAGTGCCTTATCATCTCTTCGAGACGTCTCAAAGCGCTTCACAGGATACACTGTAAAGTGAATTGACTGTGTGTTTTGTGGGCGAAACGCGGCAGCCGATTGCACACAGCAGTGTCCCCGCAAACAGCCGTGGGTTGAGTGTTTCGCCCAAAAAACATACAGTCAATTCACTTTACAGTCTATTCTGTGAAGCTCTTTGAGATGTTTAGAAGACATGAAAAGCGCTGTATCAAATGCAAGGATTATTATTATTAACTGGTGGTTTTTCAGGCAGTCTGTCGCCTCTTTCCCAAACTCCATCACAAAGTCCCTCCGCCTCGCTCCCTCTCTCCCTCCCCTCGATTAAGGTCTGTCTCAAAACCTTCCTCTTTTGACCAAGGTTTTGGTTCATCTTCTCTCCCTCCCCCTCTCCCTCCCTCCCTCCTACCCTCCCTCCCCACTCCCTCCCTCCCCGCAGTGTCAAGCACTTTGTGATGTCCTCTCGACATGGAAGGCGCAGTAAACCCCCCCACCACCCCATACCCCCTCCCCCCGCCCCCACCCTCACCTGATTGCTCCGCGGAGATGTAAAGCTTGGGGACAGAGACATGACGGATTTTGATGGTGAAAGAGGCTGAGTGTTCCTCACTGTCAAACTGCACTGTAACATCAAACACACACAGCGCTGAGACAGGAAAAACACACCCCAACACACACACACCCCAACACACACACACCCCAACACACACACCCCCCAACACACACACACACACACTCCAACACACACACATCCCACAACACACACAAACACACACACCAACGCACACAGCCCAACGCTCAACCTAACGCACACTGCACAGCCGAACCCACACACCAACACCCCCCTCCCGCCCCGTGTTGCCAGTCAGGTTCTCACCGGTGTCGGCCGTGTTGGGGTGGAAGACCGTGTTGGTGTAGGTGAGGAATTGCAGTTGACGGTTCAGGTTGTCCAGTTGGGAGCTGGACAGAGACAGGTGTGTCCCACCTTCGCCTTCGACCTTTACCCCCGCAACCTCCGCCGCCACATCCAGACAGCCCAGGGAGGCCGTCAGGTTGACCTGAGAATCGATATCGGGGTTTAATAACAACAACAACTTGCACATATATCTCCCCATCCACCCAGTGCAGCGTCTCAGAGCACTTAACAGTGGATGTGGGGGAGGAAGGACAGCTGGGGGTCAAACCGAAAGCCTAGATTGCCCCCTGGTTTAGTGAGTCTGAGGAAGAGCCCAATATTAGGGTTTTAATAAGCTCCCGTCGGGAGACACCAGGAGAAAGGAGTCCACAACCAACCCAACTGTCCCAACCCCGAAACCCACCCACACACTCACTGTCTGTCCATCTGAACATCCACCATCCCAACCCACCCAACTGACTGTCCATCTATCTGAAACCCCCCACCCCCCAACCCCTGCACCAAATCATACAACTGACCCATGGACTGCCCAAAACCATCCAGTGTCTTTCCGTCTGAATGAACGCACCCAAATGCAACCGTCCAAAACCCTCCCCACCCGCCCACACACACACACACACACACACCGTCCCGGGGGACTTACCCGGTACAGTTCCATGAATGGGGTTTGTAAGCTCAGACCTGCAAAGGAAGCCGCAGAGAATAGAGAGTGAACCTCGACAAGTCGGGGCTCAGAGTGAGCCTGCCCCAACCCCCAGATTTTGAGGTAAGTTACTGCTGACCCCAACAAAGCCCTGGGACCCCACCACCTGCCTGGAATTCTCAGCTGGGTTTGGAGACTTTAAAGCGACGGCGATGGGGTCTCAGGGTCCAGACACCCATCCACCCGCTGCCCCCTCCTCCCCTCAATAAATAAATCAATGGATCCTGACCTGGGATGACGATGGTTTTGAGTGGCCGCACTTCCACCCCCTGTGTAGGGTACCCCAGGGGGGCATTGGGTTTAGCGATGATCAGCACATCCGCAGGAGACTGGGACCTGCACAGAGAGAAGCCACAGGTCAGTCAGAGACTTGGACCATTTACTATAGACATAATCCTTGCATTATCAGGTGGTTGAGACGTCTCAAAGCGCTTCACTGGATATGCCAAAGCGTAGTGACTGTGTACTTTGTGGGCGAAACGCAGCAGCCAATTGCGCCCAGTGACGTCCACAAACAGTCATGGATTGAGTGACCAAATTATTATTATTTTTTTTGTTGGGAGGTGTTATTATCCACTATCAAGTGGGTTCCTACTGACTGCTGGTAAACAGTGTGTGTGTGTGGTGTGTGTGTATGATGTGTGTGTGGTGTGTATGGTGTGTATGGTGTGTGTGTGTGTGTGTGTGTGTGCACGGCGTAAGCAAACGTGCCTATGGTTTCACCCCAACCCGCCCGGGAACCCGGGTCCTCTCTCTCTTGCTTGCGAGTCGAGGGCTCTAACCCCTGAGCTACAGGACTCCACAACCTTCTGACTGAGCCGGGGTGACACGTGGGCACGAACCGCTGTAGGAAGCGCTGATACTCCTCCTGTCGCCTTCGCTTCACTGCCTCCAGTTCCTCGGGGTTGAAGACGTGTGTGAAGTGCCGCGCAGACACTCCACGGAAGAGACGGCCAGAGAAAGGCAGACTGACCACAGGCTCCTCTGGCTCACAGCGACACTCGTTCCTCGCCAGGAGCCTGAGGAGAGAGAGTGTGAGGGGCAGCGTGAGGGGCAGGGCGAGGGGCACGGCGAGGGGCAGGGTGAGGAGCAGGGCGAGAGGCAGGGCAAGGGGCAAGGCGAGGGGGATGGCAAGGGGCAGGGCAAAGGGGCAGGGCAAAGGGGAAGGGCGAGGGGCAGCCCGAGGGGTAGGGCGAGGGGCAGGGCGAGGGGCAGGGCGAGAGGGAGGGAATCGAACCCGGGTCCTCTCTCGCCTGTGAGGCGGGGGCTCTGACCCCTGAGCCACTGGACTATCCAAACAGAGACAGACACTCACCCAGCGACCGACCCCTTCACTTTGAAGGATATGTGCTCGTATTTGGCGGAAGGCGCCCACGGCTCGTGTTCTAGAAGGTTCCCGGGGACGGCCAGAGGTTTGTACTTCACGTCCACCACATGGTAAGGTCTCAGGGTCCAGGGGCAGAGGAAGAAAAGTGCCAGAGGGACAGTCACAGCCAACAGGCAGCACAGAACCTTCCGGAACTGACGCATTCTGCAGACGAGAGAGGTTAGAAATACCAGGTGCAATCGCTGGCACGATGTGGGGTGGGGGGTGGGTGTGGGGTGAGGGGTGGGGGTGGGTGGGGGTGGGTGGGGGGTGGAGCAGGCCGTGGTTGAAACGCAAAACCAATTCGAGAACAGCAAACAGCCGCGGGATCTTTAACGTCCGTCCACCTGGGCAGCCACTGCCTCAGATCGACATCTCCCCCCAAGGACGGCACCTCCAACAGTGCACCCCACCCCCAGCGCTGCATTGGAGTATCCGCTTAGACTTTGTACGATTCCAAGTCCCAACCCAGAGGCGGGAACCCAAGAGGTGAGACCTCTCTCCCCTGAGCCAGGCTGCCGCAAGACACAAATACAATGGTATTTAAGGAGATTTTTTAAGGGGGGGGGTACATCTCAGCACAGGACGCGAGCCGGCAATAATCTGCCTCTTACTCACTTCCTAAGCTGCAGGGTTTACGCAAATCATGAGGATTCCCCAAGACGGTCTCCCTCTCTCTGTATCTCTCTATCTGTCCATCTCTCTCTCTCTCTGTATCTCTCTATCTGTCCATCTCTCGATCTGTCCATCTCTCTCTCTCTCTCTCTCTGTCTCTCATGCGATGCACTGTCAATGCCAATGACACCCCCACACACCGCAGCACTCAAAATAAACCATCATTAATTAATTCAAGCTGTTTTGCAAATAACATTTGTGTGTGTGTGGTTGGGGGTGGGGAGAGGGGGGATGTTCCTATGTATAACCCCAGCCATATCTAATCCTGTTTTTTTGCGGGGGTGGGGGGGGGGAGGGAGAGACAGGCTATTTTCTCAGTCAGTCAGTAATAAATGACAGAAGGTTTTTCTTGACAGTGTCACAGTCAGGGATATAAAACACACAGACTCACCTTTTACTCTGATTCCCAGTCAGGAATAGTGCTTTGTCCTCTGATTGCTTTGCTGCAGTGGATGAGGATGGTTCAGGGACAACAGCACACACACAAAAAAAGGAGATGGAGTGGGGGGGTGGGAGGGGGAGAAAGGAAAATAAATCTCTCTCTTTTTATATAAAAAAATCCTTCTCTCTCCTGTGTTTTCACGTCTTATTCCTCAATAAAATCTCAAGGCACTGATCACAATAGGACTCTCTACTGTTTTATGAGAAGGTCGCAGCCCAGAGAAGAGCATTTTCCTTTTCCTCCTCTCTTTCTCTCCTCCTCTCCTCTCTCTCACTCACACTCTCTCTCTCTCCCTCTCACCTCCTCTCCTTTTCCATTTATTTCTAACGTGCAATAGACAGAAAAGACTGCCCTATTCTAGAAAATATTATTATTATTATAAAACCTTGCAACGTATTTTTTTTAAGATTAAAAATATATCTCTCCATCTATATGTATATAGAGATATATATATAACCGGCTGTAAGGCTGTCAAAATAGCCTATTTTTTGGCAAATAAAAGGCTTTGCAGAAAGATTTCAATTTAATTCAATGTTTCCAGCAAATTTCCTATTATATCCCATTAGAATATTTGCACACATTAAACACCCACACAACATATATACACACACACACATAAGATACACACATACACACAAGATACGCACATAAACACACACACACGATACACCCACATTTATATTTTCATAATTACATCTGAATGAATGAACTGAGATAACAGATGTGGTCCCCAGTTCCCAGCCCTTTCCATCCTTCTGCTTAATGCAAAATCATGACGTTTCTCTCTCCACTCCTCCTTTCCCTCTCTCCTCCCCCCTTCTTTTTCTACCTCTCCCTCTCTCTCTCTCTCTCTTCCCCTTTTTCTTCTTCCCTCCCCTCCACCTCTCCCCTTCCCCTTCTCTCTCTCTCTCTTTGTTTACATGTTAATATTTAACAGGGGACACGTCTCAAACAACAACAGCGCTCCTCATGCAGAGTATAGCGTCCCAGAGCGCTTGACAGTGGCGGAGAGGAAGGTCTTCAGGGGTGACCTGAAGATGGGGAAGGAAGGGGGCAAGGCGGCGAGGGAGAGACAGAGGGAGAGTGTGACAGAGTTTCGGGGCTGTAGTGGCTGAAAGCACGGCCATCGATGGAAATATTTCAGATGTTACTCACAATCCGTCACGACCGAGAAACCCTGACCCTTGGGTTTGGCACAAAAGAGATTTGTTATAATCAAAGGCGCTCAGTGTGTAACTGCGTTCTATTGTACTGTGCAGTGTGGGTTAGGTCAGACTCCGTGACAGACATCCAGACCAATACAGCATCATCTCAATCTCTCTGCCCCACTCATGGGCCTCAATAAGGAAGTCACTGTTTTATCGACAATCTGTGTACAGGTCTGATACGATTTTGTAGAATCACAGACAGCACAGAGGGAGGCCATTCGGCCCATTGAGTCTCCCCCAACTCTCAGAGCGTGCCGTCCATTGTATCCCACTGCCCTGCCTTATCCCCATTCCCCCTTCAAGCCTCTCTCCCTCTCTTCTCCTGGCCAATGATCCCCGAAATGATATTGGTCGCTCACTCCATGGCTGCTGGGACACAGTGCTTCACTCAAAAACACACAGTCACGACACTTTACAGTATATTCTGTGAAGCGCTTTGAGACGTCTATAAGGCCCTATATCAAATGCAAGGAATGTGGCTACTACTATTATTATTATAATACCAAATACAAGAATTATTATTCCAACCTGGATAACACAAGCCCTTGGTTTTTTTTTCACTCCGACCTTCTTCCTTCCCCTCTTCCAGCCTTCCTCTCCTCTCCTCTCCTCTCCTCTCCTCTCCTCTCCTCTCCTCTCCTCTCCTCTCCTCTCCTCTCCTCTCCTCTCCTCTCCTCTCCTCTCCTCTTCTCCCCCCATCATTGGTTTCAACAACTTTGTAATTATCTGCAGTGATTTCCATGTTGCAGTTACTAAGTTAGGGGTCACTGTGCTGCTCTGTTTATATGCAGATTCGCTCTGCGTAATGCTTTTGGGCTCCCTGTATTTCCATATCAAAGGGTTTCTCTGTAAATCAATCGGATGTTCTGACACCCAAACCGTCTCTGAGACATATGGCGAGAGCTTTGATTCCACAACTCACGTCACTCAAACCATCTGCCTCTTCTTTGGAAAATCAAGCTCACATTTTTGTTTTTTTTTGTGCATCTACAGCATATAATAATAATATTATTAATAATAGCAATAATAATATTAATAATAATGATCCTCGCATTTGATTATCGCATCTTCGAGACGTCTCAAAGCTTTGCACAGGATGTTCACTGTAAAGAGAATTGGCTGCGTATTTTGTGGGCGAAAGTTGTTTTTAGGTCAGGGTATCCAAGGATATGGAGCAAAGGCGGGTGATTGGAGTTGAGGCGGGTGATCGGAGTTGAGGCGGGTGATCGGAGTTTAGGCATGATCTAATAGAATGGTGGAACAGGCTCGAGGGGCTGAATGGCCTCCTCCTACTCCTATGATCCTATAAGCAAATGCTGGGCTGCTTCAGAAACATTGCCTACCAGCTGACAGCCAGCCAGCCAGCTCTGTCTCTATTATGTGGCATACAGTCTCCTCTGCACTCCCAATCCCTTTCAGAGAACAGGGATAATACAGGACTATTTACAGGAAAGAAACGGTTTATGTGCATATAAACCAGCTGCAGGGTGTGGACACCTGCTGTTCTCCCTTTTACATCATTCTATTGTGACCATAATATGACAAATAGAACTAAGATGCCAATAAAAACAACAATCGCAAGATGGGACAATATTCTGTAATAAATCCCGATTTGGTCCCTCATTTCATGGCTGTTTATGGGATATCGCTGTGTGCGATTGGCTGCCGCGTTTCACCTAAAAATACACAGTCACTCCATTTCACAGTAAATCCCGTGAAGCGCTTTGAGGCGTCATTCCGACGTGTTAAACCTGTGGAGGGATTATTAACCCCTGAAAGCGATCCATCAATTGACTAACGACTAACTTATTGTTAGTCAAACAGAAGCATGTGTGTGGCATAAGGAAATGTGGCTACGGTTTTACCCTGGCTGGGAATCAAACCCAGATCCTCTCGCTTGCGAGGTGAGTGCTCTATCCAATACGCTACAGGACTCCATACGTCTTTGCTGCTAAAATTTGTGGAATCTTTCCTGTTTTTTTTGATCAGTGTTTGTGCATTGACGGAGATGTGTGGGAGGGGCTGGAGGCTGCCCAAGGTCAACCCCGACTGATATTAAATTTATGAAAGCAAGAAGCAGATGTCTTTGTAAAGGAATATTGGATATCAATTATTAACCATGACTCGAGGATGAATAATTTAAAGTATAAATAAGTTGTAGCATTATTGTTGGCAAAAAAAATCAACTCACCCTGAGAATATTAAAAATTGTGTCATATTTATCCTCCCTGTTTTAATGACAGCAAACTTTTGCTCAGTTTACTTATTTGAAGTTAGTTGTGGGGAACAGAGGATGGCAATGCTCATTTTCATTATGTCCTGGGAAGGGAATGGAAGGACAGAGTGCTAGAATGAAGAAATGGGCCAATTGGCTTGTGAGGAATGTAACTCCCTCTCTCTTTGTCAGTAGGTCCTTCACCCCCCCCCCGCCCCCACAGTTTGGAACTCCATCCCACAGCTCCTTCGCCTCCTTCAAAGCCCGTCTCAAGCCCCTATTCTTCAACCGTGCCTACAGTCATCCTCCTACCCCCACCCTCCCTGCCCTCCACCCCTCCAACTTGGATCCAACTCCCCAACTGTCCACTTTTCATGCCTTCTCGACGTCTGAAAGCACTTCACAGAATATACTGTAAAGTGAATTGACTGTATATTTGTGGGCGAAACGCGGCAGCAATTGCACACAGCAGCGTCCCACACACAGTCGTAGATTGAAGTGACCAATTTATTATGGCTTTTTTTTCTTGAGGGATTATTATTAGGCTGTGTGTAGAGTAAGGAAACTTGCCCAAGGTTTTGTCCTGCCTGGGAATCGAACCCAGGTCTCTCACTTGAGAGGCGAGTGCTCTAACCACTGAGCTACAGGACTCTACGTAGCGTAGTGGTTAGAACGCCAGCGAGAGGACCCGGGTTCGATGCCTGAGCGGGGTGAAAAGTTAGGCAAGTTTCCTTACTCCACACACCTCTGTTTACCGAGCAGTAAGTAGGAACCCGGTTAGTAATCTACTGCCAGGAATGCAAGTTGTTAGCAAACGATCCTCAGATCATTATCATCATTATTATTATTAATATTATTATCTCACTCTCCCCACCAGGAGGGGGGACTCACTCTGATTTTATAGGAAATGGAAGGGTAATTCTCATTGAAGCCCGTGACCTGCTTTGCCTGTAGGTGGTGGCTGTGAGAGATGCAGGGACTTCACTGATAGGTCAGCCGGTCCACCCAAAGCCAGGCCAACACGTGTATTTAGCAACAACAGGAGGGGACGGCCAGCAGACGGGTGGCCAGAAATTATAATATGTCGGTAGCCCAAAAGTAGCTGAATATTGCATTAAAGCGTTAAATCGGTCCAATGGGGGGGGGGGGGGACGCTGCTGTGTGCAATTGGGGGCCGCCGCGTTCCGCCCACAAAACACGCAGCCCCCGCACTCCACGGTGTGTTCCACGAAGCGCTTTGAGGTGTGACACGGCCGAGGGTTCCCGAAAGGAGAAGGGTTATCACCGCTATGATTGTGGTGATTGCTGCTGCTGTTGTTGTTGTCAGCGCGGCCCCCTGTACGGGCAGCTGCGGACTGGCCGGTTTCGCAGTTGGGGGCGAGTGCTCTTGAAACTGCGTAAGGAAAGGTTTTGCTGGGCTTTAAATTGTAAAGATGATTGGCAACCCGCCCAATTGGGCGGTTTCCCCCCCCGCCCCCCGCCCGCCCTCCAGGTACAGCGCTGTATAGCGCAACAACAAACCCGCCCAATTGGGCGTGAAAACCCGCCCAGTCAGTCTGAACCACATCGCCTCTGGCTGCGGGTCAGCGTGTGATGTCAACAGCGGCCCTGAGTCTGAGAGACGGGAGCCGCGTCCAATGGTGAGGCGCGTTCGCCGAGCTCGCCTTGCTGATTGGTCCATGCACCCGGAAGGCGGGCCAATCACCTTCCGGGAGGGGCGGGGGAATTTTTTAGGGGGGTTGGGCGGGCGCTTTATTGATGGACGTGGAGCGTAACCAATCAGGTGCTGCGCGGCGGCGTGATTGACGGCGTCGGGGGAGGCCGGGCGATGACGTCAGGCGGAGCGGTGTGATTGACGTGAAGGCTGACGAATGGCGTGCGGCGGAGCGGATGTGATGGGCGCGGACGGGGACCAATGGCGGCGCTGGGCGGGGCCGAGCGCGGAGGCGGGAACCATTGTGCGGGGAAGGCGGACAGGGGCCAAGATGGCGGCGAGGCGCGGGCTGTCGGCGCTCGGGCTGTGCCTGGCGATGGCTATGGCGGTGGCGCGGCTCCTGGGGGCGGCCGCGGGGCTGCTCAACGTGCAGGAGCTTCACGAGATGAAATACGGCATCGAGATCCTGTCCGAGCCCGTCATCAGGGGCCAGGTGAGCGGCCTGGGGGGGGCCTGGGGGGGAGGCCTGGGGGGGAGGCCTGGGGGTGAGGCCTGGGGGTGGGGGAGGCCTGGGGAGGCCCGGGGGGGGGAGGTCCGGGGGGGGGGAGGCCTGGGGGGGGGGGGAGGCCTGAGGGGGGGGAGGCCTGGGGGGGCCTGGGGGGAGGCCTGGGGGTTGGGGAGGCCTGGGGGGGGCCTGGGGGGGGGAGGCCTGGGGGTGGGGGAGGCCTGGGGGGGGGGGAGGCCTGGGGGGGGGGAGGCCTGGGGGGGGGAGGCCTGGGGTGGGGGAGGCCTGCGGGGGGGAGAGGCCGGGGGGGGGGGGGGGGGGAGGCCTATGTGCGAATGTGTGAGGGAGGGAGGGAGGGAAGAGGGGAGAAGAGAGGCCCAGATGGTGAGTGTAGCGGAGAGAGAGAGAGAGGGGAAGGAGAGGAGGGGAGAAAGAAAGAGGAAGTGGGGGTGGGGGCAAGAGGAGGGGGTGGGGATGTGCGAGAGAGAGAGAGAGAGAGGACAGCGGGAGTGTCAGTGCTGCTGATCTTCGGGTCAGACCGTCGCCCCCATCTTGGTCAGATGGACGTCAAAGGTCTTTGTGACTCGATTCGAAACGAGAAGAGTTGTCCCCCGAGTGTTGTGACCGACAGTCGCCCCCAAGTAAGTTGGTCCCGTGTCGCCGGTCGGCCCGGGGTCCAAACCCATCGTTGTGCTTCAGAATGTCCCGACCAGACCCGACAATTCCATGCATCCCACCTACATACGGACACGTGCGTCGCATGCCCCTCGTGCTCTCTGCTCCACGATCGCCGACCGTGCTTTCAAGCACAACAACAACAACTTGGATTTATATAGCGCCCTCCACGCCGGACGGTGTCTCAGAGCGCTTCACAGTCACCGATCCCGGGGCCGAGCCGGGGGGAGGGGGAGGTGACCAAAGGCGCGGTCGAAAAGATAGGTCTTCAGCAGAGACCTGAAAATAGGAAGAGAGGGAGTGAGGAAGGCGGTTCCAGAGCCTCGGGGCGTAGTGGCTGAAGGCACGGCCGCCGAGGGTGGAGCGGAGGACTCCGGGGACGAGTCGGAGGCCAGACCCGGGGAGCGAAGGCAACGGGTGCTGTTTTGAGGAGAGAGGAGGTCAGAGAGGTCGGGGGGTGCAGAGGAGTGCAGGGATTTGAAGACAAGGGTGAGGATCTTGAAGTCGATCCTCTCTGGGACAGGCAGTCAGTGCAGTCTGGCCAGGACCGGGGGGGATCGGGGAGTGGGGTTTGGTGCGGGTGAAAATGCGGGCGGCAGAGTTTTGAATGATCTGGATTTTATGGATGGTCGTGGAGGGGAGACCGACGCAGAGGGCCTTTGAACACCAGGCCCTGAATCTCTGGAACTCCTTGCCTCGATCGCTCCGTCCTGCCACCCGCTCTGTTTGTCTTCACCTGTGGACTTTTCTCTTCGGTCATCTCCGTCCCCATTTAGGGCTTGGCGTCAACCTACTGTTGACAGCGCTCTGTGACCTGCATGAAGATATCTGCAATATCAACACAAGTTGTTGTTGGAAACTCATGAGATCTTTATTGGAATGGAATGTGCACTCTTGACCCGTCACTGTTTGTGGGACATGATGAGCGAGGTCTCGGTTTGGTTTGCAAACTCTTTTGCAAGGCGATGGCCTTCTGCATGTGTCAGACACCTGACTGGCCACAAAAAAAGTGGCTGCTGCACTCATGTACAAATACAACAGCTGCAACTCTTAATAGTCATCTCCAAAAACATATTTTGAGATGTTTTGTTGTTCTAGTTTGCATATGGTATGATCGCTTAACGATTGTACTGCAGTATTACCATAATATCCGGTTCTACCAAATGACTTCCTTGTGCAGAATATTTTTGTTTCTATTTTAATAATAATCGTTGCATTTGACACAGCACCTGATCACGTCTTCGAGACGTCCCAAAGCGCTTCACAGGATATACTGTGAAGTGAATTGACCGCGTACTCTGTGGGCAAAACGCCGCAGCCATTTGTGCACAGCAATGTCCCCACAAACAGTCGTGGATTAAGTGACAAAATTCTCTTTTTTGAAGGGATTATTTCCCCTGGAAAGTGTCTAACATGCGGGTTCCTACTTACTCCTAGGTGAACAGAGGCGTGCGCGTGGAGTAAGGAAACTTGCCTCAGGTTTTGCCCTATCCCGCCTAAGCTCCCATTACAGTGCTTGTCAGTAACTGTTATTAACATAGCTTTTGTTTCCCTCCCGACCCCTTTTTTTGTTTTTTGCAGTCTAAATCCGACGATGTCGTAATAGTTTCTTCAAAATACAAGCAGTTATATGAGTGTCGGTTACCGGCTCAAGCCATGAAATTTCAGCAAGACGCTGAAGATGAAGGGCAGTCCTATACGGGGCTGGGAGTCGCTGAGCTATTAAAGCCTATGGATGCAGCACCTTGTCTTATAAAGGTACGTCCCTTTATCCTGACCAGACTGTACGTCTGTCTGTGTCCTTACGCGCTGAGGGAACATTTCCTGTCGTAAATGGGGGCCAAGATGGATAATAATATTCCTTGCATTTGATACAGCGCCTCGTCACATCTTGGAGATGCCTCAAAGCGCTTCACAGGATGCACTGTAAAGGGAATTGACTGACCATTTTGTGGCCAAAACGCGGCAATAATCGAAATGTAGGAATAATAGGTGGTATCCAGGAACAGAATGTAGCACGATATAATAACCATCACATCGAGGGCTGCATTCTCACTCTTTAGATGTTTCAAAAAATAGTGTGAAAATCTTGGGGGGTGTGATCGCGCTGGAGGTACTTGTAGCCAACTTAGTGGATGTCTGTGTATCCAAACTTACCGTTTGCTCTTTATTTTCAGACCAAAGATTGGTGGACGTATGAATTTTGCTACGGACAGTATATCAAGCAGTATCACATAGAAGGTACTTGAGCAAGGCTCTCACATATGCATTGATTTCATCTTCTTGACAAAAGCTTAACATTTGTGTTAATGCATTGCTGATCGTAAATTGTTTGCCGCATTTAACAATATTAATAATAACATAATCCTTGCATCTGATATAGTAACTTATCCAGCGCTCTGGGACTTCCTCCCGATGTTGAAGGGCGCTATATGAATGTAATTTTGTTATTGTTGTTATTATCACATCGTTGAGACGTCTCAAAGCGCTTCACAGAATATACTGAAAAGTGGATTGACTGTGTATTTGTGAGCAAAACGTGGCAACCAATTGTGCACAGCAGCGTCCCACAAACAGTCGTGGATTGAGTGACCAATGTTTTGGGGGATTATTACTTCCGGAAAGCAATCCGCCAATTTACTAACAACCCGGTTTCTACTTGCTGCTACGTAAACAGAGGCACGCGGAGTAAGGAAAGTTTGCCCCATTCGGGAATCCAACCCCAGATCCTCTCGCTCGAGACAACTGCTCTTAATCAATACACTACAGGATGTGGGTGTATTTCAGTCCTCCACTGAGCTCGGTTCTTAAATTCGGCCTATTTTTTTCGAGTGATTCAGGTTTCAACGGTTGCCGTTTTGCTATTTATATGCTTTCAGATTCTGAAGTTAAAGGAGAAGTTCTATATCTTGGAATTTACGAATCGGAGTTTGACTGGAATAATGAAACTGCTAAGGTACGTAGTACGTACGGCAAGCCAAAGGCCAGCAGTCTCGAACACTGCACTCGGTTTCCATCACAATGTTTCAGTCCTTTCAGTGTTAACTGAATACCAATCAGAAACCCACATTTTACTCCCAACAACAACTTCATGCGGGATAGCATCCCGAGCAATTCAAAGATAGATGTCGCTTAACCGTTTTGATCTCAACACTTCACATTTCATCTCAGCAGCTAAATAATGCGGCTGCAAAGAATGTAAGTGAATAGACAAGAGGGACTGGGTTTGTTCTTCTTAGAGCAGAGGCGGTGATGAGGAAATTTAATAGAGAGTCGCTGCATTTGGCCATTGTGCCTTGTACTATTATGAGCGATTTATCACAAAGATCACTCCGTGTAGCTTAAGATCCCAAATTCTGAAAGAGCTTGTTCTTGTGGGCATGTTCTTCAAAATTAAAATTGTGCAAAACTGTGGAAAAAAATCTTCAGTTCATTTTTAATTTGGAGGTTGGTTTTCCTGCTGTTCTTTAAAGAACCGGCTTCCAAATCAAGATTGTTGTGAAGACATCTCCAAAGTTCTGATTGCCTCGAGAGCCTTAAATGTCTCCCTTTGTTTCATGAAACATTCTTCAAAACATTTCCATTCCCCGTTCCCCTCCCCCCCACTGTTTACAGGCTTCAAAGCAACACAAGCTGAAGCGGTATCACAGCCAGACCTACGTGAACGGATCAAAGTGTGACCTGAACGAGAAGCCAAGAGAGGCAGAAGTCAGGGTAAGATTGTAAAAGCCCTGTAACCTGGCTCAGTCGCTCACCTCTGAGTCAAGGGTGTTCGTTCAAGCCCCCACGTCGGGAATTGGAACTCGTGTAGTCTATACTAACACTCCAAAGGTTGTCGGAAGCATTCATTCTTCAGTTGAGACGGTAAATCCAGGTTCCATCTGTGCCCGGTTAGCTGTTGGAACGAGAAGGGAGTTTCTCTCTCTCTCCCAGTGTCCTGGCCAACAATCCCATGAAAAAAAAATTGTGGTTCATGGCTGTATGCAAGTGGAGTGAGCGACCAATTTTATCACGCCAGGACACCAGGAGAGAGAAACTCGTTCGAATATAAAGTGCCATGAGATCGCTAGTTTGGTGCAAACTATTGTAGACAGCTTTGTGGTGTGGGGCTGCACTGAGATCCCCCTCCTCTCTTTCTCCCCCCCCCCCCCCCCAACGAGCTGTCAGAAAAGACTTTCATCCTCATCAGTCTGGCTGGATTCACACACAAGGTCACTGAGATAAAAGGGCTTCCTGTGCACCTTCCAATATCCGACCTGCTCCAATATTCAAAAGGCAATCTGGCCTCATGCATAAAATATTCTCTGAAGTGTGCAGCAGATTCCCAGCATACTGCTAAGCATATGTTTCAGATTACTCTTCCCCTTTTATCCCAGTCTTATTGAGGGACGTTGCTGTGTGCTGGTGGGTTAGTGGGCGGCTAACTGTACGATAAACACTAACTGAACTTGATGACAAAGGCCCATAAGCTGGTTTTGATCTCATCTTTCCACAATAGTCCCCATTTTCCTATTAGAGTATCCAGCCGAGTCTCAAATTATTCCTCCAATTTTAGACCATTATAAATTCTCCTGTCCGTCCATTGGGAAGATGTTTCATTTTTCCCAGCTGTACTTGTCCTGAGTGTACGAAGGAATGATTTTGAAGGGATTGGCTGCAAAATAAACAGTCACCGCACGTTACAGTATATTCTGTGAAGCGCTTCGAGGCGCATCAGAGACGTGATCAGGCGCTCTCCCTCTCCCAGTTGAAAAACCCAACAATCCCCCAGTTAAGATTGGTCGTTCACTTCCAGGCTGTTTGGGGGAAATTGCCGTGTGCAACTTGGTTCTGAGTTCACCTACAGGGATACACCGCGGCTGCACTTTACAGGAATAATCAGTCCTCCCAAGAGGCCCAAAAAATGGGGCAATTTAAATTAAACAAAGGAAAGATAAGACACCTGAGATGCCCACATACTGTTCTGTTGCGTAACTTGTGTGATATGTAGAATCAAATGTGTTTTTACCTGTTGTCGCCACATGAGGTCACCGTATCCTTGCAAGTTTCAGGACATAAAGTTGTGTGTCTTCCTGAAGTACACCTACGTAATAATAATAATAATCCTGGCATTTGATACCGCGCCTTATCACGTTGTTGAGACGTCTCAAAGCGCTTCACAGAACATACTGTAAAGTGGACAAATTAGACAGATTTCTGTTAGGAAATATTATCTCGGGGTACAGTATATAGTTTTGGACACGACGTGTGCAAGTGACTGCCAGGATGGTGGAAAGTGAACTGGATGGACCTTGTTTTTTTTTGTCTTACGTTCTTATGAGTGACTATTTTGTGGGCATAGCAATATCTCGCAAACAGCCATGGAGTGAGTGACCAATGTTTGGGGGGGAGGGGGTGGCGGTGAGATTGTTGGCCAAGACACATGTTTTATACAGTGAAGGACACTGTGGAGATGAAAGCTGAATTCTGGAGAAGATCTGTGTGTTCTCTGGCAACGAACACAAAGAAATAGTTTGCTGAGAGGTTAATCTACGTGCTGAGAGAAGAAGCCAAGCAGATGTCGTATGGATTTAATAAATGCCAATAGTGAACAGCGGGTGGAGAGAGAGAGAGAGAGGATTTCACACCGAAAGGTTAATGTCTCTTTCAGATGCTAATCGTCCAGTGTTTAATCTCTTTGATTCCTGGCGTCACAACCTTTTCACATGTTTTAATCCCATTTGGATGTGGTCTGGTGTCCTCCAAGGGGTGTGGTTTCTGTGTGTGCTGTCTGGTTCCTTTGTCCGTCGGCTGTGTTTGAGCGCCTTAAGAGGGTTTGCAAACAGCTTTTCCTATCGAAACAGAAACTAAATAAACTAGAGTGAATAAATGAATCAATTAATTGGTAAACCTGATCGATGGCTCACATTTACAGATATTGACAAAAGGTCTTTACGAAAATGAATGATAGATTTACTGTGTGTTCAGTGGACTAGGGTTAGGGTTATTTTAGATTGATTCACACAGAGCCCCACTCTCTCTGAAACTCTCCACCTTCACCCCTCCCTCCTCAACTTTAACCCCCGTCCTAAGACCTTTCTTTCATCTGTGTTTTTGCTCGTTTCCCATTGTTCGTTCCTCATCCTCTCCCTCCGTGCTCAGCTCGAGCTCCCAGACGCTTCGGTGAAACAGTTTGAGCAGTCCTCTGACATGAACGGCGCTGTGTTAAATGTAAAGTTGTTGTTTTCGTATTCCTTTCCAAATGCTGTGAAGCTTCCTCTGTGTGTTTGTTCACCAGTTCCTGTGTGAGGAGGGATCCGGAGATTACTTGGCTCGAGTGGATGAGCCCCAGTCGTGCAGTTATGTCCTGACGGTTCACACCACTCGCATCTGCCACCACCCCTATCTGCGCTCCCCTGTGGCCTCCAAACCCCAGCCCATTAAATGTCAGCCTGCCCTCAGCCCAGAGCAGTACGTGGAGTATGTCAAGGCCCAAGTGTGTAAGTAAAGGCTTATATGTGATAAGCGCAAACTGAGTGTCAATGTTCATGTACTGAGTGGGCCACGACTATGCAAATCCGGTGACGTTCTCAAACAACGATTCCTGGGTGGGTCAGGGCGAAACCTTGCTCCACACACGCACCTCTGTTTAACCAGCAGTAAGTAGGAACCTAGTTGTGAGTCGATTGGCGGATTGCTTTACCGGGGGTAATAATTCCTTCAAAAAAAAATAATCCACGACCTCTGTGTGAAATTGGCTGCCGTGTTTCACCCACCAAATATACAGTCAATTCACTTTACGGTATATTCTTTGAACAACAGCAACAGCTGTATGAGAAATAGAGCACCTCTCATTGAGACATCTCAATGATGTGATTAGGCGCTATATCAAATTCAGCCAATTGCGCTCAGCAGTATCCCACAAATAGTCATGGAGTGAGTGACCCACATTTTTTTTTCTGGATGGGACGAGATTATTACCCTGGAAAGCGATCCAGCAATCGACTAACAACCACGTTCCTACTTACTGCTAGGTAAACAGAGGCATGTGGAGTAAGGAAACTTGCCTAAGGTTTCGCCCTGCCCGGGAATCAAACCTCGGTCCTCTGGCTTGTGAGGCGAGCGGGAACCACTGTGCTACGAGACTTATTATGATGATTGTTGTTATACTGTTCCCTCTCTTGTGCTCAGCTGACACGAAACGCAAAGTGGAAAAGATCTCAGAGGAGCTGAAGACCCTGGATGAGATGCTGTTGAAGGACCAGCCAGTTCAGACTGAGGAGGATCCCCAGAGTGCGGAGGCTGCAGAGGGAGAGAGTCTGACAACAGGAGAGGAACAGGGAGAGAGCCAGGAGAACACAATGTGGGTGGACGGTACGTTGGACACTGTCTGAGGCTGACTTTAATAATCCTTTCATTTGCTGTAACACCTACCACGTCAGGAGGACGTCCCAAAGGCAAGGGAAGGAGCAAGGCAAAGGGACTGAGGGATGGAGTTCCAAAGGGTGGCAACAGAGAGGCTGAAGGCCCGCCCGCCGATGGTGGGCCGGGCGGGGGACATGGAGCAGACAGTTCCAAATGAAGTTAGCAGGTCACAGAGAGGGAGGAGTAAGGCTGTGGAGGGCTTTGAAGGCGAGGGCCTACGACTGCGTTTACCTTTCTTCGGCGTCCTTCTTGTTATAAAGCGTTGTAAGATGCCATCCATGGGTATGAATGCCGGTTGTTCTGGATTAATGGCGTGTGTTTAATGCTGACTATCCCCCCCTCTCAGAAGGTGTCCCCTCCGATTCCCGGGAGATCGAGGAAGAATTGTGGGTTGGAGATGGCAAACAGGAAGTCAGCGATGGAGCCATGTCACAGGAGGGAGGGAATGAAGAGGTAGCAGAGACAACTGATTATTATTATTATTATTATTAGTACGAAGAACATTATCCTCAAACTTTCTTTCCCTCTGGCTTCCCTCCGCAGCGATCCCAATGCAGCCATCAAGCTGCTAACAAACATCTCTCCTCCACCTTCATGTCCTTGCACCCCCCGCCCCCCTTGAAATCCAGGACTGTCTCCAAACCCACCCACTCTCCCTGGTATAACAGCCACCTCCTCTCCCTTAAATCGCAAACCAACCGAAGCCCCTATAAATGCAATTTGTTGTTCAGTATTGCTCTCTCTGGCTTTTATTAAAGGAGGTCTGATGGAAAATTAATGTAAATTGTCCTGTTGAGATCTGGGCAGAGAATTCCCGTCTGGGAAACCTCGTGGAGAGGTCAAATACAGCTGTGGATTTTTATTTTATTTTACTCTTCAGGCAGAGCCAGCTGAGCAGGTAGAGGGTGAAGACCTGGATGACAGCCTAGATGAACAAGGTAAGAGACGTTCTGTGTGATTTCCTCTCCTCAACCATCTTCCCAAAGACTCGGGAGAAAGGATATTCACTTCCAATAACGTTGCAGCTGTCTTTAACCCACTGCTCTTTTACCCCAGGGAAGTGGATAGGTCTTGTGTCTTGCCTTCTGCTATCCTCTTTGAAGTGGTATAGAGTGCTAGGGCACAGAAACAGCCCATTAGGTCCAAATCCCTGACTGTCCAGCGCCTTGGGACGTCCACCCAATAGGAAAGGTGCTGTACAAATGTAATTTTGCATTGTAATCTGACCCAGTGTCAATACTCCACACGCGTTCTCGCCCCTCTAATGACCCTCACCTCTATACCTGACCCCACTCCCAACCCCCAGCTCCCCTCCTGAACCTGTTCTTTTGTGACCTTTACAGGAAGAGTGATTTGGGCAATGCTGTTATTTGTTTGCTCCCTTTAGGGAAACAGAAGATAAAATTTCGACTGATCCGGAATCCTGAAGACTTTGTGAAGTTTGTCAGAGAATTAAAAAAGCAAAATAAAAAGGTTTGTGTTTCACTGCCCACACTCCGCTTGCTGGTCTCAAAGATAATACTTTTGTGGTTCTTAACAACACCTGGGGTTTCTCATAACCGTCAAACTGCCTCAAATGGTATTTGAGAGCTCACAGCAGTTTTAGTTTAAAGTATAAATCGATCCTCTCCCTCGTCTTACAAATCGCTGCATGGTCTGGCACCTCCCAACCTTTCTGACCTGCTTTCTCCCAAATCCACTACCCGCTGCCTCCGACCCCTCGGCTGACTCCGGCCTCCTGCTTGACCTCGTCCCCTTCCGCTCCACCGTTGGCGGCTGCGCTTTCAGCCACTACGCCCGATTCTTTGGAACTCTCCCCCTCCAATCCCTCCACCTCCACCACCTCCCTCCAATCCCTCTTTTAGATCACGGCTGACCCCATTTCCAAGCCTCGTGCCACTCCTCCCTCCGGCTCAGGGTCAGGCTCCGTCACTGTTAAGAGCTCTGAGACGTTGCCCTCCGTGAAGGGCGCTGTGTGAATGGAATTTGTTGTTGTAAACAAAATGAGGTTGAGCGTGGGTCATGATTCACTTGTCTCTGTCTGTGTGTGTGTCTCTTTCTGTCTATCTGTCTCTCTCTCACACCCAAGAGGAAAGGTGAGGACCAGGACCTAACCCCAGAGCAATCTGCGGGAGGCACCGAGGAGCAGATTGCACACACATCAACGTTGGAAAGACTGGAAGAAGGAGTTGACGACGAGGAAGGCCAACTCCTCGAAGAGTTTGAGAAGCAACTTCAGGACGTGACTTTACCCAAGTCCAAGATGTCAGAAATTAAAAGGGAAGTGAAAGAAGAAATGGAGAAAGAAATTGCAACTCTCATTGATGAGGTGAGCGACTACTTCTTGACCTTAAACTTAAACGTTCTAAGAGCTAGATTCTAAATGTGCCTTTGGGACTCTTATCCCACATTCCCTTCGCCTCGCTCCCTCCCTTCCTCGTCTCCTTCAAGGCCTCTCAAGATCCTCCTCATCGACCACTCCTTTGGTTTGGGTGAAGGGGGTTGCAGGGAAAGCATTGGGCGAGACTGTGGAGGGATTTAAATGTATTCCCTGTAGAATATATAGATACAGTTGGTTGTTGTTGTTGTTGTAGTATGCCTTTATAAGTTCCCTTCTCAGGCAGCAGCTTCTCTGGAGTCCTGGTTTAGCTTGTCTCTCCCTAGCTGCAGACATTTGTGCGTTCTGCTCTGAAGCAGCAAAGCATTAGTGGAAGTCGGTTACTGAAGCCAAAAAGTGCAGGAGATGGAATCCGTCCCATTTTACTTCAAACAAACAGTTTTGCGTCAGTGAACACTTCTTTGTGTTTCGGAAACTGTTCCCTGCAGCATTGTTTTTAACCGGAAACAATCTGTCACTGAGTGACCTGTTCCATTGGTTAAACAACTGACTGACAGTGGCTGCAGGAAACTCCAGACTGGAATGCCTTGTTACCCGTCAGTTGTTAATGACTTGCTGGAACTCACTCCTGAGTATTAATTGTGTATAGAATTAATTATATCTTCAATATCTTCTCATCTCCTTAACCTCCCAGGCCTTGCCCTCAGACTGATTGACCCTGTGCATAAAATAAGCATCAGTTTCACTCTCTTGAACCTTTCTCCTCTTTCCAATCTTGTCTGTCGAGAGAGACACATCTTTCCTATGTGAAGGCGTTATATAAAAGCAAGGTGTCCGGTTCTATCATCCTTGGCAGTTCATCTGGTTTCCAAGTTTTTAAAAAAAACAAACCTTTACACTGTAAAACTCTTGCCAACACTAATTTGTCATCTAACTCACAAGCTTTGTAAAAGGGTGATTTAGTGGCAGAGTTTAAAGTCTGAGGCTCCATTTGTGCTTGTACATGTATTGGCTCCTGTTAAAACGTTGCTCTTTCGGAGTGTAGGAGCATAATGGCAGTTTGGAGAAATTGGGTAATCTTTAACCTCTCATCAGATTAGAGCTAAATTTGGTCACTTAAACCCTTGTAACTTTCCCCAGGCCGAAGGTGAACTTGAAGCAGAAGGTCTGAAAGGGGAATTTGATCACAATCAAGCCACTAAGAGCTTGGCCAGTACTCTGAACAAACTCATAGAGAAGCTGGAGACTAAAGAGGAAGAAGAGGAGGAGGAGGAGGAGGAGGAGGAAGCTGACCCCACCAGAGGCAGCCCTGGGCGCTCTCCCAAACCTGTCCCAGGTATTTATCTTCCTGGACTGTAGTGTAATATCTAATCCATATTATAATAATCCTTGTCTTTGATAAAGCGTCTTATCATGTCGTTCGGTTGTTTCAAATTCCAAATGCTCTGGGACGTTGCGTGAGGGATGCTATATAAATGCGAGTTGCTATTGTTATTCAAAGCTCTTCACGGAATGTATTGTCAAGTGAATTGACTGTATTTTACGAGCCCAATTTACCGCCAAATGTCGACCGGCTTCTCTTAACCTCAATGTTATCGGATGTTTCTAATGCAAGTTAGCTGAGGTGGGCACCTTGACAAGTTTTCTTGAACACAAAAGGCGGGAGGGTGGGAGGGAAGGGTGGGGGGAGGGAGGGATGTCCATTTAGTGTTTGTTGATCGCTGGCTTCCCATGTTTCAGAAGCTGATGAAGAGCGAGAGGCACACGTCAAGGTCCGTGTCACCAAAATCAATCCTGGCAGCTCACTGCACAAAGAGATGAGGGTGCGGGAGATGAGTGGCACAGACCCCCAACTGCGACAGATCGAGAATGTGGTGAAAGAACAGCTGGAGAAGGCGGGATTGAAGGCAGAAGGTAGTTTGGATTCCCCACTCGCCTCCTCGCATTCCAGACATTTTCTTATAACAATAATTTGTTATGATTTTTGATATTTGATATGGCGCCTTATCACGTCTTCGAGACGTCTCAAAGTCCGGGATACACTGTAAAGTGAATTGACTGTATATTTTGTGGCGAAACGTGGCAGCCAATTGCACACAGAAGGGTCCCTACAAACAGCCGTGAGTTGAGCGACCAAATTATTATTATCAATTATTTTTGAACGGATTATTAATCCCATAAAAGTGATCCGCCAATCGGGTTCCTACTGACTGCTGGTAAATAGAGGAGTGTGTGTGCAGTAAGGAAACTTGCCCAAGGTTTCGCCCTGACCCGCCTGGAAATCAAACTCGGCTCAATATCAGTATCGAGTTTTGTTTTGTGTGGGTTATAAATGCCTGAACTTTTCTTTCCAGGTAAAATTGAAGTGAAGATTGTAACGACTGGATCACTGGGCGATGAAGATGACCTGCACTGGCTGTCCGAGGAAGACACTAAATCCTTCAGAGAGCTTCTCATTAACTTACTGGTGAGTTCAGCTTCACCTTTCACACTTGTGTCTGCTGGATTTGCCAACACTTTACAGCAGCTCCCGTGCAGTAACTTCAGAGGTCCTCCCAATGTGCTTATTGGTACACAGTGAACCTTATCGGACGAATGAACATGACTCTCATACAATGGGTCAGATTGCCTTCTACCCTCCTACATTTCTTTGGAAGGGCCAACCAGTCACTAGGGGCAGGGAATCCTCCCACTCAGCTCCTGTCAATCCTGCAAGCCCAAACCCTACCGGTCCTACCTGGACAAACAGCGGGAAAGCTTGCCAGACAGTGAAATCAATGGTAAGCTATGTGGCTTTAGCTGGTTAGATTTCAGCGCACACTTCTGGGCTCCTCCCCCAAGCCTTGCCTCTTGCCAACCTGTGCCTAATACTCTCCAAGATTAGGAAAGCAGGATGTGTATCTCCAGAGAGAGAGAGAGAAAGAGCGCGTTCTATTCCAACAATCGTTCTCTGGGTTTTCCACGTGTGGGTGGGATGAGTGGAATTCCCAACTTGGTTTGGAGACTCTTAAGCAACGGCGATGGGTTGTTTCAGACACCCGGCTGGCCAAAAAAAACTTTCTTGTCCGGTGTGTTGATCTAGGCCGTGACCCTTCAGCCTCTAGCACTAAGTTTACTGAAGGATCTCTTGTGTTTTGAGCAGACTGGGAGCAATGACGAGGTCTCCAAAGAGCAGGAAAGGCAGCAACAGCTAGAGGATAATTACCGCTTTGTGTGGGGGAATAGCCAGGAAGACGCACAGTCAGCGAGCACCACAGACTCTGATGACATGGACTTCTAGACTCTGGACTGAAGGGAAACATCTCCCAGTGTTGGTACACACAAAAATCATTTGCACTTTGCCATGTGTCGTGGCACATTTGCTGTGATCACTGATCAGCAAGGATAATAAATGGACCTGCAGAATAACGGTCAGAAATGTTGTATTTTTATTGATAAGTTAAAGCGACATTTTTTCCCGGTGTTCACATATATGTATATAAAATATATATTTACATCTACATTTGGGATGACAGTGCCTTTGGGACGTATATAATATATATACTATATATATATATATATAAAATGCAGTCTTTTATTGAGGTTTTATTCTTTTGGAAGTGGGTGAACAATAGTGCATCTGTTTGTGTTGTGTGTGTATGTGTGGGGGTGGGGTGGGGGGGAGGATTTTGCTTCGATCTTATGAATGTATTTCTTAGTGTTGAGCTAGACCACTAGAATGGAGACTGTGCAACACTGCTCACCTGCAGACCCTGTCCCCCTGGAGGGACTGACTGCTCTTTGACCACGTGGAGATCACTACCTGATGGGACTGTGCTTGTCATCTCTCGGAGGTGTTGGTTCCTGGGGTTCCGAGACGTTGCTGCTCCAACTAATTGGTCGTTCGTTCGTTGGTTCCTCCCGTGGGGACGAGGCAGGAGTGAGGACCGGGGGAACCCAGCTGTGGAGCGTGCCAAGCCTGGTCCAGCCCACCCAACAACCAGCACACGTGCACTTTCCAGCAGGGATTCTGCATTCAGAAACGAGAACTGTGGCTGAGGATCTTACCCTGTGTCGCCCAAGGCCAATTGGGGCTGCGTGGCCTACATCACACAAACTGCATGCATCCTCTTGTCTGATGTTAGAGTTGGGAGTCCATCTCCTGGAGGAAGGGAGCTTCCTAATCTCTCGCCAGGCTTGTGTTCACGTTGATGTCTCTCTCACTCGTTGGTGATCGAATGTAACACTTGAAAACTGCAGAGGAAAGAAACCTCCGCGTCCTTCAAACCTGTGATTTGAACAGCCAGACGCCAAGCCTGAGACCCATCAAATCGGTGACTGGGAGACGTTAACAGATGCCAAATATGCTCTTCATCTGGTTTCCATGCTTACAAGTGAAGGCATTCCTTATTATCAATCCAACAGTGAATGAATTGCTGCTAACTCTGTGGCCAACCTGTATATCACGGCTAAATTACAATACTATTAGCTGCTGGATGTTCACAGGTGGCCAGTAAGTGTTTTGTTCTTATCTGTGTACACTTCAATCAGTGTCTTATCCTCTTATTAATTTGTGTTCCTTGTTTGTTTTTTGTCCCAGCTGCTTTGTGAATCAAAATGTGGACTTGCTTTGCGATTTTATTATTATGATGATGATTGTGATTGATAATCAGCATCCCGTAATGACACTTTGCCACGACTGGGAGAACAAAAGGCCTTGGAGGGGAAAAAATGCAAAGAAAAAAAAACTGGTTATCTTTCTCAAAGGTTTCTGAAATATTTGGGCAACACTGTGATTCGATGTTTAATAAAGAGCAGTCTCCAGCTGATCGGGCGTGTTTAATCTCCTTTCCTGAGTCCAGCTCCTTGACCAGCTTTAAGGTTATAGTAATCCTTACATGTGGTAAGTGATTTTCACATCAGGACGACGCCTCAAAGCACTTCACAGGATTCACTGTGTCACTGTGCCCGAGGTGTCTCCTGGTGTCTGGCCAATAATCCTCCAGATAAGTATTGAGACGGTTCACAACCGTATGTGGGACTTTGCTGTCTGAAAAATGGCTGCCGCCTTTGGGACATCGGTGCCTTTGGGATGTCCTCCCGGCGTGAAAGGTGTATTCACATATATAATGCAACTTGTTGTTTGTTCTTGGCATTTGTCTATAAAAGTCACTAAAAATGAAGCTGATTACAATGAATCTTTAGATATTTCACGGCGATAAGGTGCAACATTCCTTCGTCAAAAGTGGTTCTGCCGGAGTGGCTGGAGGAGAGCCAGCGATGACGGACCCAACGGGAGGACTCCGGTTGTGATCTGGGGTTTGGACGGAAATAGTTTTTGTTTCAATGCTGCTCTCCCTGTAGTCAGTAACCTAACCTGTTAAGGCAGCAGGAGGGACAGGTCGACTCGCGTTAGCCCACAGTTCAATTCCTTTTCAAGTTGCGCTTATTCTCCAGAGTGGGGGGGGCGGAGGTACGCAGGGTCTCCTTACAGCAGAATATCAGGATCGAGCGGGTCCACGGTGTCCCAGGGCACTCACCGCTGAGCCCGGCCTGGCTCGTCCCTGGTCCCCCAACCCCCCCCCCCCTCCGCCACAAAGGCTTGGCTCTCGCCAACCTGCGCCTAATACTCTCTGGAATTAGGTAAACGGAGGGGGTGGGGGGGGTGGGGGGTCCCTCCAGGGAGAGAGTGAGAGAGAGAGAGAGGGTTCCCTCATGACAGACAAAACACACAATGACAAAATGACACTCCACAGCGAGCGCCTGCGAACGTCCCAAAACACAGTCACTACACCTCACACGGTCTCTTCTGTGAAGGGGTGGGCGGGGCGGAGGGGCGGGGCTTTGAGACGGGGCGGCTGCGGCGGCCAATCAGCGGCGAGTGGGGCGGGGCGCAGGCTGGCGGAAGGGGTTTCGACCAATGGGAGTGCTCGAGGCCGGGAAAGGGGGCGGAGCGGTATATAAAGGGCTGAGAGCGGCCGCAGCGACCGTTAGTGGCGGCGCCGGAAGGAGGAGGTGAGTGTGAGGGGGAGAGTGTGAGGGGGGGGAGAGGGGTAAATAATATTAAGCCCTGACTTGGTCTCCCCCTCCCCCCCCCCTCTCGCTCTCTGTACTTTATGCGGGTGGGGGTGGGAGACTCCAATACCTCCCTCACACACACACACACACACGCCCCCCCCCCCCCACTCCAGGAGCAGGACTGGCCTTGCCCACAGTGGGGGGTGGGGGAGTGGTGGGGGGGGGGGGGAGAGACAGTGGCTGGAAATTGGAGTTGTTCTATTTTATGCCCCCCCCCTCACACAGTGCGGGTGGTACAATCCGCCAGGGCGGACGCGCGAGGAGCAGCCCGACCTCGGCCCCGCCCCCTCCGCTCAGATTGATTGACGGGGCCCGGGGCAGCCAATCAGGGCCGAGAGGGGCGGGGCTGGGGAGGGCTGGGGGGAGGGGTTTCGGGGGTCGCTCGACCAATCCGGAGGGCGGGGCTGAGGGCTCAGCCAATCCGGGCGATGGGGGGCGGGTCCCAGCTCGGGGGGGCGGGGTTTATATAGCGCCCGAGGAGTGACAGTGGGAGGAGGTGAGTGACCTGAAGCTCTGCTCTATCCCTTTATCTGCTCTCTATCTCCTTCTCTCTCTCTCTCTCTCTCTCTCTATCCCTCAGCCTTCTCTTCGCCTTCGAGGCGTCACAGATCTCCTCACACGATACCCAGTAAAGTGTAGTGACTGTGTATTTCGTGGGCGAAGCGCAGCAGCCACTTGTGCCCCACCCTCGCCCGACCCCATCGCCCCCATCGCCCCGACCCCATCGCCCCCGACCCCATCGCCCCCATCGCCCCCGACCCCATCGCCCCCGACCCCATCGCCCCCCCCCCGACCCCATCGCCCCCGACCATCGCCCCATCGCCCCGACCCCATCGCCCCCATCGCCCCCGACCCCATCGCCCCCATCGCCCCCGACCCATCGCCCCGACCCCATCGCCCCCGCGCTCCCGACCCCATCGCCCCCACCCTCCCCGACCCCATCGCCCATCACCCACCCTCCCCGACCCCATCGCCCCGCCCTCCCCGCTCCCCATCCCCCAGAGAATCGAGTTCAAGATCTTCGTCCTCACCTTTAAGGCCCTCCATCCCCTCGTCCCCTCCCAACGAGCAAAGGCCAAGGTTCGGAGATTGTGTTTGTCCACGTGGAGTGGCCGGAATATAGGCGCAGAGTCAATATTACTCAACTGCAAAATTTTCTGTTTTTTTCTCACTGTTTCTCTGTCTCTTTCTATGTCTCTCTCTCTGTCTGTCTGTCTGTCTCTCACTCTGTCTCTCTCTCTCTCTCTAGTTACCATCTTGACTGCTGTCCGCACACAGTCTGAGAGGTGGGAAGACACTGCTCTGAAGATTATGACAGTAATATTTAACTAAATGGAGTTGGGTTAAGAAGGAGACCTCTGACGAAGGTACTCAACTCCTTCAGCAAAATCCCGTTGGCCTTGTTCTGCCAGATCTCATTGCTCACTTTTTCACCATTTATCCCTTAATCCCCTGACTTCCCAAAGTAACTATCTCTTTCTTAAACATGGCTCCGATCTGCCCCAACGCCACCTGAGGCCGTGTGTTCCGCACTCTGACTTCCGTGGGACTAAGTGTTTTCCAGTTTCACTTCTAACTTCCAGAAGACGTGAAAAGCACTATTATCAAATGCAAGGAATGTTATTTATTTATTTTATATAACCCATTTTAGCTCTCCTTTGAACCCTGGAGGGTATTAGGCACAGGTCGGCAAGAGCCAAGGCTTGGGTGGGGGGGAGCCCGGAGTGTGAGTTGGGGGTAACTGTTGGAGTCTAAACCCATCCAGAGATTGGCCATTGATATTGCTTTCCCGCTGCTTGTCCAGCTAGGACCACCCTCCCCATTAGTTGGTTGGTTGGTTGGTGGGTGGGTGGGTGGGTGGGTTGGTGCTTTGGCTGCAGGGTTAACAGGAGCTGAGGGGGAGGATTCCCTGCCCCCAGTGACTGGCCTTGCCCTTCCAGATCCATTCCTGCACCAGAGAGAATGAGCGTCCACTGTATAGCTCTCCAATCCCCTTTATTATTTTAAACTTCTCAATCAGATCATCCCTTTAATCGCCTCTTCCCTAAAGTATATAAGGCCAGGCTCCCCATCCCAGCTAAAACCTTACAGACTCGTAATAACTTAATCCAGTGGATTATTGCTGGGCCGGACTGGGGTGGGTGGTGCTGAGACGTCTCAACAACGTGATAAGGTGCCATATCAAATGAAAGGATTATTATTATTACACAGGTCTCAGGGTGAGGGTTTAGCAGAGACGGAAAGATGGCTACCCTCTGCTCCCGCTCCTGCTTGTCTTTCCTCTTCGGGGTCCTGATAGGAATATTCAGCTTGTACTTCATCACCAACTACTTCTCCTTCATCCGACACTTCAGCCTCCAGCCTGAGGGGCAGAACCGCTCCCGGGAAAGGTCCCACCGACCGGGAGTCACCGTGTCAGCCAGCACCAGCCACCGAGCTGCACTAGGTACCATTCAACAGCAAATTACACAGCCCCCTCACGTGGGGTAGAGTCCTGGAGCGCTTGATGGTGGCGGAGTTTGACCCCGAGTTGGGGGGAGAGGTTGGGAGGCGAGATGACTGTGAGCACGGTCAAAAAAGAAAGTCTTTGGGTGGGATTTGAAAGTGGGGAGAGGGGAACGAGGCAGAGAGATTGAGGGAGAGAGTTCCAGAGTTTCGGGGCGCAGTGGCTGTAAGCGGTGGTGGGGGCGGGGGTGCCAGGAGGTACAGACGAGGCTGGAGGCAGCGGGAGATGTGGAGCGTGGAGTAAACAGATCAGAGAGGTAGGGAGGGGGGAGGGTGTGTGGGGCTGAAGGCCAGATGGTGGGGTGGGCGGGGTTTGGTGGGGGGTGTAGGGGGTGTGGGGAGAGACATGGAGCAGACCAGAGTCCGCTGAGAGGACAGGTCACTGATGTGGGGAGGGAGTGAGGTCCTGGCACTAGGAATACAGTCTGAACGTGGTTTGATCCCCTCAGGTGTGGACAGCGCGATGGCGGACAGCCTCTACAGGCATGTGCGTGTGCTGTGCTGGGTGATGACGGGGCCGAACACGCTTCAGACCAAAGCCAAGCACGTGAACGCCACGTGGGGTCGGCACTGCAACACGGTGCTGTTCATGAGCTCCGCGCAGGACAGCGAGGGGCTCAGCATCGGCCTGGGCACGGGCGAGGGGCGCGACCAGCTGTACTGGAAAACCATCCGAGCCTTCCAGTACGTCCACCAACATCACCTGCATTCGGCCGACTGGTTCCTCAAAGCCGACGACGATACCTTCATGGTGCTGGGGAACCTGCGGTGGCTCCTGTCTGCTCACTCGCCCGACCGGCCCGTCTACTTCGGCAAGAGGTTCAAGCCCTACGTCAAGCAGGGCTACATGAGCGGTGGGGCGGGCTACGTGCTGAGCCGGGAGGCCCTCCGCAGGTTTGTGGCCGGCTTCGAGGCCAACGTGTGCGCCCACACCTCCCCCGTGGAGGACCTGGCCCTGGGGCAGTGCCTGGCCAAGGTGGGAGTGGAGGCCGGGGACTCGAGGGACTCCCTGAGCAGAGAAACCTTCCATCCCTTCATACCGGAGCATCACCTGATTCCCGGGATCCTGCCCAAGAGCTTCTGGTATTGGAGCTACTGCTATTACCCCATCGTGGAGGTGAGCGATTTAAGGAATTCAATGCAGGACGTGAATGTTTGTCCCTCTGTGCCTCCCCACCCACCATGTGTAGTGACTGAGAATCTGTCTGGTTGGGTTTGTTTGTGTGTGTTGTGTGTGTGGTGTGTGTACACGCCCTGGGATGTCTTCCCGACGTGAAGGGTGGAATACAAGTGTAATCTGCTGCTGCTGTTGTGTGTACACAGGGACCCCAGTGCTGCTCTGACCTGGCCGTCTCCTTCCACTACGTCAACCCGCAGCTCATGTACGAGCTGGAGTACCTGGTCCACCACCTGCGGCCGTACGGCTACCACTTCCGTTACCGGCCCGAGGGGGAGTTGCCGCGAGCCCAGGCGAGCTCGGAGCCCGCCCCACACAACAGCACAGAGCGTCGCCAGCTGCTGCCGTGACGGAGCCCGGCGCAGAGACGGTGGCTACAACGTGCGGCAATCAGTGCACGATTGGAGACGTTCTCGCTGGAAGGAGTGAGGTTACCTTTCTCTCTCTCTCTCCTCCTCCTCCTTCACAGCTGCCGTCCCCACAGAGTCCGAGCGGCAGTTGTTCACGCGCGGTGAGCTTTGGCTCTGAGCTGAGCTGAGAGTCGGTGAGTTATTCCACAGTGAGAGGCTCACAGACTGAGACTGAGCCTCCGCTCGCTGTGCTCACTCTGGATTGGAACCCTCGTCATTTTCTACGTTAACCCAACTGAACTCCGCACAGACCGGTCACCGGGTGAACTCCAGCCCGCGAGTCACCGGAGCCTTCACGCTCCGTTCCTCTCCACGGTGGGGTGGGGGGTGGGTGGGGGGGTGAGGGAGCTACGGGCCTCTGAGCCTGAGGGGACACGGAAGGAGGGAGGGAGAGAGCGAGAGAGAGGGAGGTTTGGTTCGCTAACTAAAGCAGCCCATCGGCAAATCCCGACGTTTGTTACGAAACCAAATTAATCCTCTCTTTCCAAATCAGTTTGGTTTATCAAATGCAAAACAATTATTATTATTATTGTTATTATTATTATCTGCACTGAGGCTGAAATGCCACGTGTTGTATATCAGTTTCAGTGAGTGTTTTATGGGCCAAACAGTTACCTCATTTGGCCTAAATTCCCAAAGTGTCAGTGAGGGACTGGCAATGGTTACTCTGAACCTCACAACACGTCCGACCCGATCTGAGCCTCGACGTTTGCGAACCAATAACTTTCTGAAACTGATTCTTTTTTCAACAAAGAGAAACGAATGATTCTTTTGTTCTGTGATGTTGACCCTGTGGTGTATCAGACGCTGTGTGTGTGTGTGTGTGTGTGTGTGTGTGTGTGTGGAGGGGGGGGGGGGGGTGGGGGGCGCGTGGTGGGGTTGGGGGGGGAAAATCTCCTAAATCGTGTTTTCTACAGAAAAGAGAGAATGATATCTTTGAACTTTTGTTGACGTCTTATTGGGGGGGAAAAAAATATCCTTCCGTCCACACTCACTGCAGTGCAGCCACGGCCCGGCCCGGCCCGGGGTGAGGGGCAAACCCACGGCCCCGGAGACACCGGAGGCTTCGGTTTGTTTGGCTTTGCCGGACACACGGCTTCGCTGTTTGTGGATTGTTTTCCATAGAGAGCCTCACGGCACAGGGGACCTGACACGTCTGCTCCGCCTGAGACCAAGGACCCAGTGAGTGAGTGAGTGAGTGAGTGAGTGAGTGAGTGAGTGAGTGAGTGAGTGAGTGAGTGAGTGAGTGAGTGAGTGAGTGAGTGAGTGAGTGAGTGAGTGAGTGAGTGAGTGAGTGAGTGAGTGAGTGAGTGAGTGAGTGAGTGAGTGAGTGAGTGAGTGAGTGAGTGAGTGAGTGAGTGAGTGAGTGAGTGAGTGAGTGAGTGAGTGATGGAGTGAGTGAGTGAGTGAGTGAGTGAGTGAGTGGAGTGAGTGAGGGAGTGAGGGAGAGAAGGAATGAGTGAGTGAGTGAGTGAGTGAGTGAGTGAGTGAGTGAGTGAGTGAGTGGAGTGAGTGAGTGAGTGAGTGAGTGAGTGAGTGAGTGAGTGAGTGAGTGAGTGAGTGAGTGAGTGAGTGAGTGAGTGAGTGAGTGAGTGAGTGAGTGAGTGTGAGTGAGTGAGTGAGTGAGTGAGTGAGTGAGTGAGTGAGTGAGTGAGTGAGTGAGTGAGTGAGTGAGTGGAGTGAGTGAGTGAGTGAGTGAGTGAGTGAGGGAGTGAGTGAGTGAGTGAGTGAGTGAGTGAGTGAGTGAGTGAGTGAGTGAGTGAGTGAGTGAGTGAGTGAGTGAGTGAGTGAGTGAGTGAGTGAGTGAGTATCAGATTGTAATTAGCTGGCGCAGTGACCCGAGGTGTCCTGGTGGCGGCGCTGACGAGCTGCCCGCTCACTGATGGCAGCAGCGCCTCCCGCGGGCGCCGCCTGGTATTGCGTCCGTCGACCTGAAACGCTGTGTAAACCGGACACGCGCGGTGGTGGCGGCCATGTTGTCCGGTTTAAGAGGCGGCCGGTGTTAACCGAAACACGGTGCCCGCCCAGCGGGGGAGCGCCGCCGGCTCCGCATAATGGCATCCGGACCCAGTTAGCGGCGGGATCAGGCCGTCCATCCGTCACGGCAGCACCAGCCAATCACAAGTGGCTCCAGCTGTCAAGTCAATCACGATGTCCCTCCCTTTCCTGTATCCCTGCGCTCCCCCCCACCCCTTCACTGATTGACAGCCCAATCCAGCCGCACGCAATTGGCTGGAGTCCGCTGTCGATCGCGATTTGACTCCTCCCCTCTCCGTCCGTGAGCCCCTTGTGGCTGAATGAGGCCTCAGTACCACAGAAGCCCCGAGTGAGGACAGTCAGCCCCCGCTGACCAGGACCAGCGCGGTGGGTATTTAACGCGGGCAAGAATACAAATGATTCGGAGCCGGGCGTTCTGTTTATTGGATTGTACTTTATAATCTCATTAGCCGTCTCCCCCCATGGTCACGCAACCCCACCCCCCCCTCCCCACCCCTTAATTGCCCAAATATCTATCACGTGTCAGACTGGCTCAGTGGTAGCGCTCTTGCCCCGGAGTTAGAAAGTTGTGGGTTGAAGCCCTCACACAGTCTAAGCTAAAGCACCAATGCAGTGCTGGGGGGGTGTTGTCCCTCGAGCCACTGCCGTCTCCTAAACACAGTCGCACAATCACCAGTAAATGTCGGGTTCAGTCGTATAAAACAAACACCGGTTTATTGGGGGTGGTGGGGGGGGGGGGAGGGCGCACTTTGAGAGATGAATTGAATCTTCACTTTCTTCGAACAGCCTCGGCACGAGTGGGTTAAACAGATCTCAGTGACCTGCAAACAAACAGAGCTTTAGTCAAGGGGACTATATATATATATATACACACACACACACTCTGTCCGTGTGCTCCAGAGAGGTTCACCACTCAGTGCCCAAACCACAGGATTGGCAAATAGGCACAAACAGGTTAACCAGAACAGGTAACTGGGAACATCTCTAACTTTCTCACACTCACACCATCGATATCGCTGCCTGACGAGCTTTCCCACTACTTGTCCGGCTGGGACCACCCTACCCGTTAGGGCTTTGGCTTGCAGGGCTAACGGGAGACGAGTGGTTAAACACTGGGAGCTTAAACCATCGCGAGTGACGCGTGGGGAAGGGTTAATGAGGGGAATGATTACCGTGGTCTGCCAGTGACTCCCATCGCTGAGGCCGCTCTGCCCGGAGGAGTTGATTCACCTGTTCAAATACATTTTGAGTTATTAATATTTTTGGTAATATTTCAGTGACTAGACACTATTGATCAGCGGTCAGTGCAGTGACCCTCCCACTCTGTCCCCATATCTGCAATAGTGCCCACTCTGGACCAACATGACATTGCCCATTCCTCCCAACTGTCCTGTGGTGGAGGCTGGGGGGAGGTCACCAATTTACCACCAGACTAATGAGGATTCCTTCCTCCACACACCTCTGTTTACCAGAACTCTGGCGTTAGTCGATTGGTGGATCGCTTTCTGGGGGCAATAATCCCTTTTAAAAAACACTAATAATGTCACTCAATCCGCGGCTGTTTGTGGGACGCTGCCGTGCACTATTGGCTGCCGCGTTTCGCCCACAAAACACGCATTTGATGCGCTCCCAGTGGAAGAGCAGATATTAAAAGCAAAGGCTTTATTCTCACCGTATTCCACGTTCCGTCTTCCCATGAGGCCAACAAAGAAATCGTGCATATTCCCTGCAGAAAGGAAGAAGCATTGATCAGCCACAAACAGGTTGGCTTCACTGTCGAGCACTGTCCAGCCTGAGTGTGGTGTCTGGGGATTTAAACTCAACTGATTTAACAATTCAGCTCTGCCTCCCGTTTGCTTTGTTTATTTCTGCCTCACACTGTGTGACATAGTGAGCGACGAACGTGTCATTTAACACCCTGGTTAATTGCCGGATCACCTTTCCGGGGGTAATAATCCCTCGAAAGAAATAATAATAATTCTATGTCTCTTATTCCGCATCGGCTCCTCTGTGTCATTCTCAGTGTCCAAATGTTGCTCCACTGCCCCAGACTTTATTCCCTGAGGCTGTTACTCTGCTCTCCGCTCCTCAGCTGCTCACAAATACTCACGTTTCTGAGCTGAAGCCTTTGTACCTGCAAAAAAAGAGGCAAAGAAAAGCAACGAGTGAGTGAGTGAGTGAGTGAGTGAGCGAGCGTGTGGGCGAGCGGGCAAGTGAGTGACATGAACACTCCGGTGTGTTCCCGCGTGTTATTCCATGTTCCGGTGTGTTCACTTACCGGCCATTCTCCTTCCCATCAAACCCACAAACCCGTCGTAGGAAAGTCCATCGTAGTAACGCTTGAAGGGAAACGAAGGCACATTTCCTGGATCTCGGTTTCCCTGAAACACAACAAACCCCAGGATTCAGAATGCCATTGGAAACGATATTGGGGAAAGAGAAGGGAGTCTGAGACATTGGACAGTATCCTCTACACTCGCTCAGGGCTGCACGGACCCTCAACAACAACTCGCCCCTATACAGCCCCCCCCCTCGCGCAGGGTGGGGTCCCAGAACACTCACCCGGTCCAGATCCCAGCCATTTCCTGGTTGTTGCACCGACTCCTCCCAATTCCCGTGAGAAGTCTTCAGGAAGATGGAGAGAACGGCCAGAGCGAAGAGAATCCGCATCATTCCCAGGTTTCCCGGCTGCTGATCCCGGCCGGAGAAGGAACGAGGCTGAAGAGGACAGAGAAACAAAGACGGGGAGAAAACCAGATCAGACGAACAGCCTCAAACACACAGGCGGCAGATCACGAGCTCAGCTCCAGACAATACACACTTACATTTTACAGCGCCTTTCACATCATCCAAACGGGTCTGGAACCCACAACCTTCTGGCTCTCAAAGAGACGTCTCAAAGCGCTTCACAGAATATACTGTAAAGTGTAGTAACTGTATCTTGTGAGCGAAACCTGGCAGCCAATAGTGCCCAGCAACGTCCCCACAAACAGCCGTGGAGTGAGTGACCACATTATTTTTTGTTTTGTGGGGGGGGGGGGGAGGGATTATTAGCCCCGAAAGTGATCCGTCAATTGACTAACAACCGTGTCCCCGCGTACTGCTGGGTGAACGGAGGCTGTGCGTGGAGTAAGGAAACGTTAGGTTTCGCCCCGGCTGGGAATCGAACCCGGGTTCTCTCGCTTGTGAGGCGAGCGGGAACCACCACACTGAAGGTCTCCACTAACTAACTAACGTCTCTTCAGCTGTTGTTGGCATAACAAAGCGCTTCACAGAACACACTGTAAAGTGAATTGACTGTATATTTGTGGCCGAGTAGATGTTCAGCAACGAGAGAGTTATCGCGGAGTGAGCTCGGGTTTCTCAGGCTGTCATTGAGGCTGACATCGCTGTCCGTGGTTCTCACCGTTAAACCTCTCAGTGTTGGGTTTACTCAACATTTACAAACTGTAAATCACTAACAATTAAACAGGAGAACTCAGGTACAGGATTTAAATTGATATGAAACAACTTGGAAGCTTAATAGAGCTGAGCTGCCACACAGACTGAAACACTCATACAGACAGACATATTCACACTGACACTTTACCACCGACACAGCCTCACACTGACACCCACATTTGCATCGAAACATACAGACTAATACAATCACACACACACACGTACTCACACTGACACACACACACACACACGTACTCACACTGACACACACACACACACACGTACTCACACTGAAACACACACGTACTCACACTGACACATACACTGACATACACACACACTGACACGCTCACACACACACTCGCACTGACACACACACACACACACACGTGCTCACACTGCGTGTGGCAGTCACCGGCTTTACTTAGCGTCGCTTTGCAAAATGAAACGGTCTTCAGGCCCCTGAACAGAAACACAATTAAATATAAAAAAAACGATTAAATATAAACAACAATTAAATCAGCAATTTATAAGAATGCGTTTGACTGATGGCAAAGCTCATCGATAAACTGTTTTGTTGCCGAACAACTAAAAGTTTCAGACACTGAGGCTCTCGCACTCGGGCACAGAAAGCCTCACGATAAACTTAACACCGAATCACCCACAAAACACACAGCAAACACGTTTGACCGTAAAATCCCGCGAAGCGCTTTGAGACGTCCGCCCGATGTGACGGGTGTCCTGGCAACACACGAGGCCAGTTACTGTGAATATTAATAAAAGAAAAACACTTTTAGCGCTGATGGTCCAGCAAACCTTGGCAATGCTCCGGGACTTTCTGCTGAGAAGTTGAGCGGCGTTCAGTTTCTCCTGTGTCTGATTCCGGTCAACTCGCCTGTGTCGACACCTGCGGGGAGGGTGAAGTCGGTGTCTCGAGTGCCTCGCAGCTCACAGTGACTGAGCTGACGCTGACTCTCTCTCTCGCTCTCTCCCCGCTCAGCTTATACAGGCTCAGCTGCTCGCGAGTGCTGTAACACAGACCAATCCCTGCCGGTGTCCCGGTGGGTGACACAGGACTCCCAGAGAAATGCACCAATTGGGAACCGAACAGCAAACATCTGGGATAGAACCAAATGCCTGCAGAGCAAGTCCCAGGACACCCCCCAACCCCCCCGCACACACCCTGGGGGGTATTTATGCTAATCCCTTCACTCCGTAGTTTGTCAAACGTCATAAAATCACCCCCTCCCCAGTCATCCGCGGTCGCTCGCGCTCTCACCTCTGAGTCAGAAGCTTGTGGTTCGAGCCCCACTTTTGGGGTGTGGTGGGGGGGTTTGAGCCCAGAGTCGGGGCTGAAGCTCCAGCCCTGCGCTGGGGGGGAAATGTAACTTTGTTTGCGAGTCACGTCACCTCCATATCTGTCCAGGTGGATGTTCAAGGTGAATGAGGGAGGAGAGACTATCGAGGATTGTGTATATCTCATCTATCTATATATATATATATATATATATCGCCCACAAAACACAGTCACTCCACTTTACAGTGTATTCTGTGAAGCGCTTTGACACGTCTTGAAGACGTGATGAGGCGCTGTGTCAAATGCCAGGATTATTATTACTATAATATCAGTGTTGCTGTGCACATGCCTCGGCGAGGAATAGAGAATTAAACATAAACAGTCGGAGAGGTCGCTCGAGTGGAAAAAAATAAGTCACAGAAAGTTAAAGAGAGGGAATGAGAGGTAGAGTGAGAGAAACTTGGAGAGATAGAGTGAGACATAGAGAGCAGTGGAGCGAGCGGGTGGGTGGGGGGGGACAGTTACATGGTTGTTTAACAAACAGGAGAGGACTCTTGTTGAATTGTCTCCCTCCCACCCCATGTGGGAATGAGCGAAGGAGGGAGCGCGAGAGAGAGAGAGATCCTCACACAAAGGGCAGAGCTGACTTCAAGGTAATCCAGCCTGAAAAGAGTCTTTGAAGGGAAAAAAAGAATTAATTAAGCAGCGGAATAATTTATTTCAATAACAGCTTGCTCCGAGCAGTCGGTCGCTCAGCTATAAACTGTGCAAATGTTGCTAAACGGATGAAAATGATTTGGAAGCACCTCAAAATTCTGGTAATGAGGACGAGGATTCAAGAGTAAATACTTAAGTAAAATTTGATGGAATAAACATGAAGTTTTTTTTTCCAAGGGCCATCGAGGACCGTAATGTTTATAATAATGATGATAATTTTACCTCTTGTTACAATTCAATCAAATCTGTAAGCGAAACACTGAAGGCTTTTAGAGATCAGAGTGTCTTCGAGGAGAGGGGTGAGGAGGTTGGGGAGTGAGGAGGGGTGGAGGGTGAGGAGGGGAGAATGAGGGCAGAGGTAAGTAGGGTCTCCTCGGAGCTGAGCTGAGCTCCTCTGAGCTCCAAGGTGACATGTTTGCCAATGGCATGTCACAAACATACACCCACATAGACACCCACATAAACACCCACATAAACACACACACACACAAAGGGGCGTATGCAGAAGACATTCACACAGACTCACTCACTGACTCAGTCTCACTGATACAGACACTCACACCCACGTCCAGCGATGGAGCGAGTGACCAATTTTATCTGGGGATTGTCGGCCAGGACACTGAGAGAGAGAGACTCCCTTCTTTTTTCCAATAGCTCCGCGGGATCTTTACATCCACCTGAACAGGCAGACGGTGGGTGAGGTTTAATGTCTCATCCGTATGAGTTTCAAGTCCTGATTTAGGGGTTTGAACCCACAACCTAAGTAATCAGGAACCCACTTGTCAGTCAATTGGCGGATCGCTTTCTGGGGGTAATAATCCTTCCCCAAAAAATTGGTTCCTCAATCCATGACTGTTTGTGGGACATTCCTGTGCCTCGTTTCACCCACGAAACACGCAGTCACTGCCCTTTACAGTGTATTCTGTGAAGACGTCTCGGCGATGTGAAAAGGCGCTCTGTCAAATGTAAGGGCTATTATTATTAATACCTTGTGACTGGGAGGTGAGTGCGACTGACTGAGTCGGGCCAATGTTTTCCTGTGTGGATGCTGTGTTCCTCTCTTCCCCCCCCAACCCCCCCACCCCCCCACCCTCGAGTACCTCATCCAATTCAGTCCACTCCTCAGAAGCAGCTCTTGTTGCAGCTCAAGATCTCATCAATCGAGCTGAGCGCTGCGAGATCAAAGGTCTAATCAAAGCTCTTTATACATCCTCCCCACTCGCGCCTTTATTTCATTAAATGATTTGACTCTCGTGTGTGATCCTAACCCTGCACAGGAGAGGCGCTGAATATTAAATAGCTCCTTGTTCAGGGCAGGGGGTGGGGGGTCTGAATGGCTCGCGCTTTATCAATTGCATTTCACCCACAAAGTATATACTCGATTTGCTTTACAGTATATTGTTTGAAGCGCTTTGAGACGTCTCAAAGAGGTGATAAGGCGTTATATCAACTGTGATGATTATTATTATAAATGCAAGTTGCTGTTGCTATAAATCTAATGAGAATCTTTTGTATTTGGTGTTTGAGTGAAACGTGATGGGGTGCTGTCAGTCAGTCAGGGTGTCTATTACACCCTGGAGATTGCTCAGCAGAGATGGGGGTGACGGCTTGTCATGTTCTGTCGGAGTGTAATTTGGGTCACGGAGATGAGCCGGACACACAGGACCACTTGTACAGATTGATTATTCTCTCCAGTGTTTGTGTGACTGGCAGAGACCAACAGGGAAATGAAGTCAGCCTCTGGACCTGTGCACTCACTGTCTGGCTCTCTGTCTCTCTTCCTCTCGCCGTCACTCTTGCGGTCCTGCTTGGACTCGATCAGGCACCGAATGGAAAGGGAAAAGAAACTCCAGGAAAGTGATCCTCCAACCGGGTTTCTACTTACTGCGCAGAGGCGAGTGTGTGGAGTAAGGAAACTTGGCTAAGGTTTCGCCCTGCCCGGGAATCGAACCCAGGTTCTCTCGCTTGCGAGGCGAGTGCTCTAACCATTGAGCTACCGGACTCCACGAGAGCCCTTCACCCTGGTTAGCAGTGGTTATCAGCTGTCAGCCTGACTCAGTCCATCACTGCCCTCACCTCTGGGTCAGAAAGTTGTGGTTTCAACTCACAGTCTAGGCTGACGTTCCAATACAGCGCTGGGGGGGGAACACTGAATGCTTCATAAGATGCTAAACCTGTTCAAGATCCTCCGCGGCGCTATAGGAAAAGAAGGGAGTTTCTCTCTCTCTCTTTCCTTTTGTCGTGGCCAACAATCCCCCAGATAAAATCGATCGCTCGCTTGATGGCTGTTTGTGTGATGTTTCGTGAGGTTTTTGTGGTGTCCGCTAGTCCGGGATAGAGACTAGATTTCACTCAGTCGGGAACACACTGACACGGTGACACAGTGGGGGCCAGCAGTGACGATTTGTGGTTGACAAGTACGGTCACAACCCGTAAAGAGACAGAGAAAAGGCATCAAACAGATCGGAAATCGTGATGGAACTTTATTCACTGTCGGGCGTCAAGGGAAATGTCAGGGTCTCTGGGGAGTTGGCGTGTGCCTCTCTCAGTGGGTGTGTGTATGTGCGTGTGTGTGTGCGCGCTGTGGGTGTGTGTGTGCGCTGTGGGTGTGTGTGTGTGTGCGCGCGCTGTGGGTGTGTGTGTGCGCTGTGGATGTGTGTGTGCACTGTGGATGTGTATGTGCGCTGTGGATGTGTGTGTGCACTGTGGATGTGTATGTGCGCTGTGGATGTGTGTGTGCGCTGTGGGTGGGATCATCGCAATCAGGAAGTGTAATTTTCAAGACCTTTAAAAAGCATCAGAAAATGGCTCAAAACTGATTATTAGCCGTATCAACGCTTTATCAAGTCTTCGGTACACCTCAAAGCGCTTCACAGGATAGACTGTAAAGCAAAAATAACAGCACAACCTCCACAGCGACCTCCACCACTGTGTGCGCCTATCAATCAACATCTGACCAGGTGCAGACATGATTAAAGATATGTCACCAAAACAAGCCCCCAATCCTTCTCCCGCTCCACCCTCCAGCCTCTGCCCCATCATCTGTTAATCCATGTTAATGACCATTCCATCTGGGTGGGTGACCTTGTATTTACCCACATTAAACTCCATTTGTCAGCCATGAACTCAATGGCTGAGTTTCCATCCCGAACTCTATAAGAGACGGCTTCATTTTGCCCTTTAATATTCTCAAAAAAAGTAGCGAGAGAGAGAGAGAGAGCTGTTTACATGACATACAATTAATAAAGTAATCTCGCCCTTCACATCGGGACCGTTCACTGTGAAGTGTAGTGACTGCGTACATTGCCAGCAAGGAAAAACTCCCTTCTCTTTTTGAGTAGTGCCATGGGATCTTTAAAGGCACAGATGGGACCTCAGTTTAATTCTCTCCTCAGATGTGTGCGGGCCGCTGGTGTGCGCAATTGACTGCTGTGTCTCGCCCATAAAATGCACAGCCTTTGCAGTATACCTATGAAGCGCTTTGAGACATCTCAACGACGTGATAAGTCTCTCTATCAAATGCCAGGATTATTAGTATGATTAATTATCATTATTATAGAATATCAAAACCCAAACAACTTCTGAGGCATCGAAGGAGCTTTTTTTAAATCCAGGTTTTTTAAAACGACAAACTCGCGGAACGAGCTGGTAAAATTATCTTTTAAATTATTATCAGCATTTCTGCTCATAATCAGTCAATTAAAAAATAGACACTGAGAGACGTTGCAAGATCATGAGGAGCCCAGACTCCCGGCGTGCCTCACCCTCGGGGCTGTTTTGTGTGAAGCTCAGCCTTGTTTGCAGTGAACCGGTCGCTGATTGCATTTCTGTATTTGAAAAATGGATCATTTAAGATGTTCTGTGCGCAAGATTAGTCTGAAGAATGCCCTCTCGCTTTGGGCTAATAGGGGTGACACTTATTATCGAGGGGGCGCTTTGCTCTCATTTTCCTTTCATTCGCTTGAAATTGGCACATTTCTCAGCCGCAGATACGTTACAAACTTGACTGGTTTTAACCATTTTGGATCAAGTTCCTGATGGTTCCCTGGTTCGTTTGCTGTATATCACGGTGGGGAGAATAGCAAGTAAACAGGCTGTCCAAACACAGAGCTACAGAGTGAGCCTGATCTCTCTCTCCTACCTCTCCGACTTGCTTACTTCCCAACCCACCACCTGCTCTCATGGCACTATTTGAAAAGAGAAGGGCACTTTTCTCACTCTCTCCCTCGGTGTCCTGGCCGACAATCCCCAATAAAATCACTCGCTCACTCACTTCATAACTGTTTGTGGGACACTGTGTGATTTGTTGGCAGCTCAATTGGTGCACAGCGACGTCCCACAGACAGCCATGGAATGAATGACCAATTTTACCGGGAGGATTGTTGGCCAGGACACCGGGAGACAGAGAGAAACTCTCTTCTCTTTTCCAATAGTGCCACGGGATTATAGCATCCACCTGAACACGCCTTGGGACGTCCTCCCGACGTGAAAGATGCTGTACAAATGTAATGTCGTTGTTGTTGTTGTTGTTGAACAGGTTGTTGGTTTAACGATTCTGGGTCCCAATGTGAGGGCGTGAGCCCACAACCATCTGACTCCGAGGAAAGAGCACTAGCGACTGAGCCAGGCTGACACTCAGAGAGTAAAACCCCATTTGATAGGTTGTTTTATTTAAATGGTACAATTTCTGAAGTGTCTCTCCCCATGTTGCTCAAATCCATGAACCCACATCGTCTTCAACATCCCTTGAACTCACGCGGTCTAATCTGACACACTGAATTATCGGAGGCGCTGGCTGTTGGGGAGAATGTTAAACCAAGGTCCCGTCTGCCAATAACATGGGGAGAGACAGACACAGGAATTGGGACCTCAGAAATTGTACCATTTAAAACAACGTGTCCTAGCTCAGAGCTGTCTCCGTTCAACTAACACCTCTCTCTCTCTCTCTCTCTCTATCCCTTCCTAACCAGTGGTTCTTCTGAAGTCACAGACTATTACAAAGGGCCACTATATTATTTGTTTCTCCAGACGAGAAACAGCTTAAACTCCCACCATGAGCTGAGAGTGTAGACATTCGGGTCAGTCCCATCCATTACGTTGAAAACCGAGTGAAACCAGGGCCGAGGTTTCAATCAGTGTTCGGCTCATGTTAGCCGCGCTCCCCTGTTACTGAAATGAGATGAATCTATCTCAGATAGCTCCATGCAGAATGGAAAGAACCCAGCAGCATTCCCACAGCCCGGAGCACGCAGTCAGGGGCCAACCCTGCCTGAACTCTATCAGAACTTCAAAGAGGTTCACGCAAAAGTAATAAAACATTCGATTAGATCGGAGCTGGGGCAGAAATGTTCAGCAACGCTGTTTACTTGTCTTGTGTAGAGCATCGGGTCCCAGCATCTTACACTGTCACTCGCTCACTTCATGGTGTCTTCGTGTCATGGATCATCTACAACAACAGCAACTTGCGTTACACAGCGCCCTTCACAAAAGATATACAATAATAATACTTCCATTTGATAAAGCGCCTTATCACGTCTTCGAGGCATCTCAAAGCGCTTCACGGAATATATCGTAAAGTGAATTAACCGTATATTTTGGGAGTGAAATGAGGCAGCCAATTACGCGTATCCCACAAACAGCCGTGGATTGAGGGACCAATTTATTATTTGATTAATTCTCCTTGTAACTATTGTGCCCGAGAGCAAGTGAGAGGGTGTATCTGCCGAGTTCTCTCACTCTGTCCCTAAACTTGGATTTACGATTAGAATTCAATGTAACAGCACAAAACCCAGTAATTAAAGCGTCGCAGGCAGGCGGACTGCGGAGTAATGTGTCACAGCTTTCAGAAACTTTGACTGAGAAGGTTCTCAGAGAACAGCTGTCTGATTCACTCACCCGATAGAGAAAAACAAAGTGTGTTCTTGACATATTTGTGCTTGACCAGCGCAAGCAATCTCTCTGGATGGCGTAAAGGGATACGTCCCTGAGCTGTTTCCCAGAGTGGCATTTTGTCCGCCCTACTTGAGTAGCAATTACGTTCATGTCAAGTGACTCGTCATCCATCAACTCTTGATGCTTCTGAAATAAAGCAAAAAAAAAAACAAATCTGGATGAGGTTCGCAGACAGAGCACATCTCTGTGTGAGGATATTAGTTTCGAGGGGAGATGGCGCGTGAAGGCAATACGTTCCGGGGTCCAGTGTCGTGTCTGAGTGCTCACGCAGCATAAACAAGTGACATTGTGTTTATTTGAGTGCAGGAGGAATCTTAGTCTTAAGATTAAAGCTCCCCCGAGGCTGATCTGTGTAAGTCGTGCAATCGCTCAAGTCGTAAGTCCCGTTCAATAGAAGTTTGACATAACTCATACTTTGCCTAAGTCATAGTTAGTGTAACGTGAGGTCCCGACTGGTACGACTTACGTGAGGTTCACAGTAACCCGACGGGTCATCCAACATGTACAGAGCATGTGGGGTGTGGGTGAGCGAGTGGGCGGGGTCAGTTGTAGTGGGAGGGGTTAGTTGTAGTGGGAGGGGTTAGTTGTAGTGGGAGGGGTCAGTTGTAGTGGGAGGGGTTAGTTGTAGTGGGAGGGGTTAGTTGTAGTGGGAGGGGTTAGTTGTAGTGGGAGGGGTCAGTTGTAGTGGGAGGGGTTAGTTGTAGTGGGAGGGGTTAGTTGTAGTGGGAGGGGTTAGTTGTAGTGGGAGGTGTTAGTTGTAGTGGGAGGGGTTAGTTGTAGTGGGAGGGGTTAGTTGTAGTGGGAGGGGTTAGTTGTAGTGGGAGGGGTTAGTTGTAGTGGGAGGGGTTCGTTGTAGTGGGAGGGGTCAGTTGTAGTGGGAGGGGTTAGTTGTAGTGGGAGGGGTCAGTTGTAGTGGGAGGGGTTAGTTGTAGTGGGAGGGGTTAGTTGTAGTGGGAGGTGTTAGTTGTAGTGGGAGGGGTTAGTTGTAGTGGGAGGGGTTAGTTGTTGTGGGAGGGGTTAGTTGTAGTGGGAGGGGTTAGTTGTTGTGGGAGGGGTTAGTTGTAGTGGGCGGGGTTAGCTGTAGTGGGAGGGGTTAGTGGTGGCTCAGTGGACGTGGGGGCGTGGTTAGTGTCAGTGGGCGTGGTGAGTGGCCGTGACGCGGGTTGATTGACAGATCGGCCGGGTGCGTCGCGCTGCATTGTGGGCTGACATCACCCGGTTCGGGGAGAGCGGCGCGAGCTGTGAGGCTGAGGGAGCGACCGCCGCCGCCACTGTTACCGGACACCGCGGGGCGGACAGCGGCCTTCGCGAGGAAAGGAGGGAGGGAGGGAGGGAGAGAGGAGAGGGCAGGGAACAGGTGAGGCCTCGGCGCCGCGTATTTTTTTTGGGGGTGTGTGTGTGAGGGAAAGCGGCTCGGGGGAGAGGGCTGGTGTGTCCCCGCGGCTACCCAGTGCCTCCCTGAGGCGGGGGCCGGGCCCCCTTACACGTTACCCGGGGTTTAGGGGTAACGCGAGGCCGCTAACTGTCATCGCGCCTCCGCCTCACCTCGGCTGTCAGTTGGGTCCTCTCTCTTTCTCCCCCACCGACCGTCCCTGGCTTCTGATTGGCCGGCTAGGGGGCGGGACGTGCGAGATCCCCGCCGCCCCATTGGTGCCGCGCTGCTGCCCATCACCCACCGGGCTATCCCTACCTTCTGATTGGCTGGCTGAGGGGGCGGGACGTGCCGGATCCCGGGGGCCCATTGGTCACCACCTCTGTCCATCAGCGCCCGCTCTCTGGTCCTCCTCTTTGCGTCACCATGGCAACAGAGCCCATTGGGGGCACAGGGATGGGGTTGGGGGGGACTCGACGTGGATTCACACCGAGCCCCCCCCTCACGGAGGATAGCGTCCCAGAGCGCTTGACAGTGGCGGAGCGGGGGGGGGGACGGGACTGTAGGCACTGTCGGTCGAAGCGGAAGGTCTTCACGTGTGACCTGAAGATGGGGAAGGAGGAGGGGGGGCGCGAGGCGGAGGGGTTGAGGGAGAGCGGTGTTTCGGGGCGCAGTGCGGCCACCGATGACGGAACGGCGCGGGCAGGGCAAGGGACAAGCAGGAGGCCCGGAGCCACAGTCGAGGATTGAATGACCAAATTGTTCTCCCAATCGACTAACAACCGGGTCCTACTTACTGTTGCGTAAACAGAGGCGTGCGCGGGCGTGCGCGGGCGTGCGCGGGCGTGGAGTAACTTGCCCAACAATACGCCCTGACCCGCCCGGGAATCAAACCCAGATCCTCTCGCTTATGAGGCGAGGGCTATATTAATAATAATAATAGTAATAATCCTTGCATTTGTAATTCCACCTTAACACGTCGTTGACCTATTTTCACGTCTCTGCTGAAGTCCTTTCTTTTGGACCGCGCCTTTGGTCACCTTCCTCCCCCTCCCGCTGGCTCGGTCCCGGGATCCGCTACTGTGAAGCGCTCTGAGACGCCGTCTGGCGTGGAGGGCGCTACGTAAACCCAAGTTGTTGTTGTTGTTGAGACATCTGAAAGCGCTTCACAGATTATACTGTGAAGTGAATTGACTGGGTATATTGTGGGCGAAATGCCGCAGCCTATTCTGGGTTGGGACTTGGCAAGAAGGTGGAGCCTCACCCTGGGGCAGGGAGTAGGCAATGAATGCTTTGTCAAATTGTAAAGCGCTGACACCGCCTAAAATAAAATAATCACGAGCTATGGGAGTGAATTGCATCCATTTCCATTCAACTGCAAACTAAACTTTCGAATGAGCAAGGATTGCATGGATGATACGTGACACGAGCTTGGGTGGTCTCAATCAAGTTCACTGCAGAGAAGATTATAATTTGGGGTTGCTTATCCCATCACACCCAAGTTAATCTGGTTAGAACCAAAAAAATAGTAAATGGGAAAAAGTCATAGAAATATGCTAATGGACTGTAAAACTGATGGCCATTCCGAAAAGGGTAGATGTTCTCTGTAATAATTATGGGTGTTAGTAATTATATTATAGGAATTTATGGGTGTTTTCAGACGTAACGTGACTCAGTGCAAATCTTATATGATTGGAAAATAGTATACTGTAGTAATGGTGATTTCTATCTTTACATCATATTTATTGTGGGAAGATTTGAAATAATAAATAGTACAAGAGATTTCTCGAGGTGTATAGGTCAATAAGATCATAAGACATAGGAGCAGGGGTAGGCCATTCGGCCCCTCGAGCCTGCCCCGCCATGTAATAAAATCATGGCTGATATTCTAAGATAATTCCATTTACCCGCCCTATCCCCATATCCCTTAATCCCTCTGTCCTTTGTCTTGAACCTTAGTCTTGAATATCTTCAAGGACTGAGCATCCACGAATTCACTGCCCTCTGAGTGAAGAAATGTTTCCTCAACTCAGTTCGAAAAGGCTGACCCTTAATCTTGAGACTATGACCCCTAGTTTTAGATTCTCCAAGTAGGGGAAACAGTCTCACGGCATCTACCCTGCCAAGACCCTTAAGAATCTTACAGGTTTCTATAGGATCACCTGTAATTCTTCTATAGTCTGGAGAATACAGGCCTACTTTACTCAACCTATCCTCATAGGTCAACCCCCTCCTCCCAGGAACCACCCTAGTGAATCTACGCTGCACCCTCTCTAAGGGGAGTATGTCCTTTCTTAAATAAGGAGACCAAAACTGCAAACAATATTCTAGGTGCAGTCTCACCAAGGCCTTATACAACTACAGCAAGACTTCCCTTCAGAGACCGATAACATGCATTGAGGAGCAGAAAATAATTTTATTAGAATTTCTTTGAGAAAATTCTAGGCTTAAATGGTAGGTGTGAGCTGGCAAATTACATTATCCTGTCATCCCTTTCCTGTTATACGTTATTTGTGAAGTTGCTCTCACTACTTTGAGGATTGAGGTCTTTAGAAATTTGGGAGAATGAACATTTTACTTCAAAGTGGCAATTAGCATTAGAGCACTATTTGTAAACATGGCTCATTGCTTCTTGTGTATGTGGGGGGCATCGATCCATAGAGGCACCAGAAGCTTGTGTTCAAAGAAAGTTTTCTATTGAAGTACGTGCCTTCGGTTTCTCCTGCTAACCTTCACCCATTATGAGGTCTCTCTTTTCACGGCTGCCCTAATTAATTATTTTTTGTAACTCATCCCTGAACTACAAAATAGTTAACACTATTATTCAGCCTCATGTGGTTGAATGCCTGTTTGGCATAAAGCATTTTCACAATATGATTAATGCAGTTTAAAATACGACACTGATAAATTCCCTTCGAGTAACACGGTCTTGTATTATAGGGGACGAAATGGATTTGATAGAAGAAAATTCATTTCGTCCACAAAATACACAGTAAATTCACTTTACAATATATTTTGTGAAGGGCTTTGAGACGTCTCAATAACATGATAAGGCACTGTATCACATGCAAGATTATTATTAATAATCAATGGCAAAATACGAGTGTTTAATTTAGTATTTTCAATTGTGTAGCAAAGAAGCTTGAAGTTGTTTTCTAACTTAATCTTTTAATCTTCCAGTTGTGCGACAATGGCAGACAAGAGTGAACTGAAAGCTGAGCTTGAGCGCAAAAAGCAACGGTTGGCACAGATCAGAGAAGAAAAGAAGAGAAAACAAGAGGAGAACAAAAGAAAGGAAGTAAGTATGTAATCTCTGCCAGTTTGCCAACCTACAAAATATACGGTCAGTTCACTTTACAGTATATTCTGTGAAATGCTTTGAGACTTTTCGATGCCCTGATAAGTTGCTACATCAGATGCAAGTTAAGTGCTGAAGATAAATGCTGAAGTGGCTTTTCCTCTGAGTGCATCTTGATTCAACCTGAGAATAGATATGCAAAAATACCTTTATCAGATACTGTAGGATACAGGGTAGCACCATCACTCTCTTCAAAGCTAATTGCATTGTCAGTCCTTATCCTAAATTATTCTGTGTCTGAAAAATATCCTCCCCAGCACGTATGTTTTAAAGTGGCTGGCATCTCAGTCGTGCATCCAGATCTTGCAGTGTTTTTTTGAAGCTGGAGCAGTTAAATATGTTTCTTCTCTTCCAGTACTCCACCCTTCTGCATATTGCTTTTATTTGAACGATGGGTGGTGCCATCCATAATCCACTGATCCTAAGCAAAGTATTCAATGCTGATTGAGGTCAAAGTCTTTAGCGAAACATTAATAACAAATTTTCCTTTTATGCATAATTAATGTTTCAAGCTGTATAGCTACTCTAATGGCTCAGTCGATAAAGCCATTGCCTGGAATTAAACTGTGTCCTCATTACCCAGGGCACAGATGGGATCTTGTGGATCTCAGTCAGGAAGTTTGAGGTGCTAAAGTTGGCTTCAGTGTCTCTAGGAAGGGAGAAAGTCAGCCAGGATTCCGATTGGTAATCAGTGACTTTAGTGAGTGTGGATCAGAATCATCCATCTTAATAATCCTTATATTTAATATTGGCTGTTTTGTGTGACATTGCTGTATGCAAACTGCCGTGTTCTCATGCAAAATCACAGTAAATTCCTCTTAAGCGCTTTGAGACGTCTCAACAAAGTGATGAGGCACTATAAAAAAATGCAAGGATTATTATACAGTGATTTGGTGCATTGCATTTTGCCCACAAAGTACACAGTCATGAAACTTTACAATATTCTGTGAAGCGCATTGAGATGTCTCGAAGATATGATAAGGGACTTTATCAAATGCAAGGATTATTATTATAACTAGACTTGTCTGTTATCACAATGTTTGGCTCACGGATTTCTTCTATATAAGTAAGGAATTGCTGGCAACACTGGAACTCCTATCGTGTGTGGCTTTGTTTCTGGTTGCTGTACAGTGTAGGAGATGAAATAATCTTGTGAGATACCATGACTAAGAGCCTGAAAATCACAATTTTTCTTACAACGTTTTCAGAGTGATTTCAAGAAAGAGACGCCTTCTGCCTCCCAGGATGAGCTTGATCTGGAGAGGAAGCGTAAAGAGACTGAGGCACTACTTCAGAGTATTGGAATAACGACAGAGCCCTCAATGGGTGAGTGAGCAAAGTGCAAAAACATCAATCCCTTTTTCCTCCTGCTAGATTTTCATGTGGGTCATAGTTACAACACAATGCACCTCATTCAGCTTGGGGAACTGCAAGCAAGAAAGCTAAAAAAAAAAGGCACTCACGTGTTCATTTTTTATGTGAATTTATTTTGCTCCGTTTTTCCTTTTCCCATGACTATCCTCAAAATGGGAGTTCCCCACACCTCTGCATTGGAGTGTATTGGAATGGAATGCGCACTCACTCTCGGAGTGACGCCTCCACAAGAATCTCGATGTAGATGTCACTGCCAAGGCCACTAGGTTTATTGTACCAAACAGTAGCTCTTCATTCGGATACCACATCTGTTGTTGAACTGTTATTTTTCTAAAGGGATCATTACTTTCATTGCTCTTCATTCCATCTTTTCCTGCAACATTTCATCTCCATCCTCCTTAGATTGTGACTGGAGTGAGTATGACAGTGAGTGCATCTTTTCGACATTTCTGCATACCGGTAGTTGCCTAGACTCTCCCGAATAGTTTGTTAGTGAAGAGCTAGCGATGAACGTTCATGTTCAGTTGATAGAAAACTAAGTCGCAATGTTCAACCCAGGCTGTAGATCGATAGACCCAAGTCTACAAATTGAAGCTTGTTAGCGGACTTAGCTATCAGAATTCTGCAACTGCACCAAATGTTTCTGTGCTCCTGGCAAGAGCGGTGGCGACTGTACAAGGTTGAAGGATATCACAGTGAGCCAATTTCTGATCTCAAGCAGGCTGCTTGAAGTCAGATGATCGATCCATCTTTACCCGATAGGGAAAATCATGGGTTACTTATGCACGCCTCCTGTGCTGAACGTATCTTACGATCCGACCACTGGGCACTGCAGGGGCTTCTCAGCTTCATGTCTCACAGATTTCACCGTCTTAATTTGATACTCACAAAATCTTGACCAATATCATCACAGCTTCTGGACATGTTTCCAGCACGTACAATCATTGAATAGTTAAATGAACGCTGTCTGTTTGTAACTGGGAATCCCTGTTCTGTGTACAGAATTAAGCTGATTTATTTGGATAAAGTTGAGAGAAAAGCTGCTCTCTGAAGCTTGAGAGCAGTGCTAGGAGCGCAACGTGATGAAATCAAGATCAAACGGGATTTAGTTTGCTGCAAGTTAGCTGAAATCCAATTGGAAATAATAACTTCAAATATTTAATTTGAGATAATTATCCTGTTATCCCTCACTGTCAGCTGGATCAATTGTTCAGATTATTTAGTGGATACCTATTTGAATAATTGGCAGTGCATCCTTACCAGTAACTGCCAAATAGGTAAATATTTATCAATAGGTAAACCAAACTGTCAGATTGAGCTTCTTATTTTCAATGCAATATCTGGTTTGACTTTGACCAGCCTTTTAACAACTGTTGTTTTCTTCCCTCTTCTGTGTGTTCCTGTTTTCATAACCCCCTCCCCACCGCCCACCTCCCCATTTAATTTCTCCATAATGTCTTATCTAAAAATCCACATTTTGTTTCATTAATGAACATCATTTATAGTACAGCCACTGCGGGCAGTAACTGGAGACACCTGTTTGTTCCATTATTTAGTCCATTCTCCTATTTCTCCATCGAAATCCCTGGGAACGCCAAGCGAGTCGGAGAGCCAGGAGTCGGTGGAGGGCACAGCCGGAGCCAGGTAGGAGAAGTCTGTGTTTTGGTAGTTTTTCTCCAGCTCTATCCAGGTTTCTATAGAACCACTTTGGGACTTTGGGACTTTATGGGGATGCAGGGATATATGGAATAGTTGACTGATTTCCGGTTAGGATCAAGATTATTTCAACATCCCAGTCTAATAGCTTAAATGACTTGATGCTGTGATGGGAGGACACAGTAGGGCAGGTATTCTGGAAGATGAGATCAGATGGACTGAAAGTGCATCCCAACTGATGTTATAATCATATAAAACTGTCAATGAGTCTGAAATAGCTGTCACTCTCACTCCGATTTTTCAGCAAATCTTTATTGAATCTTTATTTCACACAAGTTGACCTGATATAAGCACAAGGCAAAAGCGAAAGCTGAAAAGCCATGAGGCAGCTGAATCAAATAGCACCACATCTAATCACATTACCAAACCTCATCCAGAAGGCCCTTTGTATCTTCTGTTCAGCCAAGCAGTTTATTTTAGCATTGGTGCTGGTCAGTAAAATATGTGGTCAGATATGGGGACAGAATGGGAGAATGGGACTGATTGGGTGGCTCTTCCAAAGAGCCAGCACAGGCACGATGGGCCGAATGGCCTTCTGCGCCATAATATTCTATGATTCTATGTCTGTTTTGAAAGCCTGCAATCAGACAGGACTGGTGTGTTTAGCCCTGGTGATGATGTCTTCTCACTTTATTTTCTGTGCATTAACCTGTCACCTTTCTGCTTCACCCTCTCTCTGCTGACCTGCTCAGGACGCTGCAGTGGGATTCTGATCTTTCTGTCTTACAACTTCAGACCGATTCTGAAATGCGGTACTTATCCTCTACATCTTTCTTCTGTCATCTGTCAACCTCTCCTCGCCCAAACGTCACCATAGTAGCAGCTAAACTAAAAGCTTTGTTAAATATACCTCTCCACGGTTAAATTAAACTTATTCAGTTGTTTCAAAAATCAAAGGTTCTTTCACTATGGTGTGCCTACATCTGATTAGAAGTAAATGGAGCTTTCACAGCAGGGACACACACTGACTCTCTCTATATATAAATATATATACACATATATATATACACACACACACCGAGGGGCCTGAGGAGGAAAAAGCTGTTAAGTTATAGATGAGCAAAGGAATGTTGCTCTGTTAGTCAGCGCATCCCAGCGATTGTTTCACTTCAATGTTAATCCTGTTCAGACACCACCTGACTAAACTGGGAATCGCCAGGATCACCCACGTAGATATCCCCCCCTGTGACCGTCTGGCCTACTCCAAAGAGACCCAGACGCCGGTGGAAGACAGACCAGAGGAAGGTAGGCCAACGCGAGGCATTTCCGATTACATTTCTTCCCAAAAGGCTGATGGGAAGAGTTTGGTAGTAGCTTTCAAAAAGGAATTGGATAGGGGCTTGAAAAGGAGAAATGCTCAGGGCTTTGCGGTGAGAGCGGGGGTGGGAGTGGGATGAGCCGGCACAGGCACAAAGGGCCGAATTGCCTCCTTCTATGCTGTAAGATTCTATAATTCTATAAACAGCAGACGAGCAACAAATATATCAGGAGTGAGCACTGGGGAAGCAGAACATCAATTAATAACTCGTGGTAAAGCAAACAAATGTGTTTTGTTGGAGCATCTCTATCCCCTGCTGAGCATTTAATCAGTGTGTGTCTCTGCACTGTTTGATGCAACAACAGGTAAAGAGAAAGAAGTCATTCCAGTGCAAACAGCATCAGAACCCGAGACAGAAGCCCCCGAAGAATCCCAGGAGGAGGTGGACGAAAATAAAGGTGATTCCTTTTCTTTCAGACATTCGGACTCGCTTTTAAGCGCCCCGAGACACTGCCCCGTATGGCGGGAGCTATATGAACCCTAATTGTTGTTGTTGTAAAAAGTACATGTTGTTTCCAGCATTCCAACAAGAGCTGACAGAGGAGGAGAAAGAAAAGATCCTGCACTCCGAGGGCTTTCTCAACTTCTTCGATCACAGCTCCCGAGTGATTGAGCGAGCGCTCACCGAGCAGATTGATATTTTCTTCGACTACAGCGGCCGCAACTTAGATGACAAAGAAGGGTGGGTAACAACCCTGTTTCTACAGTGAATTGTTTGGGGTTTATTGTGAGTTTTCTGTCCGTGCTGATCAGTTTGTTAAAACTTCTCTCTACAGGGAAATCCAAGCTGGGGCCAAACTGTCACTGAACAGGCAGTTTTATGATGAAAATTGGTCCAAAGATCGTGTAGTGACTTGTCTGGACTGGTCCCCACAGGTGAGTGTCCCTCAGAGAGAGGTAATCAGAGTCCTGTAGTGCAGTGGTTAGAGCACTCGCCTCGCAAGCGAGAGGGCCTGGGTTCATTCCCTGGTAGGGCGAAACCTTAGGCAAGTTTCCTTACTCCACACACACACCTCTGTTTACCCAGCAACCTGGTCGTTAGTTGATCGGCAGATCGCTTTCTGGGGGTTCAAATAAATAATAATAATTGAGTCACTCAATCTACTGTTTGTGTGGACGCTGCTGTGCTCAAATTGGTTGCCGCATTTTCCCCAAATAATATACAGTCAGTTAACTTTACAGTGTATCCTGTGATGCGCTTTGAGACGTCTCGAAGACGTGATAAGGATTATTATTATTATTATGCAAATGCAAGGATTATTATTGTTATTATAAAATGTGATGGCGCAGTGCAGCTTCTCAATGAGGAGTGCTGATGAGGAAAGAACCTGACAAATCACACTGACCAGGCTGGGTTGTGAAGCGAGCAGGAGATCACCAGGTGATGTTAGTCTCTCTTGTGTTATGACCAGTACCCTGAGCTGATGGTGGCATCCTACACTAATAATGAAGATGCTCTTAATGAGCCGGACGGCGTGGCTCTGGTGTGGAATATGAAGTACAAGAAGACCACTCCCGAGTATATCTTTCACTGCCAGGTAACGTACAGTGCTTTGGGGACTGAGTTCATGACTCTCTGGGACAGAAAAGATAATTGGGAAGTTATACGACGGAGGCTGAATGTGGCTTGCGGTTCACCTGCTGAGACCAGGTTGGTTAGTGGAGGAAACTATATGTCTCCAACCACAACACTTTTCATGTAATTTTTGAGCATGTCCCTAGGCTTGCGGGAGGAAGCCCAGAGAGGCAGGAGTTCAGATCCTCCAGGGCAGCGGAGTGGGAGTGAGGGGAGATTGTTTTTCTTGTGGTGGGTTGGAAATGGAGGTGGGTTGGGTGGAGACACGGAGGGAGGGGATCGAGGAGTCAAGGGAAATGAAGTAATGGATTAAGTGGCTTTGTCGGTCATGGTGATGTCCGAGACGCTGGGGCCCCGGGTCATTACCAGATCAAACGGGTGGCCCTGGATGTGGGTGGCAGAGTGGATGTGGAGGGAGAGAGTGTGTGTGAGAGAGAGAGAGAGAGAGAGAGGAGAGGAGGGAGGAGAAGTCAGTGGAGATAGAGCATGCCAACTCTGCCTCTTGTATCCGCTCAGCACTGAATGATACTCGTGTTAGAGACCATCACGTACTTACAGCTGAATTATCCTGCATGGAGTTAGCCACAGGGAGCAGGCCACGAGCGATTGTATTAACCGATTTCTCTTTCAGTCCAAAGTCATGTCTGCGTGCTTCGCGCAGTTTCACCCTAATCTGATAGTGGGTGGTACCTACTCCGGTCAGATTGTCCTGTGGGATAATCGCAACAACAAGAAGACCCCAGTCCAGAGGACTCCCCTCTCGGCCTCTGCACACACGGTGAGAACAGCCACGTTAGTCATTATCACTGTCTGGGGAAATGTATCTGGGGTTATGGTCACAGTAGCTGAGGCTGCAGTAAAGGTGTAGTTTGCAGGGCAGCCGTTGTGGTGGTTCTCACTCTGTTGGCACTGTGTTCCAGCATCCTGTGTACTGTGTCAACGTGGTCGGCACTCAGAACGCTCACAATCTGGTCAGCGTTTCTACTGATGGAAAACTGTGCACCTGGAGCTTGGACATGCTCTCTCAGCCACAGGTAAGCACTCCTTCACACCCGTGACCTCACCCCGTGACTCCATCCCTCACACCCCGTCCCTAAGTAGTCTGGCTTTGGGATGTCTGTTGCTCAGAGGGCTGGTTCTTGGATGTTGGGGGGGGCAGTGTTGGGCTCAGCCTGACACTCCTCAGCAGCCTCGCCTGCTGACACTTACAGCACAGACCTACTCCCACATCAAACACTTTGAAACAAAATTACCTTGGATTATGGATTATAAACTGACATATTTATTATCTGATTGTTATTTTCTTGTAGGACAGTATTGAGCTGGTCCATAAGCAATCAAAGGCAGTCGCTGTCACCTCTATGTCCTTCCCATTAGGAGACATCAATAACTTTGTTGTGGGCAGTGAAGAAGGTTCTGTATACACTGCATGTCGCCTGGGCAGGTATAGTACCTTTCTGGCCTGCTCTCTCCCCACAACCACTGCCTCCGCTCGGCTGGCTCCGACCTCTGTCCATATAAGCATTCCTAAGTTTATATCAGCCTCCACATAATAATAATAATACTCCTTGCCTTTGATGCAGCGCCTGATCACATCTTCTCGACGTCTCAAAGCGCTTCACAGAATGTACTGTAAAGTGAATTGACTGTATATTTTGTGAGCGGTTGTGCACAGCAGCGTCCCACAAACAGTCGTAGATTGAGTGACCATATTTTTTTAAAAATACACGTAAGGTTAATGTACTTCTATAATAGGAAGGGCCCAGGACTTCAAATCTTTGTTGACATATGTGGGATGTTGATATAAACGGGTTTGAGATGAGTGCGTAGCGGACAGTATGATTTGTCTTTGTCTTGTGTATCGCAGCAAGGCTGGCATCCTGGAGTTGTTTGAGGGACACCAGGGCCCAGTGACCGGTGTCCACTGTCACACGGCAGCAGGGCCAGTGGATTTCTCCCCCCTCTTCATCACCTCATCTTTCGACTGGACAGTGAAGCTGTGGTCATCGAAGGTGGGTAGGAATGGAAATGCGTCCTCGCCAATGGCAAATGATATGTCTTCAGATAGTTAACCGCCACAGTAACCTATTGGTCCCTGAGGTAACTTGCACCTAATAGGTTCTGGAATTAGGTAATCAGAGTGTGTTCCTCCAGGGAGAGAGAGTATGTTCCATTCCATACACTGGGAAATGTCCGAGCATTGGTGCTATGCGTATGTGGAACTCTGGTTTGGATACTCAAGCCTGGCCATGGGTTTCCGCGTATGTCAGACACCCAGCTGACCAAAAAAATGAAAAGAAAAACTCAGTTAATAGGAACTTTCTTGGTTGATATCTTAGATCTGCGTGTGTTCATGTCAATGATGTTCCCTTTTCACAGTCTGCTGGTGATTGAAGTGGACTCAACAACCATTTTGTTTCTTACTTGCAGAGTAACAAGCCGTTGTATTCCTTCGAGGACAGTTCTGATTATGTGTTTGATGTCATGTGGTCGCCCATCCATCCCGCACTCTTCGCCTGTGTTGATGGGATGGGTCGTCTGGATCTGTGGAATTTGAATGAAGATTCTGAAGTAAGCTCAGACAAACGGGGGCGATTACACTCAACGAATAGAGTTTCTTATTTCCCAAAACACTTTCTCTCCAAATATTCACCCCAATTCTCTGGATAGTTATACTACAACAGCTTGCATTTCTATAGCCCCCCTTCACATGGGTAGTATCTGAGCACTTGACAGTGTGTGCTTAAGTTTTTTGTGTAAGATGAAGCCAGATATTTGATCCAACTCGTATAAACTGAACTAAAATGTAGGATTTTTTTTGTACATTAAAAAATACAATAAGGGTTTGCTTCTTTGACATGTTAAATTGACGCGTTGTTTGTGTTTGTGTGGTATAGGTGCCCAATGCCAGCATCACCATGGAGGGCAATCCTGCCGTGCACCGTGTGCGCTGGGCACCCTCCGGGCGTGAGGTGGCTGTGGGCGATTCCGAAGGGCAAGTGTCGGTGTACGATGTGGGAGAGGTAAGGAGCTGGTACTTACTGACCCGCACCATGAAGCAGTTCATCCGTTTGAAAAGAATCCAATAAATGACTGACTGCCAACCCGGTTTCACTGAATGCCAATGTTTCGCTGAAGATGCTAATCCACCCACTGAAGTTATCTCTCAATTGTCCCATTCTCCTGCTCTTTACCCATTCTGTTTAATTTGGGCTTTGACCTTTCAGTTGGCGCTGTTTATCGTTGTTGCCACTCACTCTGTATCTATGCTCATCCTCGCGCCTTTCTTTCTTTCAGCAAATCGCGGTTCCCCGGAGCGATGAGTGGACTCGTTTTGCACAAACGCTTTCAGACCTTAAAGCAAACGGGAACGACGCAGATGATGAAGCGACAGCGGGGCTGCTGGGTTAGAAGCCGCTTCCCCCCGCCACCGCCATCCCAGCTCTACTCACAGTAAACCAACAAGGTGCCTGTAGTAGCCATAGCCATTCTTCTTAACTTCAATAGGCTGTCTTTCCCTCTCGTAGAAACATAGACATCTACAGCGCACAAGGAGGCCATTCGGTCCATTGAGCCCGCACCGACTCAATCCAGATCAAAGATATGGCTTCAACCCACCGGCCTGCCTCATCCCTCTTCAAGCCCTCGCTTCCCCCTTGCCCTAGTGATGTAAGCTTCAACCGGACTCACAACCGGCTCTTCTGCTGATGTGCTTAAGGCACACAGTGAGGTGGCTCCTGTCATTTACTGTATGTGGCCTAGAGCTCTGGTTCCCCCCTCCCCCTCCCCACTCACACTCACTCACGCACGCACGCACACTCAACCCATAATATACTCTTTGTGTGGTTGTCGAGCCACCACCAATCTCAGTTTAACACTACAATCCAAATTGTAAGGATATCATAGCAATCACCTTCTACCCTTCCAGGCTTTCTGCTACTATGAACCCTCCATCTAATCTAAAGAACCTTAAGAAGATTAGAATTCTATTTCAATATTTTCAGATGTTTGCCTGAACGAGTTAACAAAATGGCTATGGCGTCTTAACGGGGAATGGAAAGCAAAGGGGATGATGATAAGTTTTGTTCCAGAAAAAAATATAAAGCTGTTTACGTATTACATTGCCAATATAGGAATATCGGACTAAGCAACCTATGTACTGTATCAGAGATATATAACTAATATTTAAAAAAAACAGGTTTATTGAGGTTTAAGTAAGTTTATGAAAACTGACTTGGCCACTTGGCGACTGAAATCAAGGCTTAATATGGCTCTTTGAAGACTGCACTAACATTGCGCTAAACAGAGATAGAGAGTTACAGAGCTCAGAATGATGAAGTGTTGGATTTGTAGCTCACACACACACACACTTCTCTTGTAGCAGCTTCTACAGCAGGGGGTTCAGGGATGTGAGTGGGCACCTGGCACAATTACGTGTCAGGTTGTGGAGAATATTAATGGTTACAGCATGGGATCAGTTGCCCATATGTCCAACACGCATTTCATCTAATAGCAATTTACTGTAGGACCTTGCGTTTGCCAGTCAGCCTGGAGCAGAGAGAGAGAGAGAGAGAGAGAGTGTGTGTGCAGGTCTGGCTGTCAGGACATTTGGCACCAAGACTTGTATCTGTCAGTAGGGTTCACTGGCCTCTATATGCTGTAGGAGTCCTGCAAAATCTGCAGTGAGGTGTGGTACAAGGCTGCTTTACATTTGCATGTTGCACTTACAATTATGATAGCGTAAATCAGACAATTATAAGCAGAGCCATGGCCAGTGTATAGGAAGAGCAGTGGGCCATTCAGCCCTACTCTTGTCATTTTATTAGTCATGCCGGCTCTTTATCTTGTTAATCTCATTTCCCTTCCTTTTCTACATGCCCTTTAATGACCTTACATCCCAGATACCCGTCCGTCTCCTGTTTGAACACCTCAATCGATTCAGTATCTTCGGCCTCCTCGGTCAGTGCAATCCACATTCTCACAGCCCTTTGTGTGAAGCAATGTTTTCTGGATTCATTCACCTTTCACTGGTTTAACTCTAAATGTAGGATGTTCTGAATTCCTTTACTAGAGACAAGAGGTCTCAATCTACATTGTCGATTCTCTTGTATTACTTTATAAATATCAGCTTCAGAGAGTACATAACTCACATTTACCCAATGTCTCAGAGCAAAGCCTCTTCAAACCAGGCCTTTGCTCTGGTGAATCATTGCTGAACTTTCTCATATCTCTGACAATAACAACAACTTGCATTTATATAGCGCCCTTCATGTGAGGTAGTGTCTCGGAGAGCTGAATATCCTTTGTAAGGTGGAGTGGCCAGAACAGTAAATGAGCAGTTCTCTGTACAGCTCAACCAACATTTGTTCTGATATTCTATACTTGTCACGGAATGGGTGAAGACTCGTGTAGAGTATAAACACCGACACGGACTGGGCGGGTCGAGTGGCCTGTTTCAGTGCTGTGCGGTCTCTGTAAAATCCTTGTCTAGCTCTATTTATTTCCCTGTGGCAAATTTACAGGTTTGCACGTTTTGTTACCCAGAGATCCTCCACCGTAGCTATTTTGCACATTCATTGTCACGTTATCTAATAATGAACATGAATAATAATAAATTGGTCACTTCAGTCCACAGCTGTTTGTGAGACGCTGCTCTGAGCAATTGGCTGTTTGCTGGGTTTCACCCACAAATATACAGTCAATTCACTTTACAGTATATTCTGTGAAGCGCTTTGAGACCTCTGGAAGACGTGAAAAGCGCTATATCAAATGCAAGGATTATTATATTATGTGAAGAAATTTATCAAACACTAAATGAAACCCATTCTCTGCACAGAAAGGGACCATTCTGCCCACTGTCTGTGTCCCAGCGCCTTGGGTCGTTCTCCCGACGCGAAAGGCGCTTTACAAATGTAATTTTGTTGTTGTGTCCCTATTTTTCTACCCCGCCTTTCTAATTATTATTACTACTCTCCACTCGTACCCTTTTCACTAATCAGCTGTGTACCCGGTGCCCTGTTCATGATGATGGTTGGAGGGGAACCGAGAGATCTTTCAGTTGCAACTTTTATTTCTGAAACGGTTTTGGTTTGACCAAAAGCTATAAGAAAGCTAACCATTGAGGTTTTGTATTAATCGGGAAAACCACATGGTAACAAGCTTTTTTTTTTGCTGCATTTCATTTCCAATTTAGTTGCTGAGATAAACATTGAAAATTATTCTGGGGCCCTGTAGCATATTGGTTGGAGCGCTCGCCTCGCAAGCGAGAGGACCTGGGTTCGAGTCCCAGGCAGTCTCGAAGATGTGATAAGGCGCTATATCAAATGCAAGGATTATTGTTATTAGGTGAACAATAACAGCACAGGAATGGGCCGTGTGACTCGCTCTCTGTATTTTGCCACACACTGACTTTCACGGCTGTTTTTTCAAGTGGAGTTTCCTTGATATTTTCTGTCGTGGCTTCAACAAAGTATTTCATAGTCACAGATAAAGAGCATCTTAAATCAGGCTGGTCCTGAAAGCCTGGTTTATCACCGCAGCCCAGTGCCTGTGTTCTGTTAAGAGAACTAAACATTATCCCGTGGGTAGGATTCACTGCTTCGTCCACCAACCCAGCATCGTGCAATTTCCAGTCTTGTGTTTAATTAGTATTTCATTTGTGTATCGTTGCATTTTTTTAATCTAAAAAAAAAACTTGACATCGTGCTTCATTGTGTGAAAAAAAAAGATAACTTGTATGTGTGGATATTTAACAGATTGTTAGTTATTTGGTGGTAATAATGTCCGCAGTGCATTGCACACCCCCCACCCCCCTCACCCCCATTGCTGGATGCTTGAACGTACCTGGCGGGTTTATCAGCACGACCTCCGTCACTGCCCTCTCACTGACATTCCGTTTTAATTTTTATCCCTCTTTTCAAGTTTCCGACCTATTTATTCCCGCGCTCCTCTGCCAGTAGAGTGTTTTGTAAAGTAACTATCAATGCGGATGAAGTGCAGAACATTGCCTCAATAAAGTGAGCATATTTCAATGGCGTTTGTGTTGTTTGCACGGCCGCGTTACCACGTGTCAAGGGCCGCGATGGAGGGAGGGATGGAGAGCGCGGGGGGGGGGGTGGGGGGTGGGGGGGATGGGGGGGTAATCTCAGGGACCCCACGACAATGGTCTACAATCCCCCAAATCAAATTGGTTACTGGGTCTGTGGCCGTTTGTGGGACATTCCTGATGCGCGTATTGGCTTCTGAGTTTCACCCACAGAGCACACAGTCACTACACTGTACAGGAGACGTGGTCAGGTCCCGGGTTAAACACAAGGATTGTGGAGTCCTGCAGCTCAGTGGTTAGAGCACTCGCTTTGCAAGCGAGAGACCCGGGTTCGATTCCCGGTCCGGGCGAAACCTCACTCCACACACTCGCACCTGACAATAATAATAATAATAATAATAATCCTCCAAAACAAACAAAAACAATAATAAATTAACCATTTTCAACCCACGGCTGTTTGTGGGACACTGCTGTGCGCAATCGGCCGCCGCGTTTCGCCCACAAATATACAGTCAATTCACTTTACAGTCCATTCTGTGAAGCGCTTTGAGACGTCGAGAAGACGACGCGATGAGGAACTGCGCCAAACGCAACGATTATTATTGTTATTAATTATTATTAATTATTGTCATTTTTCCGCACAAACATAAACTCACAGTCCAGACTGACACTGGCGATGGGCGGGGCCGAGCCTGGGGGCGGGGCTGTGGGCGGGGTCTGTGGGTGGGGGCGGGGCTGGGCCGGGGGGGCGGGGTGTGAGGGCGGGGCCGAGGGCTGTGGGGGCGGGACCGGGGCGGAGCTGTGGGTGGGGGCGGGGCCGGGGGCTGTGGGGGCGGAGCTGTGGGTGGGGCCGGGGGTTATGGGGGCGGGGCCGGGGGCTATGGGCGGGGCCAGGGGCTGTGGGGGCGGGGCCGGGGGCTGTGGGCGGGGCCGGGGGCTGTGGGCGGGGCCGGGCCGGGGGGCGGGGCTCTGGGGCAGACATGGCGGGTAAGTGACAACAATATGGCGGCGCTGTCAGGTCCGCGCGAAGCACAAACCCCCAAACCCCACACACAGCCTCGGCCTCGGGCACAGAGAGAGCCGAGACCCGAGACCCGGGGCCCGAGCCGCCGCCTCACTGTCTGTCTGTCTGTGGGCGCCTCAGCCGCGGCCTCGGTCGGTTCCCGGCGGGAATAGCGGAGCCTCCGGCCTGTGACCCCCCCCCCACCCCCTCACACACCCCCTCACACACACCCACACACACCCCCTCACACCCCCTCACACACACCCTCACACACACCCTCACACACCCCTCACACACCCCCTCACACACCCCCTCACACACCCCCTCACACACCCCCTCACACACACCCTCACACACCCCCTCACACACCCCCTCACACACCCTCACACACCCCCTCACACACCCCCTCACACACACCCTCACACACCCCCTCACACACACCCACACACACCCCCACACACACCCCCTCACACACCCCCTCACACACCCCCTCACACACCCCCTCACACACCCCCACACACACACCCTCACACACACCCACACACCCCCACACACACCCCCACACACCCCCTCACACACACCCCCACACACACACCCCCACACACCCCCACACACCCCCTCACACACACCCCCCCACACCCTCACCCCTCACATCCCTCCCTCACCCCACACACCCCCACACACACACACCCCCTCACCCCTCACACACACCCCTACACAAACCACCCTCACCAGAGGGTGTGTATGTGTGGGGGGTGTCTGTGTGGGGTGGTGTGTGTGGGGTGTGGGGGTGTCGGGGTGTGGGGGGGGGAGTGTGGGGGGGGGAGTGTGGGGGGGGTGTGTGTGAGGGGGTGTGGGGGTGTGTGTGTGTGGGGTGTGGGTTAGGGGTGTGGGGGGGTGTGGGGGGGGGGTGTGGGGGGAGTGAGGCGGTGATTCGAGTTGAGGTGATTTCTAAATGTTGGTGTAATTTTTCAGATCTCCTAAATCTTGAAAAGAAGTTATCGGAATACAAGAGCGACACCAACAAAGCCGTGCGGCTGAAGTTAGGTGAGCGGTGCGTGAGGGTGAGGTGTGTGTGTGAGGGTGGGGTGAGGTGTGTGAGGGTGGGGTGTGTGTGAGGGTGGGGTGTGTGTGAGAGGTGTGTGTGAGGGTGGAGTATGTGTGAGGGTGGGGTGTGTGTGTGAGGGTGGGGTGTGTGTGAGAGGTGTGTGTGAGGGTGAGGTGTGTGTGAGGGTGAGGTGTGTGTGAGGTGTGTGTGAGGGAATTCGCACCATTTACGTTTGGAATAATTGCCAAAATTATTTGGAGACGGTGACTTGATGTGGAGCAAACGTCAGTGGGAACCTGTTTGTTTGTGTTGACAGTTCGCTTCCCCGAGGACCTGGAGGATGAGAGCACGACCTTCAACCCCCTGTACAGCCACCAGGTGTTTGGAGACGAGTACGTAGAGTTCGGACACGTCTCGCGCTGTATTGGCCGACGCCTCTCATCCCGTCCTTCGTCACCGTCTGTAGATCTTTCGTTGGCCGCGGAGCTACATTTGTCGGGTGCTTTGCCGATGGTTGTTGATGTGACAAGTGCTGCAACGAGTTCCCAGTAACCTGCCGATGGACCTGCACATTTCGATCATTAGAATGATGCGGCGCAGGAGGAGGCCATTCAGCCCACCTTGTCCGTTGCCGGCACTTTGAAAAGAGCTTCCGATTTAATCCCACTTCCCTCTCTCTCTCTCTCTCCACCTCCCGTAGCCCTGGAATTTTGTCCTCCCCCCAAATACCCCTATCTACTTCTCTCTCTTGAAACTTGTTACTGAATCGGCTGCCGCCAGCCTTTCAGGCCACGGTTCCGGATCCCAACAGCGCTCTGGGTGAAAATCCTTCCACTGTCTTGCCCCCGAATCCCACCTCTGCAACCTTCTCCCAACTACACTGTCCCAGCCGTTCCCCTCTCTCTCCTTGTTTTCCTTTCTCCGTGACTGTCTGTCCTTCGCTTCCAGGGAATCGGTATTTGGTTACCGGGATCTGGAGATCCAGCTGTACTACAGCACCTGTAGCCTGGCCACATTCTTCAATGTCCGTTACACCAGCAAAGTCACCGAGAAGTACGGCAACGTGGAGGTAAGCACCTGACCAGGAGTCTTACAGCGGCTTCACAGAAAATACTGTGTATTTTGTGGCCGAAACGCGGCAGCCGATTGCGCACAGCAGTGCCCCCACAAACAGCCGTGGATTAAATGACCACATTATTATTTTTGGAGGGTTTATTAACCTCCAGAAAGCGATCCGCCGAGGAATTCACAATTATTATAAACCATTTGTGTCGCTCCCCCACCCGGCCCTGCCCACCCCCAACCCTCCTACCCACCCCACAGGTGGATGAGATCGAGAACAAGCTGTTGGAGTACCTGCCGGCTGGTTACTGCACCAGCCTGGATGAGTTTGTGGTGCAGCTGGAAAAGGACGCCTCCTTCAGGCCGTTCGGGGAACTGATCCACTCGTACAAGGTGCAGGACGTGAAGGAGGGGCTGGAGTTGCACTACGAGATCTACAAGGTGAGCGAGCGTCGCTGAGGACCTCTCGGGGTGGTTTGTTTTTGCTGGAGCAGAGAACAACAACAACAGTTACCCAGTGTCTCTCAAGTCAGGAGGACGTCCCAAGGCGCCTGGACAGTCAGGGATCCATATCTGAGCTGGGGGGGGTTGGGATCAGGAGGGGTGAAGGGCGGTCGGAGGGAGGGTAGGGATAGGAAGGTGAACGAAGGCGCGGACGGTCGAAGAGGAGGGTCTTGAAGGATAAATTCAGGAATGGTTTTGAGAGTTCCTGCGTCCCCCGATTGGTGAATTATTTACGGAGGCGTCGCAAGGGTTGTTCTCTGAGGCTGTGCTCCGTGTCACTGACGGGATTCCCTCCTTGCTGCAGACAGACATCAGTTGCCCTGGCTTCCGGGAATACCACCAGCGGCTACAGACCTTCCTCATCTGGTTCATCGAGACGGCCAGCTTCATCGACACTGACGATGACAAATGGCACTACTTTCTGGTGTAAGTAACACCGACTGAAGGTGTTTAACAGTGTATATTAAACGTCCCGGTACCAGCCCCTTCCCCTCGATGCCATACAAGCTCCGGGTCAAGACCTTCCTCATGAACTCCTTCGATTAGTTAACAACAATTCACAATCCCTCCGCAAAAAATAATCATAATTGGTCACTCAGTCCACGAATGTTGGTGGGACTTCGCTGAGCGCAGGTGGCTGCTGTGTTTCGCCCACAAAAATATACAGTGACGGCACTTCATAGTGTACCCTATGAAGCGCTTTGAGAACGTCTCGAAGACGTGATAAGGCGCCGGGTCAAATGCCACGATTATATTATTATTAACTGCACTTTCGGCCATTCCCCCCCCCTCAGCCCCCAGCCCCCAGCTTGGGTGCAAACCTTAGACTGTCCAGGGTCTTGTGAGTCCTTCTAATATGAAAGGCGTCAGGATCAGTGTAAATGCGTGTGTTGTATGTTTATGTTTATGTTTACCCGCTCTCGCCGTGTTGCTGTGCAGGTTTGAAAAGTACTTGGAGTCTGGGTCTCCTCGCTACGCCACAGTGGGCTACATGACTGTCTACAATTTCTACGCGTATCCTGACAAAGTCCGGCCCCGAATCGGGTAAGCAGGAAACGGCAAGGAATTTGAGCCGTGAACTGGGGCTGTTTGAGCTCACAGTCCAGGCTGACTCTCCAGTGCAGCACTGGAGGGGAGAAGAGCTGCACTGTCAGCCCATCGTGCCTGTGCCGGCTCTTTGAAGAGCCACCAACTAGTCCCACTCAGTCCCCCGCTCTTACCCTATTGCTCTGCGCACGTTTCCTTTTCGAGGCCCTATCCAATTCCCTCCACTCCCTCAGTTGATGCTGTTCACAGATGAGCTGGGAGTTGAGGCTGTTATTCTGTTTTTCTCTCTCCAGACAGATGCTCGTGTTGCCCCCGTTCCAAGGGGAAGGTCACGGGGCACAGTTGATGGAGACGGTTCAGAAGTTTTACACAGCGATGCCTTCTGTGCTGGACGTCACAGGTCAGTGTCCTTCTCCGCTCACCAGCAGTGACTGGCCTTGTGTTCTGTGGATAGAATCATACAATCCTCCAGCTCAGGAGCAGCCCGTTCAGTTTGCGCTGCTGTGTTTCTCACATGTCAGCCCGGTCTCACTCTCCTCACTGGGCTAGAAGATTGGTGGTGGTGGGGGTGGGGTTCAAGCCCCACGTCAGGACTCAGCTCACAGGCTGACGTTTCAGTGTGTTGACAACAGCGCCTGATCACATCGTTGAGATGTCTCAAAGCGCTTCACAGGATACGCTGTGTTTATTTTGCGGGGGAAACGTAAGCATGTTTGACCGTGTCCCTGTTGGAAATTTCAGCCGAAGAGCCTTCGGAGGACTTTGTGAAGTTGCGAGACTTTGTGCTGAGCAAGCTGTGCCAGGGGCTACCCGGGTTCGAGCCCCAAAAACTGGCCAAGGGATTCAGCGCCGAGATGGTGGAGCAGGCCAAACACACCTGGAAAATAAATAAGGTAAATCTATCTCTTAATTATACGTCCCCTTGTTCTCTCTGGCCCTCTCCACCACCCCCACCCCCGGCCCTCTCCCCAAGAGGTGAGGGGTCTGTACTTAGGGACAGTTCTAAAATAATAATAATAAATTGGTCACTCAATCCACAACTGTTTGGGGGACACTGCTGTGTGCAATTGGCTGCCGCGTTTCACCCACAAAATATACAGTCAACAACAACAACCTGTATTTATATAGCGCCCTTCACGCAGGGTAACCTCCCGGAGCACTTTACAGTCACTACACTTTACAGTGTGACCTGTCAAGCGCTTTGAGACGTCTCGAAGACATGATAAAGCGCTGGGTCAAAAGCAACGCTTATTATTGTGGTTCAGTCTCTCACCGTAAGTGGGTTTGGGAACACCAAGTGACGGGATCCGGGCAGTGAGGAGGGGAGTGTGAGCGATATCCCACTCACTGAGGCTCGTTCCTCTCCTCAGCATCACGCACGAAGAGTCTACGAAATTCTCCGGCTTCGAAGCACCAACATGAGCGACCCCGAACAGAGCCGCGAGTACCGGCTGGAGGTGAAGCGCAGGCTGGCCATTCCCTTCAAGGTAATTATTACCCTCCCCGCTATTATGGAGCTCATCGCTTAGAGCCCTCGCCTCGCGAGCCAGAGGACCCGGGTTCGATTCCCGGGCGGGTCAGGTCAGGGCGAAACATTGGGCAAGTTTCCTTACTCCCCACACACACACACACACACACACACAGACACGACTCTGTTTACCAGCAGTGTGTTTACCAGTAGGAACTCGGTTGTTAGTCGATTGGAGGATCGCTTTCCGGGGATAACAATTCCTTCAAAATAATAATAATAATAATAATTTGGACATTCAATCCACGGCTGTTGGTGGGGACGTCGCTGTGCACAATCGGCTGCCGCGCTTCGCCCACAAAATATACAGTCGATTCACTTTACAGTGTGTCCTGTGAGGCGCTCGGTGATGTCCCGAAGACGTGATGAGGCGCCGGGTCAAACGCGAAGGTTGATATTATTGTCATTGGTCTTTTTTATTTCCTTAACCCACAGAAGAACAAGAAGGAAGCCACACGGCTGTCGCGGGTGATGCCGGAGGATTGGCTGACACAGCAGGCGGAGGTGAGCGTCAGCCAGGAACACGAGTACCTGGAGGAGACGTACCAGAGCAACGTGGAGCAATACAGGCGCATTCTGGAGCGGCTGGCACAGCTCTGACGCCAGGCTACCCTCTGACCCCCGGCCTCTGACCCCTGACCCCAGGCTCCCCCCTGACCCCCCCCAGGGGGACGTCGCTGGGTTTTAGCCAACGGCGAAGACGCTCCTTCAGGTCAGGATAAACGAGAGGCTTCGCGTGGCTTAGACTCCACTTTGGTTCTTGTTCCCATCACCTGCTTCATGTCCCAAACCCCGAGTCCGTCCGGGTTCAAAAGGTACAAACCCGGAAACGCAGTTCACTGTTTCATCTTTGGGAATTGTCTACAATTGCGCTTCTCCCCCTCCCTCCTCCTCCTCCTCCTCCTCACTACCCCCCACCCTCTATCCACCCCCCTCTCCTCCTCCCAGTGCTCGGGGTAGCAATGGTGTCTGACACACGTGGAAACCCATCAGGGTATCAGCATTGCTGAGAAACAACTTTGTTTTGTTAGTTGAGGAAGGTCACACGGCCGGTGCTGAGCTACTTCCCCCCTCTCTCTCTCTCTCTCTCTCTCTCTCACTCACTCACTCACTCACTCACTCACTCACTCACTCACTCACTCACTCACTCACTCACTCACTCACCCACCCACCCACCCACCCACCCACCCACTCACTCACTCACTCACTCACTCTCTCACTCTCTCACTCTCTCACTCTCTCACTCTCTCACTCACTCACTCACTCACTCACAGGGGAGGGGAGGGGAGGGTAAGAATGAGTTAGAGTCCTGATCGCTTCCTGTGACATCTGCTGGAAGTTGTGTGTGTGTGTGAGAGAGAGAGAGAGAGCGCGACAGTAAGTAATCCTTGTGTGTGTTTGTGACTATGTGATGTTCAATGTGGAGACACAAAGTTAGAGCTAATCTCCCTAACAGGCGCGATAAGGCACTCTATCAAATGTAAGGATTATTATTATTATTATTAGCCACAGATCACACACCACCTCAGGAATGGCCTCTCAGGCGAGATGCTGGAGTTGTCCCTACTCTCTAACACACACACACACACACTACACACTCACTGTCACCTGTGTTAGCTGCCAGTTTCGCACATGGGATGAGGGTGGGAGAGGAAGAGTTGTATTTGGCACAATATACACAGTCCGTTCACTTTACAGTGTATCCTGTGAAGCGCTTTGAGACGTTTGACAACGTGATTAGGCGCTGTGTCAAACGCGAGGATTATTATGGTTCTTCTCATTAAAGGGAGCAAAACAAAGAGCCTTTGATGGTGTTTCTCGGCAGTGTTTATATCCCGAGTGTGTCAGGTGCCTGAGCTCCACAACGCCTCCCCGTGGCTTCTGTTTATTGTGGATTAATTGGTGTGAGCGCAGTCTGATCTCACTCCCCGAACGGGCATCAAAACTCTCGCTTATCCTCTCGCTGTGAACAGCAGGTCCCCGGGGGTCCCGGACTCGCCCAGACAGCGCTACCTGTTCCCTACAAATAAGTTCTGTTGCCTCTCCCCCCGCCTCCTCTCCCCCCCGCCTCCTCTCCCCCCGCCTCCTCTCCCCCCGCCTCCTCTCCCCCCGCCTCCTCTCCCCCCGCCTCCTCTCCCCCCCGCCTCCTCTCCCCCCCGCCTCCTCTCCCCCCCGCCTCCTCTCCCCCCGCCTCCTCTCCCCCCGCCTCCTCTCCCCTCCTCCAGCCCAAACGCTTCAAATGAAGGTAGACATTGTATAATAAAAAGGGCCAATCTTCGTTTCTCTGTTGAGAAATGCAGTGATTGGGGGGGTGGGGCCCAGGTGGTTTGGTCATCAAAAAGCACTTCATCAATGGGGTCTCTGCCCCCAGACCCCCCCCTCCCCCCCCATTAAAAATAATAATAATAAATTGGTCGCTCAATCCACGGCTGTTTGTTGGACGCTGCTGTGCCCAATTGGCTGCTGCGTTTTGCCCACAAAATATACAGTCACTACACGTTACAGTGTAGCCCGTGAAGCGCTTTGAGACGTCTCGAAGACGTAATAAGGCGCTGTATCAAATGCCAGGATTATTATTATTCCCAGACAGAGGGAGGGAGGGAGAGAGGGAGGGAGGGAGGGAGAGCAAACCAAAAATAACTGGTGCAAATGCACTTAGGATTCAGGGACATTTCCTGGTCCCTCCTTGTGCTGCGCTCGGTATTGGAGGTGCTCTCAGCATTTGGGGCTTGGGGAGGGGGCAGAGGGTCCCTGACTGAAGTGTTTGTAGGACAGGCACACGCACGGACAGACAGACAGACGCACACATACAGACAGACACACACACGCGGACAGACACACAGACAGACATACACACACAGACAGACAGACACACACGCGGACAGACAGACACACAGACAGACACACACAGACACACAGACTGCGCGCAGTGTAAGGTGCCATGCAATAATTTTCCGGCAGAACTGTGATTTGCTGTGAGAAGATTTTAATATAAACTTTTTGCTCAGTTCTAACTTGTCGCTGTATTCTGCTGGGAAGTCAAATAAAGTTACTGCCGCCAATTGGGGTTCGTGTGTGTGTGAGATTTTGTGCGTGTGTTTGGATGTGGGCACTTGTGCACATCGTGTGGTGTGTAACTGCTGAGAGCTGAAGGGAACGATGCGCTCAGCCACGTCCCGAAGCCACAACTAAAGCACCAACAGTGACCTGGAGAGGGATCTGCTTCATCCTTCACCCGAGGTCCAGGAGAATTCTTCTTCAGCTGATGGCAGAGACCCCTCACAAAGCTTTCCCAGTGTCCTGGCTGTCAATCTGTCATCTCCAGATGAATTGGAATGAATTCGGTATTCCCTCGGGGCTGTTTGGGGACCTTGACTGCTGTGTTTGCCCACCAGCGCGATCTGCCACCAATCACTCGGGAAAGAAAGCGTTGAGAAGTTTGGGTTTGTGAAGCGATCGTAGTTTTCCCCCATGTTTTGAATTTGCAAACGTGGGAGTTTCCTACAAACAGTCGTGGACTGAGTGGCCGCATTTTTTTTTCGGAGGGATTATTACCCGCGGAAAGCGATCCACCGATCGACTTATCAACTGGGTTCCTATTTGCTGCTGGAAACACACAACCATTTCACTTTCCAGTGTATCCTGTGAAGGGCTTTCAGGCGTCTCAACGACGTGATCAAATGCCAGGCCGCGGTCCTTCAAAGTAACTCACTGGCTGGAGGGCACTGCGCTGGCTGGAGGTAATGGGGCGCAGTGAGAGTCGGGGCGCAGTGAAAGTCGGGGCAGGATCTCTGAATCCAGCGCAATCCTCAGAGCAACAAGAGAGAAAATAAAAGCCCAGAAGGCTGTGAATCCTGTCACATTGTCCAGACTGAGGTGTCAGGTCAGGGGATCGGGATACGAGGCAAAGGCGGGTAATTGGAGTTGAGGTCCAGCTCAGCCGTGATCTATTAGAATGGCAGAACAGGTTGGAGGGGCTGAATGGCCTCCTCCTGTTCTCATAGCTATAAGAGCTCCAGAGGCTGGAGAAGGCACAGAGTAAAGCTGTAGGGAAAGTCCCCGCCTTCGGCATCACAGTTGTCAGTTCCTCCCCACATTTCACTTTCAGTTTTGTTTGTGGATCTGCTATGACTGGAGTCAGGCGGTGTGTGTGTCGGTGTGTGTGTGCGTGTGTGTGAGGGGGTCAGCTCCGTGTGTCTGTCCCTGGCTATTGGCCCAGTTGTGGCTGAGGGTGGGGGGGGAGATTTGTGTCTGAACCCGGAGCTGGCGGTGGAGGGGGGGGAAGAGGAGTCCAGGAACAGGAGTTAACCCAAAAGCCTTCTCGAGGAACCAGTATCAACCCTTCAAATCAGTCGGGAAAAGGTATCAGATTCCAAATGTTTCACCGCCTCCGGTTTTACCACTTTTAGAATCCATTTGTTCACAGAATGTTACAGCCAGAAATGGCTCATTTTGGCCCATCCGGTCCTTCCTGTCTCGCCGAGTCCAATGGCCCCCCCTCCCCACCCCCCCTTCTCTCTCTCTCTTTCTCTTACCTTCTTTCGCTTTCACTCTCTGCACCGAATATTCCTCGGCGGGGTGGGGGGGGGGGGCGCGGGCGGGTGGGGGGGGGGGGGCGGGCGGGTGGGGGGGGGGAGGGCGGGCGGGTGGTGGGGGGGGGGGGGGAGGGCGGGCGGGTGGGGGGGGTGTGATAATCCTTTTAAAAAATGTGGTCGCTCAATCCACTACTGTTTATGGGGGACGCTGCCTTGTGCAATTGGCTGCCGTGTTTCGCTATACAGTCACTACACTTTACAACGTATCCCGTGAAGAGCTTTGAAACGTCGCGACGTGATCACGCCCTGTATCAAATGCCAGGATTATTATTATTATTATTATTATTATTGCGGCGGCTGAGCTCCCTGACACACAAATAATCTTAACAGTTTTCGTACAGTTTCTCCTGTCCCCGAACTGCAGTGTGTGACATGTCGTCCTGGCCCTGATGTTGATGTGGACAGTGACACAACCTTCCTGGGGAGGTTTCCGGCAGAAACCAAGTGACGGGGTCAGTGGAGCTCCAGGACGTAAGCAGTGACCAGGGCTCCCTCTCCCTTCTCAATCTCTGGGGTCCCCCTCTCAAGCCTTGGGTCCAGGTCTCATCAACCTGCGCTCTCTGCGGGATTAGGTGAACGAGGAGCGTCCCTGTGGGGAGAGAGACTGCATTGAGTTACAAAAACACACACAAATACACACACACACAAATACACACACACGCAAATACACACACACGCAAATACACACACACAAATACACACACACACAAATACACACACACAAATACACACACACAAATACACACACACACAAATACACACACACGCAAATACACACACACGCAAATACACATAAATACAAATACACACGTACGTGCACACACACACACACACACACAATTTACCCTCAAAATACACGGTTCCTGCAGTATTTTGGTGGGCAATGCCACCATTTTATGACACCTGTTTGTTATCTCTGCCATTTCCTTAATCGCTGTGTGATGATCCGTTCCGCCCACACGGTTCACAAACCTCTGACTTTTGATGTGATGATGAACGTGTTTATCACTCGCTGCTGCGGTGCCCTCTCCTTCTCTCCTACACCCGGATGTCCTTTGCTCTGTTGTTAGCGATCGCCTTCCTCCTCCTCTCCTCTCAGGTGCGCTCTCGGCTCAGAGACTAAAGGTTGTGGGTTCAAGCTCCAGGTCTGGCGCTGACTCGCAGACCTTATTCCCTGGCAGAAATCTATAATAATAATAATAATAATCCCCGCGTTCGATACAGGGCCTGATCACTTCGTCGAGACGTCTCAAAGCGCTTCACGGGATTTTACTGCAAAGTGTAGTGACTGTGTGTTTTGTGGGCAAAACGCGGCAGCCAATTGTGCACAGCGACGTTCCCACAAACAGCCGTGGATTGAGAGACCAATTTATTGTTATAATTTTTTTTTGGAGGGATTATTATCCCCGGAAAAGGCATTCGTCAATTGACTAAGAAGTGGGTTCCTACTGACTGCTGGAAAATAGAGGCGTGTGTCTGTGTGTGTGTGTGTCTGTCTGTGTGTGTGCGCGTGTCTGTCTGTGTGTGTGCGTGTGTCTGTCTGTGTGTGTGCGCGTGTCTGTCTGTGTGTGTGCGTGTCTGTGTGTGTGCGTGTGTGTGTGTGTGTGTCTGTGTGTGTGTCTGTCTGTGTGTGTGCGCGTGTCTGTGTGTGTGTGTCTGTGTGTGTGTCTGTGTGTGTGTGTGTCTGTGTGTGTGTGTGTGTGGGGAGTAAGGAAACTTGCCTAAGGTTCCGCCCTGTCCTGTCCCGGGTCCTCTCTCTTGCTCTAACCACTGAGCTACTGGACTGTCCCATTTGATCTTGAAAGAATCAACACTTTCTGCTTCCACCATTCCCTCCGCGTCCACCCACAGAGTAGGGGGGGGTACGGTGGGGGGGGGGGTTGAATGATTTGACGTTGGTGTGGGTGGGAGGGGGGGGCTGGGGGGTGTTTCCTTGGCCAGCGCTGAACCTCTGAAATAACCTCTTTTTGCAGGACGAAGACATGGACCTTGTGGGAGCTTCGCTCAACGCAGAGGTAAGTGGCCGTGAGGTTCCAGCTGTTGTTTGTCACCTACACACGGGAATCTCCCCGTGGAATGGAATGGAATACGCACTTTAATTCCAGAGAGTATTAGGCGCAGGTTGACGAGAGCCAAGACCTGGGTGGGATGGGGGGGAGCCCAGAGTGTGCATTGGGGGTAACTGCTGGAGTCTAACCAGCTAAACCCACACAGAACTCGGCCATCGAGAGAGAGAGAGAGAGAGAGAGAGCGCTGTCTGGCCAAACTTTCCCACTGCTTGTCCAGCGAGGACCACCTTCCCCGTTAGTTAGTTAATCAGTCAGTCAGTTAGTTAGTTAGTGCCCTTCCAGGTCCTGCCAATGGATGAGCCAGGCCGGGCTGCGCTGTTATCAGCAGTGAGTGCCCTGGGATATTTTTGTTCCTGTTTCAGGATTTACTGAGATCCGTGCTGGTCACTGTTCCCATTGGGAAATTGGAGAGGAATATGGAAAAGCGAATCCAGACTTTCTGCAACAAGAACAAGTTGGGAGACGTGGGAAGAGTCCGGAGCGGAGATCCTGGATCCTGGGTCATCACATTCAAAAATGAGAAAGGTTGGTGGAGCGATACAACAACAAAGTTCCATGTGTAAAGTGCCTTTCACGTCGGGAGGACATCCCAAGATGCTGGACAGCGTCTCGGACCCGAGCTGGAAGTCTTGAGACGGGTCTTGAAGGAGGCAAGGGCTGGGGGGCGAGGTGGAGGGACTGCAGGCTGGAGTTTCAGAGGATGGGGGCAGAGTGGCAATAGTGGGGCAAGTGACGTGGCGGACGTGAAGCAGGCCGGAGCCCGCTGAGTGGAGGGAGCGAGCAGGATGGTAGGGGTGCAGGAGGTCGCAGAGGAGTGGGGAGCAAGAACATGGAGGGCTTTGAAAGTGAGGACCAGGATCTTGTACTGTAATAGATTGAGTGGAGTCCTGTAGCTCAGTGGTTAGAGCACTCGTCTCGCAAACAAGAGAACCTGGGTTTGAATCCTGGGCGGGTCAGGGAGAAACCTTGAGCAAGTTCCCTGACCCAGGACTCCTCTGTGTACCGAGCAGTAAGTAGGAACCCAATTGTTAGTCAATTGGCTTTTCTGGGGGTTATAATCCCTTCAAAAAAAAAATAATTCAACTGGACTCAATCCGAGACTGTTTGTGGAGACACTGCTCTGCTCAATTGGCAATAATACTTCATAGAAAAATAATTCCTTCAGAAATCAGTTTGATATGAACTAAGAAATCTCTCCCTCTTTCTCTCTTTGCGCAGCTGCCAAGGAAATTCTATCCATGAAGTCCATTCGCCTTGAGGATTACGGGGATGTGAAGATATCCGATCCTGGACTCACACACCAGGCGACTGTGAGGGACACACAGCAGGTAATGGAGATGTTCTCTTATCCCCTCGTTCCCTCCGTTCCACCATCGGTGGCCACGCTTCCAGCCACTACGCCCCAAAACTCTGGGGCTCTCTCCCTCTATCCCTCCGCCTCCTCCTTCCTCATCTTCAGGTCGCACCCGAAGACCTTCCTCAGCGTTCTGCTCCACCACTGTCAATCGCTCTGGGACACTGCCCTGTGAGAGGGGGCGCTGTGTAAACACAAGAAACGGGGGGAGGGGGTCGTTTTATTACGGAAACATCTGCCGAAGTGAAGCGTCTCGTGTTGTGAGGATTATCACGTCACAGACAATAGCCTCTCTAATCTCTCTCTCTCATCTCTCTTTCTCTCTCTCTCTCTTTCTAATCTCTCTCTCTCTCTGTTGGTTAAGTCGCTGGACGACAAAATGGGGAAATCGCAGGACAACCAGTTGGGCTCCTCCATGTCTCTACCCAATCAGGTGCGCAGCGACACTCCCAATCTCAACCAAGGAGGAGGAACAGCCCTTGATAAGGGGATGAGGATCCAACAAGGCAGAGATCAAGGTGCAACGGCCGCTGTTGACCAAGACTTCTCTCCATCTACGCCTGGCAGGCCAGCGGTCATGGGGGCAACAAGTCCACAAAGAAAATCCATGACATCAAGCTAGACACCATCTCCCTTCCTCTCCATCACTACGACTACATCAGCAAAATGTACGAGAGAGAAATACAAGTCATTTGTGATAAGTACAAAGTGGATCTCTGTCCTGAAGTCAAGTTGAGTGTCCGAGCTCAGGGGCACTTTTCAGTAAAAAAGGCACAAGATGAATACAGCAAAATCTTCCAGGAAGTCATTCCAAATCTTGAGAAAAGGTCCATTCCTTTCCCTCCCGATGTGAAGGACGAGATGCCTAAAATCCTGGCCAAGTATTCAAAACTCATGGCTGACAAAGTGAAGGATGGATATTCACTGACCGGACCTCGGCAAGAAATTGACTGTGCTGAGGGGAGGTTTGGAGAGCTGTGCATAGGTCGGAGCAAGAGAAGAATTCTGGGAGCAAGTTCCTTGATGAGGGGTTTGACATTAACCCTTTTCACTGCCACGTTCTCAGGCTGGAGTTCGCAGCAGAATTAATAGACATCGAGAACAAGTACAAAGTTTTAATTAACTTTCATGACAAAGACTCAGATATGAAGAGACTGTGCATCAAATCACCATTAGGGAGTTCCAGTATGGTCAGGCAGGCTCTTGAGGTCCTCATTTCCTTTTATCAGACAGTTGGGACCAATATGGTAATGGTGCATTTGGAGAGAGGGGCAGATCTCGAGGCTGTGGTTAAAGCCTGGCACACGGTGAGGAGCAAGTACAGAAATATGTTTGTAGAGAATTCCAGAATGTTCTCTTTGGCTGGGATGAAAGAAACAGTGGTCGAGGCCGTCAATGAGCTGCACGCCATGTTGGGAAGGAAAGTGTTTCAGGAAGTCCCTGGTTTGGGCAAATGGAGCGATGTGAAGATCAGCAAGCAGGCAGGAGGGAACATGGATGATCAGGATAACAAGTGCCCCATCTGCCTCGATTTTATGAAGAATAAAAAAACCCTGCAGTGTAAACACTCTTTCTGCACCTCGTGTATTGAAATGGCTCTGACCAACAGGAACTGCTGCCCTATCTGCCAAACCGTGTTCGGCTCGATGCAAGGAAACCAACCCGACGGCACCATGTCTCAGCATATTCTGCAGTCCTCACTGCCAGGCTTCAACTGCCCCACCATCGTCATCAAGTACGACATCCCGGACGGGATTCAGCAGGTAACACGGAACACGAAAAGTCACAGGATAGTCCCAAATGGACACGTGTTTCCAAAAAATAATAATACAATAATAATTTGGTCACTCGACCCACGACCGTGTGTGGGGACGTCGCTGGGCGCGATTGGCTGCCGTGTTTCGACCACAAAATACACAGTCACTACACTTTACAGTATATTCCGTGAAGCGCTTTGAGACGTCTCGAAGACGTGATGAGGCGCCGGGTCAAATGCGAGGATTATTATTATAATTCTGATTATTAACAATAACTTTATTGTAACAGAGATGTCACCCAAACCCGGGCCAGCGCTTCACAGGCACCTCGAGGACTGCGTATCTCCCCAACAACCGGGAAGGACAACACGTGATGAAGTTATTGAAAAAAGCCTTCCACCTGAAGCATATCTTCACAGTGGGGACGTCAATCACCTCGGGACAGAAGGACGTGGTGACCTGGAACGACATCCACCACAAGACCAGCCAGTACGGAGGTCCACAGTCGTAAGTGACAGCATCTCAGAAAATAATAATAATAATCCTGGCATTTGATGCAGCGCCTGATCACGTCTTCAAGAGACGTCTCCAAGCGCTCCACAGGAGACGTTGTCACACTTGATTGACGGATCTCTTTATCCAGAGGGCAATTAATGACTGGAACAAGGATTAGCAGGAAAGGGGAGTAGAAGCGGATGCTGGGCCGGGGGGACTTTGCTGATCGGGTGGATGTTCTGAAAGGATGGGATCTCACTGGGCATAGGGTCTCCTTCATCCAAAGCTGAGTTGAAGTGGGGTGGGAGTCAGTGATGAGGGACCACCGTTATAAGATTGTCACAGGAAAAATCCTGTGGGTTGTTGGAATCCCTACGTTCCGAGTCTTCCCTGAAAGGTCGGGATCACAAACCCGACGACCGGGAACTAGTTTGGGCGACGTGTGGCTGAAGATGTGACTGGTTTATTTTCAGGTTCGGGTACCCAGACCCCGGGTATCTCAGCCGGGTTTGTGATGAGTTAAAGGCCAAAGGCATCGTGTGACCCGCCTCCTGCTCCTGAAGACAAACCTCGGCTCAATCAGCGGCCGCAGGAATGGAATCCTCTCGCTCGCTCGCTCGCTCACTCGCCGGCCAGACTCTGCCAATGAATTTTCTTCTCGATTGTTTTACGCTCTGCGCTGCAGGATAGCTCTGGGATTCTCAGCAGGATTTTCGGCTTCGTAGTGCTTGGAGTGAAATCATTAGCACGGACACACACACGGATACACACGCACACATATACACACACAGACATATTCAAACGCAGACCCATACGCACACGCAGACATATACATACACACTAACACAGACATGATCACACGCGTCTGCACACACACAAACACATTGACAGCCCTATCATATTGGCGGAAGGTAATTCATGCCTCTCTCCCTCTTCAGCCTACACCCCCCCCACACCTGCTCCCTCGTCTATTAGACATGATGATGATTTGTTGTCCTGTTAATCTCCAGTCTTGCTCAGCCTCGCCTCGGACACAAATAATAATAAATAATCCTTGTATTTGATAAAGCGGCTTATTGTGTTGAGACATCTCAAAGTGCTTCACAGGATATACTGTAAAGTGTAGTGACTGAGTGTTTTCTGGAAACTGTAACATTTGGGCAACTTAAAATGGACGAGACACCAGCTCCACACCACAGGACGTGGTTTTAGTGTGTCGGGACTGCGTGCGACTGAGACGTCACAGAACTGGGGGTCGAGGGCCCTCGGCTGAAATATTCTCTGAGTCTATGTGGGCGGAAATGAGAGGAAAAGTCACCAAAAAGGGGGTGAGAGGGAGTGGGGTTCGTCATGTAATGGGCAGGAAAGATACTCCCCCCCACCCCCGCCCTCCATCCTCCCCAGTCCTGACCCACAGCTCAGGTCCGAAACACTGACTGTCCAGCGCCTTCGGACGTCCTCGTGAACGGCGCTTCACAAATATAATGTTGTTGTTGTTGTTGCGATACCCTCCCTCACCAGCAGGTGGCGATGTGGAGCTCAATACATTGACTGCGATGGGGATAATAATAAAAATAGAATATTATTATACTGTATAACATGTTATTATGTTATATTAATTTTATAATATTAAATTATTATGGCGATGATTGTTTACACATCGTCACGGTCAACAGCAACAAAAACAGCAGCAACAACAACCACAACAACAGCAGCAGCAGCAAAAGCAACAACAGCAACAACTTGCACACATACATAGTTACGCTGTTGAGCTTCGCAGTGGCTAAAGTTATCATTATTACATAAAACAGATACAAATTCTAAATGAATTTAAAAAAACAGGATGTGTGGACATTACAGGAGGCATAATATGGAGATTATTATTAATCTGATTACTATTTCAATGAAGTGACAAAATTAAATTGTATTTAAATTAAATGATTTCCAGGAATGTAAAAGGTCCAACCGAGGCTCCTCTGCCCACCTCACAGTGAGGTCCACAACCCTCCACAGCGCAAAAACCCTCCACAGCCATCCGTGTTCCTCACTGCTCCTGTGACCTGCTACTTACATGTAGACCTGTTCTCTCCATCTGCCACCCCCCCACTCACCATCGGTGTCAGGCCTTCAGTATCTCTGCCCCCACCCTTTGGAACTGTATCCCAGTCCCTCCACCTCACTCACTCCCTCGTCTCCTTCAAGGCTCGTCTCAAGATCCTCCTTCGGTCACCCTCCTACCCTCATCCCCCCCAACCCCTCCTGATCCCAACCCCCTCCCTCCCCAGCTCGGGTCCGTATCCCAGGGCCTTCAGACGTCCTCCCGTGTTACATGCCAATCTTCCACAATGGATCCCAGGAATAAAACCGTTACCAGTGCTCATTTAACACTCAGAAATAGCTAAGTAGCAGGAGAAGAGAGGACAAATTCAGGGGAGTAAAGGGCAAGTTCAGGACAGACACCAGGAAGCATTTCTCTACCGTCAGCTGGACTGGGATTACCAGAAAGGGTGGTTGAGGCTGGGACACTGGACTCATTTAGGAAACAGCTTGATGCTGTCGTGGGAAGATATCAGGGAGGGGATTCTGGACAGATGAGATCAAATGGGCCTCGGACAAACCACTTGTGAGAAGCTGTACATTTCCTGTAATTATCGTTGTAAATATAATTTTTGCTCTTTGTCGGGAAATGACACGGATTGGGTGCTGGGGGGGGGGGGAGGGGGAGATGTAATATTTCATATGACAACACCTTTAGAAGCTCAGCCAAAAGCTAACAATATATACTTGCGTCAGCAATAGGCAATGAAACAGCCTCTTGGAAAAGGAGCAACACCAACAACTGGTTCTATGGAAATATCTATTTTAATTAAAGCGTATAAACATCTTAATTATGTACATATCTTTTATATATTATAGTGCATGTGGTACAAAAGAACGTGAGGAGGGCAGCCCACAAGGGCCGATTCCCCAAAGCATCCGATCAACAAGCAATTTACAGTCATTGTATCAACGCTCAGCTTGGCGGCAAAGGCAAACATTTGGATCGTTTAGTGTTCCTGGTTCCTCTTGCAAGTGTCTTCAGAGGTTAAAACACAAAATAATAAGACATTAACCTCTGCATTTGATATAGCGTCTCATCACATCTCAAAGAGCTTTATAGGATAAATATAGTCAAGTCACGTTACAGTATGTCCTGTGAAAACACTTTGAGACGCCTCAAAGACGTGATAAGGCTCTATCAAATTCAAGGATTATTATTATAGACTGTAAAGCGAATTGCCTGTGTATTTTGTGGGTGAAACGCGGCAGCCAATTGCAAAAGGGCATTTCATAAAGCGATGGAAACATTGCCTATTTCCCACGAATATGCTCCGGGAAATACACATTTTCTCAGACTAAACTTTTTTTGATTGTTTTCAGCAGGAAGTTAAAATAATAATGAGTTGCTGGGGTGAAATTTGCAGTAGTTTTGCTTCAGTCATTTCTTTTGTTGAAGGAATATTTGCTAACTACCAGCAGGCGGTGCCCTCCTCTCCAGGTCCCAATGTTATCCCCCGTCTCAAGCTCCAAATAAAATAAGAGGTGCTCGGACCTGCAGAGAATGCTTTGTTACCAAACATTCCTTCAATAAGAAAAGGAATGCTGGAAAATCACCAACATTTCACCCCATTTTCACAGGAGTGAGTCGTAACCCTGGTTCCTGGTTGTGTCAAGTTCCGTTCCACAACGTATAAGGAAGGAGTCAGTTATCTTACCAAAGGTGCTGACGTGAGACAGAGAGAGTTGTGTGAACTGCAGAGCGACAGAGAAGCAGAGTGGTGAATGTCCCTGTACAGACCAACTGTTTGAGTGTGGGGCACACAAAGCCAGCCAGCTATCCCTGTTGGAAATACTGCCTGTTACTGGTGCAGTACAACAGTCAGCCTCGCCAGGACCTTCCACATCAATTCTCCGCCACGCCGCCCGCCACAACTTTTACTGAAACATTGCGAGGAAACGTCGAAACGCAAACAATTGTGGCTTTGAGTATTTTTTTGGCCCAATTCGTAAACAGACCCCTCCTGTTGAGGCCGGCTGGCGAGGTCAATGTTTTCTATGTGTGAGGTAGTCAAAGCCTAACTGCAAACAACCGTTACTTTCTTCACTCAGCGCCTCCCAGGTACAGGTGCCCTGGGAGTGAGCACTGGGTAAGCAGGAACCTGGGACTAGACTGTCTCAGGATAAAGAGGAACGACAGACACACAGGACTGACACAGGGACCCACTCACCAACGTTCCCAGGTACCTGTTAACTTTCAGGGTTGCTGGAAAAGGTTATTGTTTTGTGCAGGAATAATAATAATCCTTGCATTTGATACAGCGCCTTATCACGTCTTCGAGACGTCTTAAAGCGCTTCACAGGATATGCTGTGAAGTGTAGTGACTGTATATTTTGTGGGCGAAATATAGCAGCCTATTATGCACAGCAGCGTCCCCTCAAACAGCCGTGGACTGAGTGACCAGATATAGCCTAAGAGTGGCAGAGAGTGGGCCCTGTGTAAAATAAGACTGCAATGACACACTTACTCTTTGGTACTGTAAGGTTACACATGTCCGCATCGGAATACCGAGGGAGATTGTCTTTGAAGTTTTGTAACTTTGGGATAGTTTGCAAAACGAGGAGAGTCCACAGTGGTGGGGGGCGGAGGTGGGGGGGGAAGGGACTTTCTGCAAAATAATAATAATGAAAGTACAGTGTGTCTGTATATGTCTGTGTGGGTCAAACACAACTTCCCTTTGTGTTTGACAGGTGTGTGGGGGGGGGGGGAAGGGGGCACCTAAAAACAGACCAACTCATATGGTTGAGGGCAGTACAGGAACAAACGTTTGTGCAGGAAACATATCTCCTACGGATAAAATCCCCTATCAACCATTATCGCCACATCAATACCCGTTACCTCTGACCCACCTTTGTATATAAAAGAATCCCAAACCCCCACCACCACCCACCCCCCCCCACCACCGTACACAGCTCCAGGTACAGCCATGATCTCTGCAGGTTCCTGTGTCAGATAACAACCTGACATTTCATTTCCTCTCATTACGAGATCAGCCAACACCCAGGACTGGTGAGTTTACCGAACGACCGCACGACCGCACACGCACATAACACCAGCTACAGACTCCAGAACACAGAGAAAAGATACTAAAATCATTTTAGGATTTGGCCGTTAAATACCCATTAACCCCCACGCGAGAATATTTCTTCCAAGTGCGGGTTCGAGGGTGTGCAATAAAGGTAACCAATAATTCATACTGAATTTTAACAGGGCTTGAACACGACTCGTGTTAGCGTTGCCGGGACAGAATGATGGGGCAGAAGGAAATGAAATGCAAAAAGCCCAGAGCTTTGGCATTGGGTGTCAGGAGTGACTGAATGTCAAACGGACCACAGCGTGCGCCCTGAAAGAAAATCAGAACCCAAACACTTGTTCAAACCCTGTGACAGTGTTGCAGTTCCTCTGATGGTGGGTGTACAGGAGCTGTGCAGAGCGTGGGCTGGCCCTGAGCGGCCCCAGGATGGGAGACAAACGTGGTGCATGCGAGGTGGAGGGGGGGTGTCCCATAAGCCCAAAGCCACCCCCACCCACCCCCAGCCCCACCCCACTCAGCCACTCAGCGGATGCAGGTCGACCTTCACCTTCTCCCCGCTGCTGAGCATCCCGATAGTGGGGTAGAAGCCTCCGAAGGGCACCCCAGCCTCCTTCCTGCCGATTATCTTTCCGTTCCTTGTGAAAAACACCTGAAAGAAAGCAGATGATTAGACATCGATCATTTCAACACCGGCTGCAGCCCCTGTGGTCACTCTGCCTCCCGGAAAATTCATCGCACCATATAATAATAGTATTAACTCCTTACACTGGATACAGCCCCTCATCACGTCTTCGAGGCGTCTCAAAGTGTGTATTTTGTGGGGGAAACGTGATGGCAAATTGCATGCAGCGACGTCCCACAGACAGTCGAGGATTCTGTCACCAAACTATCATTATTATTATTACTATTATTAGTTTTTTGCAGGGATTTATTACCCCCCCGGAAAAGCGATTCACCAGCTAACTAACAAGCGGTTTCCTACTTACTGTTCGGTAAACAGAGGTGTGTGTGTGTGTGTGTGGAGTAAGGAAACTTGTCTAACGTTTCGCCCTGAGCGGGTATCAAACCCGGGTCCTCTCGCTTGCGAGGCGAGTGCTCTAACCACTACACCGCAGGCGCAATGGTCGAGATGGTGTCCGTCTGTGCTGCAAATTCTAAGCTTCTCTGCATTGGACAGAGAACACCACTGTAAGGAAGCCTCGTCCTGAGTAAACGGAATCTTTCTCCTCACCATCACTTTCGTTCCCTCTTCTTCAGCTTCCATGTCTTCACCTTCCTCTTCATCGTCTTCACCATTGAAGTACATGATGTTCCTGACTTGCTGCTGCTGCTGCTGCTGCTGCGGCGGAGGCTGTTTGGGTTTGATCTCTGCCCCCTCGATACACTCGTCACTGTCACCTGGTGACAAGAGGGAGGGTCGAGGCAGTCAGACCAGCAATCAACAAGCGCTGGAACAAGTGGATTTTATTCTTTCGCTTTTACTTGTGCTTTTCTCCAACTCTGAGGCGTTCCATCTGTGACCGTCATCCACACGGTGAATCTATACCCAGTGCCTCCCCATCGCCCCACCTCCCCACCCAACCACTTAACATTACCATTCGTCATCATGTCAATATAATGATAAGCCTCTCATTTGATGCAGCGCCTTATCACGTCATTGAGACGGCTCAAAGCACTTCACAAACGGGATTGACCGTGTATTAAACGTACAGGGTAAACTGTACTAATGAGGTTCTTACCTTCACTGTCTAATGTATAATCTCGAGGGAACATGATACCACAGCCCATGATGTCACCCTTGTAGCAGCGAGGGCCGAAGGGATCTCCCACTCCACTTCCTTGGAAAATCTTCCCATCGTCTGACAAAACAAAAACAAAACAAACGACCACAGATTTGGTAAGGTACTGGCGTTCCAGTAGGGGCCGGCCACACACACACAGCGCCATCCAACACACACTACTTTCACGTCGGAAATGCTTATCACGTCGTCAAGACGTCACATCTGCTTCACAGAATATACTGTGAAGTGAATTGACTGTGTATTTTGTGGGCGATACTCTCAGACAATTGTACTGCACGATCTTTACTTGCAGAACAGGCAGTCAGTCAGGACCTCGATTTATCATCTAATCCAAAGACTGGGACCTACTCCTCGTGGCTGTTTGTGGGATCTCGCTGTGAACAAAACGGCCGACACGTTTGTGTACAAAAAAGGCCCCGCACTTGATAATCTCTGTTAAAGAGATGTAAAGGATGCTATAAAACAGGAAAGTTGTTCCAAGATGTCTCTATTACGAAACAGAAACTGCTAGAAATATGGAAAATAGTTCTACAAATACCAGCCCACTGGAGTGCAATAAAAGCAATATCCGATGGTGTGAAATCTCACGTTAATACTCATTTTCACCATTCCTGCTCTGCCATTTCCAAACAGCTGCTTCTCATTCCCTGTTACATTCGCACTAATCCCACAAAGCAACCTTAAATTTCCACAGCCAAGACTCGCCTGCGGACTTGCGTTCTTGTGTAACATCCCGACCTGCGGCAGAGCATGGAAAAACTGACACGGTCGGTAAACACATAAATGAGCAAAGCGAGTCAAAGTGGAATCTGGAAAACTTACGCAAACACCCGGCACGTGCTTTTCATCTGCTCACAAACAAAACAAACTGGGGCTCGGAAAACGCCAACATTCCGTCTCCAATCAAGAGCGGGGATGGTTTTCATTTCCCTTCAGAACCCACCCGAGCATATCCAGCTCCCAGGTTCAATCACAGAACTTCAATTGCAAGGTTGGTCTCGCTGATTGGAATTTAATTTGATATTAAGGAGTTTTGCTGGGTGTGTCTGGGCGACAGGTTACCAGCCTCCTGCCCACTGCAGGGCCCACAGCACAGCCACAAGATGGTTGGCCCCCAACATATGGACGCTCAGCTGGGAAAAAGTTACCAAACAGACTGAGCTTGACGTTTAAGTAACCCTTAAAGGATAACAGAGTCAGTAATGACCACCTGAGGGCACTGCTTTCAGGAGCGATCACTGTCATTCACGTTATAACCACCGGACTAACACAGTCTCACAAATTAGGGCTGATATAATTTGAGTAACTGGATGTAACCACAGTATAAAGGGGCGATGTAACTATAATAATGATAATAATAATCTGTGCATTTGATGCAGTGCCTTATAATGTCATTCAGACGTCTCAAAGCGCTTCACAGAATATGCTGTAAAGTGAATTGACTGTAGTCAAGGACAGCAAAGATCTTGTTCAGCATCAAACACGTAGGTACACAGTGCTCCCTCAGTCAGCCTCGTCTATCAGGTCAAGTCCCAAGATGGGGTTTGAACTCACAACCTTCTGTTCCACAGGCGAGAGCGATACCAACCGAGCCAAGCTGACACAGAGAACGCACATTCACACATGGAGCAATTTTTAAGCAAGATGGAATTCAGATATCGTGTTAGTTGGTAATCTTGGATGCTGTTTTATTTACAGCTTTGTTCTCACCCCAGCTGAGATAATGATATCCAGTGTCTAAGGTATGCAGCCTGGCTGATGCTAAATACAGAGATCTTTTCACATCTCAGAATTGTTTTTGTCGTAGGATAAGCCAAGGACAGTAAAGATCTTTTTCAGCATCAGATTTTGATGCAATAAAGAATCTAAAGATAGATTTCTGAAGCACTTATATTTGTGAAGTGAGGCTGAACTGCTAAACAGTGGAACTAACTCACCTTGTAACACAATGTGGGGCTGTGACACTGGAATTTCTTAAAGGGCAAGTGTCCTGTTGAAATTCCCAATGGTTCCTATCGAGGTGAACCTTGAGGATGTGAGAATGAAGAAGAATGCTGATAGAGCCATCAGCACAGATAGGCATATTGAACCACTGTGTCTGTCAGCTCCAGCTGTGCTCCAGCAAGTGATAGTTAGTTCACAATCAACCTGTTAAAGAGATGGAGTTCTACAACAACTTGCAATTCACGTTGACCTGAATTACTGCAGAGAGCTGCCGCTGCAGGGATCCTGGCATTGACATGAAAGCGCGAGGAACATTGGTCCCATCCAATTACAACCTCCCATCCTGTTATCCTATTAACAACCGACACCCGCGAGGAGACCGTCTCGGCAGCTGAGATAATGATGTTAATCGCTCCAACTGATTGGGCACTTAGTCTGTGGATTCCAATAAGCAGCCCACCAGCTGATGGCTGGACAGTGCGGAGTGCCAACATTCAAGTTGCTTGTCAGTCAGGAGAAAGTTTCAGCCTTCGGGAAGACATTAATGGGTTTCATAATAGAAAAGCCACCAGACTTGGATAGTGAAGAGCTAGCAGATGCATAAAGCGCGTGGGGAGGTGTGGGGGCTCAGGGTGATGCACTTCTGGTTCCTGTCAGGCTTCATTGGTTGATATTCTGGTTAGAAATCGCTACATCCCCATAATACAACAACAAAATTACATTTGTATTGCGCCTTTCACGTCGGGAGGACATCTCAAGGCGCTGGAGAGTCAGTGTTTCGGACCTAAGCTGGGGTTCAGGGTGGGGGAGAAGGGAGGGGGGGAAGCAGGGAGATCAAAAGCACGATCAAAGAGGAAGGTCTTGAGATGGGTCTTGAAGGAGGGAAGGGAGGGGGCAAGGCGGAGGGACTGCGGGATGGAGTTCCAGAGGGCAGGGCGGAGTGGCAGAAGGCCCGCCCACCAATAGTGGGGCAAGCGAAGAGGGGACGTGAAGCAGGCCGGAGCCCGCTGAGCAGAGGGAGCGAGCAAGATGGTAGGAGGTTAGGAAATGGCAGAGGTAAGGGAGTAGCAAGACCATGGAGGGCTTTGAAGATGAGGTCCAGGATCTTGAACTGTATCCTCTGTGTGATGGGAAGCCAGTGGAGTTGGGTGAGGATGGGGGTGATAGGGTCACGGAGCCTGAATGTATAAGAAGTGGAAACGTTTCCCATTCCTTAGCAATGACACTGTTCACCTTAATGAGCACATCTTTATCATAAGAACTTAAACATTTGCTAAGATGGAAGAAGACCAAGGTCCATCCAGTTCACCTTCCACCAACCACCCTGGCAGCTGCTTGCACATGTCATGCCCCAAACTACATTCTTATCACAGGGCAAAGAAATCATGTCTAGCACAGAATACTGCACTCGCAAACACGGCATCGGCCTCTGTGGCAAACACACAATGCGTACACTGTACACAAAGAGCTGGCAGGGCACAGAGTCCTCAATACCAATACGGTGCCCGCCGGGTAGGAACCTTTTACTGTGACATCAACAACAATGAACAAGCGTTGGCTGATGTCAATGAGGGTTTGTTTAGTGCTGCTGTGCTGGGAAAGTCCAGGCAGTGCTGATGGTCATTGTAAGGTCTCAGACACAGATCCACACACACACGCAGACACAGACACAAACGCACACACCCCTCCATGTTCCACACGTGATTAACTGTACTTCCCGACATCAGAAATGAATTCAACGAGAAAAGAATGGTTGCAATTGGCTACTAGCGCTTTCGCCTACAAAACGCAGTCACTACACTTTACGGTGGGCCCCTGTGAAGCGCTTCGAGACTCTTAGCGACGTGACGAGGCGCTGCAGCATCAGACCCAAGGATTATTATTACTCCTGCAATTCCCAGTCGTGCCACTGGGCTGCGCAGTAACACCTGCAGATTCTCCCCTCGAGGTGTCTCTTCCGAATGTCCAGTCGGGGAGAGATCTCACCAACTTCCCGCTTTACACAACCCGTCAGAATTACTCTTATATTAGGACTCAAAGACTAACAGAGTGAAAGGTCAGCACAGTGATGTACATAACCAGAAAAGCCCAGAGAACAAATGTACATTGCGCTCTCTCTCTCTCTCTCTCTTGCGCTCTCTCGTTCTCTCTCATACCATCAATCGATTCCTTCACCAAATAGCTAATCCCTTCGTCGATTTGCTAATACGATCTGCGTCCTTTGGTCGTCCACTACACACATTCACCACCTTCTTTGTGAAGCGCTCTGGGACGCCGCCCGGCAGCAATGCAAGTTGTTGAAGAAATTCAATCTGAACTCTCTCTCTCTCTCTCTCTCTCTCTCCCCTGAGCTCAGGATCATGTCTATGCCCTGTTGTAATGATAATGGGCACATTATTAGAGCTTGGTTTACCTCTACCTTCAGGACTTTGATTTCTCCCCAGAATGATCTCTCCCTCAAGCCTCCTCTGCATTTCCAGCTTCTCTAGCCTCTCTTCGTAATTCAATAAAACAACCTGGACAAAATGACTCACAGAATTTAATTACAGTCTCGTAACCTCCTGCCAACCATTAATTATCCTCTACGTCTTATTATACAGTTGCTAGACTTTCAATATTTAGGGCATGTTACAGGACACTTGCTGTAGCATGCGGTGCTTTAACAGAGGCGATGTTAAAGTGAGCTTGGAGAGGGCTGTAAGGTCTATATTAGAGCCATGTGTATTTGCAAAATAGATATGGTCTGAAAAATACTATGAAATACATTTTGAGAGTCCACTGAAGAACACCCAGTCTATTCAGACCTCAAGAGAGCTGCCTTGTACTGCATTGGGAAAGAGAATTGAGGATGTGATTAGAAGCAAAGGAATCCCCAGGCTGGACATCGCTTCTCGACGAACATCTTCACACTCGAAGGCAATCGTTTAGGAACAGACCAGCGCATGGGCTCGTGAATACTGACTCGACTGCACCGCGTCACACTTTACTGCACTCCAGCACCAACTTGCATTTGGATTCCATGATTTTGAATATTTTAATAACTATTTATTTGTGGAAAGATGTTTTTGTTTAAGATCGTTCGTCACTTACTTGTTCTGGTAACAATTGGAGGATGAGAAGAACAAGAACAACTTGCGGTTGATAAATTGGCTTTACATTTATCGCACAAGCTGAACCCCACCTGCTTGTTGATTCAAGGGGCTGAACTGACACTGATTATTATTGTAGACGGATTCTTTCCCACAGGCTCTCCTTTCTCTATCCCCTGGATCTATTTAATCAGTTTCACTGTTCCTCCTCCTTTCTTTCCTGGCCACGCAATCTTTCGGACATGGAAACCATTGCAAACAACACGTTCTCTAGATCACAAACTATAATCAAGGACTTAAGAAAGGTCAGGGTAAGGAAAGAAAATCTAGCTCTCATTTGTAAAACTGTAACACACCCACTCAAAAAAAACAAGTAAATTGGCTGTTTATCTTGCCCTTCTCCTATTTCTAAAACACATATTTGGTTTGGTTTTATTTGGCGCATTGGGGAATGGTCAGACCAGAGAACTCACAAAGCCCCTTGGAGATATCTTCCTCATGTGTTCAATGCTCCAGGATGCCACTTCGGTAGCTCCCACCACAGAATGACCCCTTGAGGCTGAATATTGCCACGGGATCTACTGACGCGATTAGGAGAGAGGAGTGAGACAAGCTTCCCCCACTGCCAATATCTGTTGTCTTCATTGATGACTGTTTAGTGAGCTTGATAAGAAGGGTCTTGGCAAGTCTGCTCAGGTTTTTCTGATGGGATTACATGGCTGTGTTTTACTGATGACCATGTACTGATGGCGAATTTCTGCCCTGTTCATCTTAGGGAGCAAAGCACAGACGAGCAGGATATAAGGCTACGCACCATGTGCGGCTATTGTAGGTCTCTCTCTCTTTCTGAGTCACCAGAGCATCTCTGAAGCATTGATGTTGTTTCTTGGAAATTTTGGGCTGTGCTGTGAAGGGACAAAGGTTTCTGGTTGTTTTTTGTTCCCCTTCAAACAAAGCAACATTTCAATGCTGCTTAAGTCAACACCATGTGGCTGGAGCATTAAGGTACGTAGCGGAAAGCTTTCCTGCAGCCCATGTGTGAGATCCAGAACCATGATTAGGTGTCAGTCTGACTGGGTTGGTAGCACTTTCCGCCTCTGAGTCAGAAGGTTGTAAGTTCAAATCCCAGTTGGGACTTGGAGCTCACAGTCTAGGCTGACACTCCAGCCCGGCCTTGGGGGAATGCCCTGCAGATGAGATTTTAAATGAGGCCCTGCCTGCCTGTGCAGATGGAATGTTAAAGACCTCAAGACACTATTGAAAGCGTTAAGGGAGTTTTTCCCGGTGTCCTGGCCAACAATTCTGCACGAGTTACCCTAAATGACTTGCCTACACATTTCCTTCCCTCCCTCCCTCCCTATGGGGATGGTGCTTGACCTCAATGTCACAGCTGAGCCTGGGAACAAGCAGAGTGGAGCAACCAAAGGTACAAAGGAGTTTCCCAGGGAGACTCAGTGCGTTCTGCTTCAACCTCGGGAGCTGCATTTAAATCCAGCTCAGACTAACAGAAGGGAAATACTATAGGAGCTTCACTCTGTATCTGGCTGTTCTGTACTGGAGCTGGAAGTGCTCAATGCTGTCCAGTGCCTTAGGATGTCCTCCCAACATGAAAGGCGCTGTGTAAATGTAATTTACTGTTGTTGTTGTTGCCTGATACCTACAACTGTCCAAATAAGCTTCTTCCATCAGAGAGGAATGAGTGGCCATTTCCACCTCATGGCATCACAGTGACGTTACTGTACAGACGTTTAAGTTCCGTCAGTGGATTCAAGTGTTATACACAGTAAAATTGTCAAATGTACAGCAGCCTCCACGGTCTGATGTTAAACCATCTCTAGATATTTAACCTTTGCTCAAGCCTAGTGTGATTCAGTTTGACCCTCACTGCTCCTGTAGTTCAACTCCTGCCTGAACAGCAAGTGCAATTGACCTGAGAGACTTGGGAAATCAGGAAACGAGTTTCCAAAACCTAGCTGTTGACATGACAGAACTCTAATGCAATAATCCTGACTTCACAAGTCACTCTGAAGGGCTTCCGGCAATGTCACCTTTCAGCTGGCTCTGAAGGACATTTGATTTCCTATCAATCTCCAAATGGGATTCTTCAAAAGTATTGTAAACCAGTGACAGACACCCACAGCTTAAGGCTTCGTCCTCACCAACTCATTCTCAAGAGCGGTAAATATTGTAAATATTTCTACCTTCCTATGGTAACGGGAAGAAACAGATCCTGTTTAAACAATTACATCGCTGAGATTATATATAGCGGGTGTGTTCTGATTTATCATTTCCTCTCGGTGCGGCGCGAATCTAAGCTTTGTCACAACAAAACGTCTACAAAAGAAATTAAAACACTGGGAAAGGAAAGCCGCCTGGCACCCGCTGGAGATTCTCAGTTACGTGTCAAATGATCAAGAAATTTGAAAGCGATTCACACGGTTAACATTTCCACCCCAGCCCCCGACTCCGGTAACCGTTAGGGTTGACTGATCTGTTACATGAAATAAATAGTTAGTTGAAATGTAATGTGTTTGACAGTTCAATCATACATACAGATTAACTGTGAGTCTACTAATTGAAATGTTCTGTTATATTTTAGCCATTCATTGTAAACAGAAAGTGCTGCCTGCTTGTTTTCCAGTGGATGTTAAAGGTTCTGTGTCTGTAGGGAAAGAGATGTGAGTTTCACCTACTCCACTGACGAGCAATCACCCAGATTAGATAGGTCAGTCACCCTGCTGCTGTTTTTGTGGCTTTTCTGTATTCAAATTTACTGTGTTGTTCCAATGATAAGATGCTACAAGAATGTAAGTTCTTCTTTTTCTTAAGCTATTTGTGGAAGGATTAAGAAGCCATGTAACAGTGTGAATTTGTCTCTGCAGGTTTGACTTATGACTCTCTGACAATGCAATGACTTCTAGCGCTGCACTGGAGTCTCAGTTTGAACTACGATTCCCCAACATGGGACTTGAACCCACAAGCTTCTGACTCAAGAGGCGAGAGCGCTACCACTGCGCCAGGCTGACACACAACAATAATAAATTAGAAATAAAAACAGAAGTCACTGGGAATGCTGAGCAGGTCAGGCAGCTTCTACGGAGAGAGGAAAGTGAGCTAACGCTTCAGGTCGATGACCTTTCGTCAGGGGCTCACTTTTATGTTATAATTTCTAATTCTAAGTGTTACATCGACAACAACAGCGACAACAACTGGCATTTATATAGCGCCCCTCATGCAGGGGAGTGTCCCAGAATGCTTAAGGATTGTCATGTCTCCCTGTGACACATATTCACATATTGATTTAACACATTTTACACACCGTCCGCCACAGAATCACGACCACAGTGGAGCTGTGGTCCCAATGTAAATGCACAGAATGACAGAATTATCATTACTGTAAATAACTGGAGTGCGATAAATGTTTTAGTTGAACCCTCCCTGTGAGAGACTCGAGCTGGCACAGAAACAAGTGAACAGCCTGAGCTCCCTCTGCCCCAGGTCAGGTGTGAGCAGGTGGTGCAGGGGAAGCAAGGTGAAAAACGGTTATCTCATCCAGTTCACCACACCTCAGGAACCATTATAAAGGCCTTATTCTGCGGATGCCAACAACTTGGGCGTAAATTCTGCGGTTTTAGGAAGATTTTTCATTGCACACTCTGGCTACTGAAAAGTACTAGGGAACTGTAGAGACATGAAGTGGCTTGCGATGAAACATTTCAGGATTTATATTGTTCCTAAACTAATCCACATATTTAAAGATCGCCAATTGCTGTGCTTAGTCGTGTTGAACTAACTCACCCCCATCCTCACCCGGCTTTACTGGCGACTGAGGACTCAGTTTAAGAGCCTCGTCCTCACTTTTAAATTCCTTCACATTCTTGCCCCCACCCTATCTCTGAGATCTTCTTAAAGTCTATCAACCCGCCATCGGTGTTCCAGCCTACCTACCCCCACTGGAACTCTATCCCGGAGTCCCTATGGCTCGACTCCTACATAGCTTGTCTCAAGTTCTTCCTCTGTGACCAAGCCTCAGTCATCTCCCCCCACAACCTCCAGCCCCCACCCCGAGCCCCCCGATGCAAACGCCAGACTGCCCTTGTCTTGGGATGTCCTCTCAATGTGAAAGTCCCTTTGTTGTATAAATACATTCTGTTGTTTTCTGCCATTGATGAGCTGAGTGAGCGGCTGAAACAACACACATGGCAGATTCTCACCTGCGTGATATGCCACCGATCCTCGGCTCCAGCCCGGGTGTCGATTTTTCGGGTAGTCCTTAAACAAATCAAACACAAAGGAAATCAATCTGTGTGCTGAGCCTGGTTGGGTCACTGTCTCTCAGAACCAACAAACAAACTGTCAGACAAGCATTATACTGGATCTCACTGCCATTTGGAAGGAGTGCTTGAAAGACAATACCAATACTTCCTACAGTCTCTCCACACTCTTAATGATTTGGCTTCATCTTAGATCAACAGCAACATTCTGGAAATACCGGGCTCCCAGGTCTGCTTCCAAGTCAGCAAGTCGCTGCTGACATCACTTCTGGCAAATAATAATAATAATCCTTGCATTTGATACAGTGCCTTACCAAGTCGTCTCAAAGCGCTTTACTGTAAAGTGGATTGACTGTGTATTTTGTGGGCGAAATGCAGTAGCCAATTGTGCACAGCAGCGTCCCACAAACAGTCGTGGATTGAGTGACCATTTTTTGAGGGATTATTAGACACACAGCTGACTCTCTCCTGCTGATCGACTAATAACAGGAATTCTACTTACTGCTAGGTAAACAGAGACATGCGTATAGACAACTGACACCAGCATGTAAGTAGCATATCACATGCCCTTGCACAAAACTTTGGAAACGAGTTTAAGGCAAGTACACATTGCTGAAAAGTGTATATATATATAAAAAAGTATGAGTAATTTTCCAGTTAAAAGTTTCAGTCTGGTTTTAAGCCTCAACGCTTCTCTCTTGAAGGACAGTAGCATCACCCCACCCCGACCTGCTGAAAGGTTGTTAATCAGAGTATTTGTTTCGAGCAATTATCTTGTCATCTCCGTTTCACGAATTTCAATTGCAGCACTTTCAAACGTCTATTAGACACGACACTGATGCTCTTTTTCATGCCAATGGGGTGTATTGAGCGACTTACATTATCACTTGTGTGAAGATCAAAACTTTAAAGGCACGTGAGGAAACATAACCGCTGGTGTGAAGAGAATAACAGTTTGTATTGCGTGTCTGGCTGTGCTCCACAAGCACGCAAACGTCACCTCTGCCCAGTGCCCACATGCCCTTTTCACAGCCAGATTCCGCACTCTTTGCCTCTGCAGTGACAAGTTCTTTCACGTCAGGCCTTCCCCCACCCCCCAGTCCTCTTTCCCGGCCAAGGATGCAAAGTCGATGCAACACGTTTCCCAAACAGACATCAGTTGCTTTGAAAACAAATTGTTTTGCTTGGCAAAATAGCACTTCCAGGAAGTGGTTCGGTATCATTGACGTCACTGCATCAGTAATGAGACTTGTTAGTAGTGGCTGTTACTTGGTTACTGAACAGTGGATATGTTCTCTCTATGTGGTTTGGGCTCCTACTACTTTCAATCGCCTCCTGAAACACATTACATCTAAATGGCAAAGGGCGTAATGTGGCGCAATGTTCAGAGAGACCAACCCAAAGCACCATGTAACTCGCACTCAACTTCAGACATTATGTCAAATCCTGTAGCAAACTTAACTAGGGGAAAACTTTTATTGAGTTTGCTGAATACTCTGGTAGTCAGAAGCTGAATAAATCTACTACACAAACAGCTACAATATCAACTCAAAGAGTGGCCCTCAAGAGTCTGTTATCACCACTGCCGGTCTATTCTAGGTCTACCCAACCTTGAATGCCCGGTGTTCAAGACCTTTGGTTGGCCTTCTGCCTGTTAGTTTAGAGAACTAGAGAGGCGGGAACAGTCAGCTCAGCCACACTGCTGTAACATCTCCTCAAATAACATCCGATTGTAAATACAAATGTATCATTTCTTTCCAGATCATAATTATCTTTTTTGATTTTCCAAATAATTTGGGTCCTATTTTCCATGTGATTCCACAGTCCCTTCCCCTCAGTCACCCTGACTTACATTCTCCTCATCCACATTTACTTCCAAATGAATTGATCTTACGTCCAGTTGGTTAAGGAGTTGGAGGCCATTCGGACCATCGGTCAGTCTATTGCCTCTTCTACTCTTTTTAAAATTGACCTTTTGCCCATAGCTCAGTATTACCCACCCTGCATTAATTACCCACTGAACGATCAGATGCCAGGCTTCTGATTTCTGACCACTTTCAACAGAACATTTTGTATATTCTAATAGAGTGCTTGTTATCGTTGTTCCCATTCCCAAACCATACATTAGGCATCATCACAAAATAACAGTATCTTTCAACAAAAGAATTGGACATATTCAGGGTTGCATTGCGTTGTTCAATGCTGTATCTACTTTAACTCATACCCTGGATAGGTTGGGTCAGTTAGCTGTTCTTGGGCGGGAACTCTCAAATAAGTATTCAAGTTTAATTGGAATGCCCTTTAGAAACATCCTAAATATCAATACATATCACATGGCCCATAACACACTAAAAATAACACAAAAAAGTTGTGATCTAAGTGATAGACATTAAGCAGACAGTTTTATGACAGTCTTATAAAAAAGGTAGGATATAAAACATAAAAACAAGACAGGTTTATAACTGAGAGCTTGATTATCAGGATGGGGTGTATATGGTAACTGGTGTCTAGAGAGATTCTGAAGAGAATCTGTCACTTTCAGTCTTGCACGAGGGCTTTGTTTAGTGATCTGCTTCACCAACACTGGAACAAAGACCATTTTTTTCTTCGACCAGAGGAGGCAGCAAAGGCTAATGCGACAATGCAAAATATAGAAACAAACAGACAGAGAAACCAGGGTCGTAAGTTGGCTGGAAATCTGAATAAAGGAGGCCAAACTTAAAATAAAACATAGATCAAACAAATAAAGTAGGTCAACAATAACATAGAATTATAGAACAGCAAACAGCTCGACTGAATGTGGAAAATTTTATACTACTAATAATAATCCTTTGATATAACGCCTTTCGCATCGGGACGATGTGTCAATGCGCTTCACAGGATTTTGCTGGAGTGTGTATTATGTGTATTTTAAGACCGTGGAGGGGAAACAGAAAGCTTTATTATATACTGTATTTTAGACGAATGCGGCAGTCAATTTGTGCACAGCCATGTCTCACAAATAGCCATGAAGTGGATGATCAATTTTATCTGAAGGGTCTTTAGCCAGGGGAGAAACTGGGAGAAACCCCTTCCTCTTTCCGAATAGTGCCATGGGATCTTTAATGTCCAACTGAATACACACTTTAATTTAACACCTCATCTGAAGGACAGCACCTCCGACTATCTCATGCTCCCTCACTGGAGTCCCAGCCTACACTGTGAGCCCAAAGTCCTGAACTCACAAGGTTCTGACTCAGATGCAAGAGAGCTACCAACTGAGCCAAACAGGTAAACACAACAACTGGGACCTCTCAGTCTGACGTTCCTCTCACTATCACTATATCCCACAATCACCTTTGTCTGTAGAAATGACAATTTGTCTCTTCAACCCATTTATATTATAAGCTTTAATAGCCTCCGTGGTAACTGATTCCAGAAATCTTTTAATATTAATGATAATTATAATAATACTTTGATAATAGCATCAAGAATCTAAGCTACACTGAGCTAAACTCTGCATTTACACAAGCTGAGCTGGACACTGGATTCCCAAACCTTCTTGCCAAGCTTCACCTAATACTCTCTGGAATTAGGCATGCAGGGTGGAGAGAGAGTGCGTATTCCATTTCAGATACAGCAATTTCTGTGTGTCGATGGGATGCCCAGAATTCTCAATCTGATTAGGATATTCTTATTCACGGTGATGGGTTTCCGTGTGTGTCAGGCACCCAGCTGACCGAAAAATAAATACAATCCTAGGTTCTTTCTCAGGCTCTTATCAATGCTATACTGCAGTTGTCAGCCAAAATAAGCACGGGCATCCTGGGCTGGAAGAATAAAACAAGATTGTGTGCTTTAAATTAGTGCCTTGTCATTTAAAAACTTCTGTATGTACGTCACAGGCTCAACACTTTTGCAAGTACTCTGAACAATAATGTCTGTGGGACCCACTGCCCTCTGAGACAGGCAGTATAGACACAAGGCATCCAAATGTTTCGCTCCTTCTTAAACAGCATTTCGAGAATGCAGTGCTCCCCCCAGTACTGCATTGGAGCGTCAATCCTAAATGACTATGAGCAAAATCCCAATATGGAGCTTGAACCCACCAACCCAGTCAGGCTATATTGCCTGTTACTGTTTGATCTCTGAATGCTTACCCATTCTGTTAGTTATCACACGTCTCTCACTGCCTAAACTCAGCAGTATAAAGACATTCACCAGCACAATACCAGATGTGAGTCAAGTAACTTTGTACCTGTTGCACCCAGCTCCAGAATAGTTTAGAAATTAACATGAATCAGTTGGTGAGGTTCGCATGGCTTCCCATCCAACTGCAGAGCAAAACTACAGCCTTTATATTACATCCAAACTCTTATCTGGGTTCTAACGTGCAACCAGTTTGTCACAGAAGCTTACATGCTAAATGCTTAAGTCTCTCTGGAAAGTCAACATTCACTGAAGAATAATTATTTACAGCCATGGCAATTATCTGTAATATAGATCTAAGGAAAGAAACACAGGCCAATCCACATTCAGAACCTCTTGGCGACTGCTACAGTTCTCTAAATCAAACGCGTGCAAAGTAAAGCATTTTGCATCTGCCGTGTTGGCGAATCATCAGAAACTATGAAAGGTCCTTTTCAAGGGGGATCAGCCGGGTGTCTTGACACACGCGGAAATCCATCACCGTTGCTTAACAGTCACCAAGCCAAGCTGAGAATTCCACGCATCCCACCTGCACATGGAAAACCCAGAGAACGATTGTTGGAATGGAATGCGCTCTCTCTCTCTTTCTCGCTCTCTCTCCCTGGAGGAACGCACCCTGTTTACCTAATTCCTGAAAGTATAAGGCACAAGTTGGCAAGAGCCAAGGCTTGGGGGGAGCCCAGAATGTGCATTGGGGTAACTGCTGGAGTCTAACCAACTAAAACCACATAGCTTGCATTGATATTGCTGTCTGGCAAGCTTTCCCGCTGCTTGTCCGGCTAGGACCACCCAAACCATCCCACAAACTGC